TAGACCACCCAATTGCTAATTTGCCAGTTTTTTCGGATGGCATTTTATGTGAAAAGGGTCCGTTCTGCCAATTTATCGCACGAACAGTGACGACTATCCGACAGCATTGGCGTGACCACCATAGCTGGGTCGCACCTAAAAACGCCGGAGGACGGCCTAGCCATGCAACCCAACGATCATTAGCAGCGGAGCAGCAAATCCAGCAATTTACGCGCGTCGTACGATGCCAGCGAGCATTTCCCCGTCGTACTGGATCTTATTATATTCGCGTACGTACGCTCGGGGCGGAGGCTATTGCCGAGGCCGATTCAATGCCCGCGACCGAGGTCGGCGACCGGCTTATTGATGAAATCGAACTAGCTTTCACGGAGGAAAGTGAATTACCTCGCGTTATAGACGCTAGCGAGCGCGATGACGCGAATCCATGGCTACGTCGCACGCAGTGGGCTGTCTACCTCCGTGGAATCGACCCGCAGCACCTTATTGACTGCGTCCACGCACCCGACGCCGATTCATCCGATCCGACTGAAATAGCGGCAAGTGCTATATGGGATGCAATGGCTGCCGTCGCGAGAATTAGCCAGTTAGTTTGCACGAAAACTAGCCATACAATTCGCACCGAAGCTGTACGGACGGAGCGCGACCGACTACCGCACCAGCCGCTACAAGCTTACATGGATGCCGATAACATTGAAAGTGCAAGAGTGATTTCGCGTTATTAAGCCGGGCTGGACCATCTGTCTATAACATGGACGAGAGGGACGTGCTCTTGGATGTTTTCGGCTCCATTAAAGTATTGGTAGGCCGGGACGACCTGGCCAAAGACCGAGGTGCGAACGTAAAACGGACTATAATTACTGCCTTTGAGTGTATCTCTGCAGGCAGGTGTCTTGCCCATGCAACAGAAAGAGTATTCGCGGATTTTGTCCCTCTTTACGGGCTACTGTTGATACAGCATAATGAAACGCGAAGTCCAACATCGCACCCAGTAAGAAAAGGGGAAATGCTAAGTCACAAGCTACGAAGATATTATCAATCGAAATTTTTTGTACTAATATAAATAGGTCATCACTTAACATCTCTGTATGTACCAGGCACTAGTTACTAGATACCACATTGTTAACTATATTAGTGCGTTTTGGGATGACAGAACATTTGTATCAAAACAGGTGCTCCAGCAGTTACAGAGACAATGATCGACGTGGCTTTAGAGACCCGAGCCTTCGAATTTTTCTTCGCCTTGGAGGCAGTGGTATATCGTTAAAGCTAGATTGAGGCGGAAGCACCGAGCCAGGCCTTGGCTCTCGTGGCATAGGCGAATCTGCGAAGTTCCTTTTCGGTGCAGGTGCTTTTCGTTTTCGCTTCTTACCTGTTGCTGAGATTGCTGAGAGTTCACTTGTGAGAGATGGTGATTGGTGACCGTCATGGCGGTCTCTCTCGACGTCAAATTCTGACTGAGGGACCCAGGTGGGGGCGGACACATAGGACTTTTCAAGGAGTAACGGGTTGTGATTGTCGCATATGAGAGAGACTGTCGTTTCAAGAAGTTGGTCCTTGGGTCTAATGGTGAAAAGGAATCGCGCTTCCACCTGATCATGCTTGCTGCCGGCGGGAAATAATCTGTCATGTGGAATCTTGGCCTCGATGATGCCGATACAGTTTAAGTCCGATCGTAATCCAGTAAGTGGATATGTGATTGGACAGTCCCAATCATTCCGGGTATTAGGCTGGATCATCTTTTGATCAAAAATATCGGTCGTTGTCCAGACCTTGGACGAGATGAATTCATTCGGCCGCTCCCGCTTGTCCCGATAGACGGTTTTAATCAATACCACGCGACTCTCAGCCCCAGCGGCTTCGCCCTGGTACAGTTAACAATGTTTGAGATCTCCCAAGGGACATACTTTGCGAGTATCATACCTTCAAGATAACCCAGCCGATAGCGTCTTTTACCCGATCTCCTCCCAAGGGCCTCCCACTTGGCGTGCGATCCTCCAAGTAAGATAGTCCCACATCCACACGAGCCATGGTGACCTCCTTCAATGGCTTTCGCGCATATCTGAGCGCCCCTTGAGCCACAGTCTCGACTCTAAATATTTCATGGTCAAAACTGAAATATCATCCGTGGTAGACGGAGGGGTTATAACTTACGCAACTTCGGTGGTACATTTCATTCCAGGCATCAACTTTTGCACCTCCGAAAAAAGATAGGTAGTAGCCCAGCTGTTTCGCGCAAACCCACCAGTAAGAACGAAATCGCTAGGCGGATGGCCGTTCTCACTAGCCGCGGTATATTGTCTCATAGCTAATTTCAGGATGCCCTGGATCAAGGGCTGGAAGAGTTTCTTCATTTCCTCACTATTCTCATCAGTCAACCACGATCTTGCTTCAGGTGGGGCCCCGTGTGGGGGGAGGTGAAGGGGTTTAATATACTCACATCCCTATCGACACGCTTTCGTTCACAATTTGGATGACGACAGCCGTGGTTGCATCGAACCTTCTTTTATGACCTTCGATCTCTCGGGAAATCCTTGGCCACCATTCATCATCTTTCAAGTAGGCATTGTCGGGGAGTTTATACTGCAAGCACGTGCGCGCAGCGTCATTGATCATCTGGCTTCCTCCATCAAACCCTGTGTACCTGTTAGCAGAGGCTCTTCTTGCCGAATGTTTGCCGAAGTTCCCACCATCCGTAGGGCAAGCCAACTTGACTTCTTCTTCAGCATCAAAAAATACCGTTGCCCCATCCTATGTAGAAGATTAGTCAATGATGAGCCGCGAATCAAGGGAGTCCGCAGCCTTACTGTGCTTCCACCGCCACTATCAATGATTAACATAGCTTGGGAAGGCAGCCGAGCACGTTCACTTTCAAATGCAATATAGTGGGCAGCTGCCAAAGGCTCCGAGACTCCGGCCACCTCATTGAATCCCGCCTTTCGTGCCGCCTCAAAGAGCATCATTCTAAGCCAAATGTTGTATTCCACCGGATACGTCACTCGACAGGCTTTCTGGATTTCGTGGAAAGGTCGACCCATCGAGTAGACACTGCTTTCTGGCAATTTGGGGAATTGCTCCTCTAAAACTTCAAAAATGTACGAAAAAAGCTTCTCAAACAGATTCAAGATGGTCAGGGCCGTCCCGTTTATCGTCGCTGCCTCATGCACAGCTCTCTTCAGCAGACTCGTATATGGCTTCCGCCCCATAGCCGCAAGTTTGATATGTTCAAAGAGAACGGCATTTGGCCGAAATTGGGCGTTATCGCCGTAATACCATTTATCTGGCGAGCATGCAAGGATGGCGTCTAGTTCTTCATTGTTCTTGGCGTTGTTGTGGGTTGGAAATTTAAGAAGACGGGGAACCTTGCTACCCATCCATTCGACGCTGACGGTACAAGATGTGGTTCCAAAGTCAACCCCAACTATCAATTGAGACGGCTCTTCACTCATGGTGCGCAGGTGAAGACTCGAGCTGGTGTTATGCAGGGTTATTGGTTGTCGGCGGAAAGCAGCTTCGCCAGGGGGTCCGGCCAATGTTTTGCATGCTATGCTATCACGTGATTTCGGATTTGCGGACTTTGCACCGCCCCTTTACTTTCCGTCCCCTTGACTACCCGACAAAGAAAACGGTAACAGCTGACCAGTTCGTTTACATTATTCGAAGGCCGATTCGCGTTGCCGCGTGCCAATTCATCTTCCTTTCCACCCTCCAACCCCCTCGGCGTGATCTGGAAAATCGCGTCGAAAAACACGCAAATAGACATACAAATCGGCGAGTGATTGTTTATAGGATAGACAGCATCGATGACGATTTGCCAGCGGCTCCCTGACTTCAGCGATGTTTTCCATGTCCAGAAGAGAGATTATACGCTGCGAGACCCCTACGCCGTCACTGAGGATTCCAATAGGCACTGCTTTGCAAGCGCCAAGGTTGGGTGAGAGGTGAACAGAACTAGGGCTGTCTTGAAACGCGCTGGAGTGTTCTTCCCCACTAGGTAAAGCGCTTAAAGATTTATCAGTGCTGACTGAGTGCTTGCGGGCTATACGGAGGAGACGAAGGATGACTCGAGCATAGGATTGTGTCCGCTGTTGCCGTTACGACCTTCACGAGTTTATAGGAGGGCTCTTGGTAAATGTATAGACTTCGGCCATTGAGAGCCAATTATTGTTCGCCACACGCTCTCTATGCATACCGGAATGGGAATAGCCGGGTTTTCTTAAGAAAAGGTTCGAGAAATCATATGACAGGAACAAAATAAGAAACTGCAAGGGTATCATGTCCCACAGTTAGGGCGAGAGCTGTCCATCCCTGCTGTCAAACTACAAACCGAATCAGACCTCAATCCAATATGCTAGCCTTGAATTCCACCCGGATCATATGGCCCGCGCGGCTGCTCACTTTTTGGCTTATCCGCGCTACGGCTTCCGTGGAATCCCAAATAGCCACGGCCGCGCAGACCATTGATGCTCGGTGCGCCAGTGGATTTGGATTGTGCAAGCGACATAATACGCCCCGTGTGCATAAAACACCATCGGTATAAACAGGGAGCCCTGTGATACACTCGGTTAGAAACAAGTGTCTATTAATTCCACGGTGCTCTTTGGCTTGCTTCCTGTCTCTTGATTATCCTTGGAATAGACGAACCGTGGACCTCGAGTCTGAACTTAAGCTTGACTATGCTGTGATTTACGTTGATTAAGTCACTGGGGGACGATTACTCAACATCTACGTGGTGCGTACCGCATCCCATATCACATTCCTCGGGTGTGATACCAGCAATCCGGAAGCGCCCTTCTGCACTTCATTTCCTCGATTGGACAATAAGCAAGTAATGGCGGGGACAGGTCCCTCCTATGACAGTAGCATCACATGACCGAACATGGTAACGCTTGTTGGCCCAAGTTCCCGCCTCGCGTCAAACGGCGCGTCTGGTTGGGCCGTATTTTTGGCTTTGGAAGTCTCAACCAAGCTGATCTCCAGCCTCACGATCCGACGAATCCCCTATGACCTCAGTCAGCGGCCTTTCAGCAGAACGATACGAGGAAATGGCAGAGAAACTGTCCCTCCTTTGCTTCGGCGGCTCCCTGACAGCGGGTTACTACAGTTACGGGCTCGAGCACCCGTACGCCGGAAAACTCAAGGAGAGTCTTGAGGCAGCGTTCCCCAACATTGAAATCACAGTTGATGTGGATGGGGAAGGTTGACCTTATTAAGAGTAAAGTAAACTTGGCTCTGGAAATATTGATGGTGCGGTTGGACTGAGATGATAAAGGTTCTTATAGTCAGACAACCAGGGATTTGGACTAGGATCTTGACAAGAATTCATAATGTAATGTTTATTCGAATGAGTTTCAATTGCATCATGGCCCCATCGCTTCGAAATTACGAATCCTTTCACCCTTTCTCCAGCATGATGCCCCATGTGGTATACCTATTTATTGGCTTTGTTCGCTTTGAGCCAACAATATTGTGGAGCCTGGCTTCCAAAGATCTATTGTACTCCCCATATCCTGTTGCTCCTCTGTGGCTTCCTACACCCTATAGACTGGATTTGGTAAACATATTTGCGTCATCCACATTATCGATATCACCATTGCTATTCCGTTTCTAGAACCATGCATGTTTGGCAGGTATTAATTCTTGCTCTTATCAGCATAGCCCTCTTCTTTTTCTTCTCCACCCCATGGCGTCAAATAATGTAACTTCATTTATCTTCTGAACCCTGCAAATATAGGCCGCGTTGTATTCTGGACCTGCATCGGGGTCCACAATACCGCCCGAAGGAATATATCTCATAGTTAAGGGTCTTTCAATGATGAAATTTGAGTGCATTGTTCTTGCATGGAGTGAGGAGAAGAGCTCTCCCTTGCGAGTCCATCACTCGGCGGCCCCCAAGGGTGTGACACATTGGAATCCTTCATCCTATCTTAGTCAAGTCGATCTAGTAATTGGACAATCACAACCGAGTCGAGGGCTGAGTGGCTTTGCCTATAAATACGGGTATCTTCCCACGAGAAGAGTTCTAATTGCAATCAACAGCTCATCTATATCCAAATCTATCACAACATACCTTCTCTTCTTCCAAAGTCCATTTTATCAACATGCACGCCTTCACCACTACCACTACTGGCGCTCTTGCCATCCTCTCTCTGGTTTAATTCTGCCCTGCACCTCTAGCTATCATCGGTGCAGTCGCGGGTGGCCTTGGTGGAGGTGCTATCTCTGGGGGCATTGTCGCAGGCGCCAAGGACCGCCGTGACCTGCCTTCTGGTGTTTCCCAGGAATCTATGGACCAGTGTATCCAGCAAATCAACTCCTAGGGAGGCCCGGTGAACGTCTACAGTACCGGCGATGACTGTAAGCCACCTAGACTAATCATATAACCATCGTCGAACATGAATAACCTTTGATCCCCAGTCCAGCTGCTCGTGCCGACAATGTTCCGCTAGCCTGTATGAACCTTGCTACTGTTCTTCTCGACAAGCCTGCCCAGGCAGGTGGCCCTGTTCCCGTTCCCATGGGAAGCGCTAGCCTCGAGTACCATGGTCTTAGCGCTCAAGACAAGAAGGACCTTCAGGCTGCTCTGTCTAGTTAATTCTCGCAGGATGAGAATAGGATTTATTCTTTGGGAATGGGCTTGAAGGAAAGGTGCTATGTAAGAGCGGTTATAGTTCCCAATAGCCTATTTTAGATATTTTCTGATAAACACCCTGGACTGTCAAGGATCTCCCCTGCCAGGGGTCCAGTAGAATACATTGTCATTCTTTAAATCCGTCGTCGGTAATAACTCTACTATTATATTGTATAAAATAAAAATTGATTTTTGAGTCATACTGGTGTCTCAGTTGAAGTCAGCTCTGGCTGGAATTTCAATGTTTAAGATACTGAAATAGAATGAGTCCTGGAACTGGACCCTACATGACCCACTAATAAGTCGTGGGGGCAGTTGGCTCCTTGACTCACGTGTCAATTGGGCTATATAACCCTCTGTCCCGGTTTTTCCCAAAGTCGACTCTAGCCCCTTTAAACACCATCCAACTTCGCATCTGTGAGGGAAAACAAGTTATGTCTTGAATTTATCAAGAGATTCTACCAATCGTGGTGCCCATTACGACTTTCTATTTTTCCGTTGGTGTTTTCTTCCACTTAGTCAATCGCCCTTGTCCTCAAAGAATTATTCTGTCACCATCGCTGTACATACCAGCCGGTCTGTCCTTTGCCACCTCAGATTGGTGGCCGGGAGATTTGAACAGTTTATAGGGTCTACTTCTCTGTATTTGGGTGGGACACTCCACATCACTGCTATTTATTGAGGACTTGCGAGTATTGGAAGACGGAGATTATCTGGGCCGCATTTCCAAACTTGCTCCTCATATCTCCGGAAGATACTATAAAGGATTAAAGCTCTACAACAATCCACGTCTTTTAGGGACGTCTTACCAATTTTTCAAAAGTCCCCAAGGCAGCCACAAATTCCTCGCCATCGTTATGCAGATTTACAGTGATTCGCTTAGGGAAGCTTGTTGCATACGTGGTAGTTTACTTCTACATAAAAGCACGGGTCTTCCCTGCAGCATTCGTGCCTGTCCGGATCGACGAGTTTGACCCATTACACCAAGTCTATTTTCGACGTTTATCATCGCAGATTGCTCCAGTGACCCTCCGAGAGACACTGATGAGATGTGCCTTCATCTTCTGGTGGACATTTTCTGCCGTTGCCATGCTTGATTCAGCACACGCGGCACTCTCGCTGGTCTCAGTCATTGTCCTCCGTTTTGATTTACCATATGAATAGCCGCCGATTTTCGGACCACTCAGCCAAGCATAGAGCATTCGACGCTTTTGGAGCAAGTTTTTGGCACCAAATAGTTCGTCGAACTTACACCAATTACGGTGAATATGTTTCTCGGAAAATACTCCGTCTTGAGCCTCGCTCGTTGCCGGACAGGTTTTTCGTTATATTTGCATTTTCTTTTTCTTTCTGGGTCGTCCCATGCTGCTGTTTCTTGGCAGCTAGGTGACCGCTGTGGTTGGTCACTAGATATGTGGTGGTTTTGCGCCAATTTCGTTGCTGGGCTTTTGGAGGTTGTTGTGACGCGGCTGTTGCGGGTCTTTGTGACGAAGCTCGGACAGAAACACCGATTGGAGTGGTTGGATGAAAGTATTTGGAGCAGGACTTTTGGATTTGTTTGGGTGTTTTCCTTCATGTTCTGGAGTATCCAAAGTGGCAGTATCCAAAGCTTTATTGCCATCTTAGTGATGCGTTAGAACAGACGGAAAAGAGTGTAAGATCTAGCGCTTGATCATGACATTGGGTCCACCGTTGAAATCAATGGATTGCCTCAATTTATATATGCGTTTGCAGTCTTTCCCAATTTCTTTATTGGAATGGGATTGGAACCCTTCAGGCTGACTGGAGAGCTGGATAAAGGGGTTTCTGATAATATGTAAGTTTCTTATAGGGGGTGTTAATAAACAAATTACTTATGTTTAGAAGTATCTAGAAAAGAAATGGCAACCAAACAGCTCTCCAGTTGGCTTTTCAGTACGGAAATGCAGGAATCATCGAAATCTTGAAGGGATTCCCCAATTTTCTAGTCAACTTTGGGAAATCACTATGATGCGGCCGTCACTCTTGGGTTGGGCCGCGCAAAAAGGCATCGTGTTTTCGTGTAACCTTTTCCTCGCTGGAAGTATTGGAATTACACAGCTGAGTGCGGCATGTTATGAGTCATCACAAATCTCAGTTCTCTGACAGAAATCACTTCCCCTGTTCTACACCACACTTCAAAGTTTATGTTGCTATCGAACTTTTGGCCGGAATATATGTTTTATTGAGAGCTCGTCAATGGGAAGTTGAGATTTCGGAGAAAGCTGAGGTAGAGGTTAGAGATTGCATAGGTAGTGGAGTGGAACATTCGCTATGCACCCACGTCAACACATGTGCAATATCTAAACTCTGCCGACAGTGATGGCAAGAAACCATCTAGATCCTCAGTTGAAGTGCGTTGAATAGGGTTAGGTCAAATCATTTCCTTGCACTTAGAGCGAATTTTGTTATCCTGCCAGCTGAGAGCATCAAGTTTCTTCTCAATCCATGAATGAACTTGGTGAATATTGTTCGCATAAGATAATATCCCATCGGAGGGGCATGGACGCTTCAAGATAGGCTTGAGGCTTTCAAACTTGTCGGGGTAGTCCAAGACGATGAGCATCTCCAAGAAGACAGCTCCTAGAGAGAATGCATCTCCCTCTTTTGATATGCCTTTGTCCCTCGCCTCAGGAGCGCAATACTCGTACACTAGGTTCCACTGGTTGCGACGCTTTACCATTTCCCCAAAGTCCTCTTTGCGACAAGCCAAAATCTGTCAACAAGGCTTGCCCTCCTTCAACCAGAACGTTCTCCGGTTTGATGACTCCGTGTAGAATATGCGAAGTATGGAGATAACAGAAAAGTCCTGGTGAGTGTGGTGGCAGGTATATCAATTCAACGCCTACCTCAGAGCACAACCCTGTGATCCTCTCGAAGTGGTGGAAGGACGCGTTTTTCATTAACCGTACAGACTTCGTCTCTGGCTATTTTCCACAGTGCTGTAAAAGATGTTTCGGTTATCAGCCCCAGCCTCATTCTGGTAAATCGTGCTGTTTGGCGTGCTGCATATGACCCAGGTGCGTGGTTCATGGAGATTGGCTTTTGGTGGTCCATTTGGAAATTGCGATTGTAGGGGTCAGCCTCGCCGCGCGAATACGACCAATAAGATGATGGCTCGCCTCCTGATGCGCTGGGCATGCATGAACAACATGAACAACGCATGGCTTCCCCTCATTTTCCAACTTCATCGGCTACTAATATCTGGTTAAGGTGTCTCACTTCGATACAGATTTGTCCTTTGAGCCACGGCTTTTATCACTGCTAAGAATATCAAGATGAATACCAAACTTTCTGACCACGGTCAAACGGGTGAGGAGGCCGCCGAGTCTCCAAGCCAGAGATTTCCAAAGGTCGAATATAATCAACCACAGTTCTCGTGAGGATCTCCCATCGATTGAGCATGAAAGCCCCTAACACTTACTGGTCGTAGGCTCTACGAACTTCCAATGGCCACCCTCTCCATCGGAACCAAGCGATACAGCATCCCGTCATTCTATCTCCAGAAGTATCCTCTCTTCGAAGATATGTTTCTCTTCGAAGACCTACGGCTTTCCGGTGTTCCTGAAGATATTGGCCACACATTAGTGCATTTCTTATACACGGGTGCTTATGAGACCATTGACTCGCCACTAAGTGAACGCACATCTTACGTAGAACGAGAATACCAAAGAAGCGTCCAAGTCTACCATACATGCAGGAAGTACGGTCTCCCTGATCTCGAGGCGCTTGCTGAAAAACATATTGAATATTTTGGCAAAGCAATGACGACGATCGAACTTATGAATTCAACCAGGGAGGCCTTCTTTTTACTTCCCGAAGATGAGATATGGCTTCCAGAATATGTCAGGAAAGTCCTTCGACGGGAATTTGTGTCTGTAAAGTCACAGCCCAATATTCGCGAAATTGCTAATAATGGCACCGGCAAGAAAATCGAGCTGTTTAGCACAGCAGTCATGGCGGTTGTGATTGACATCCTCTGCGTCCACGTACAACAGTGCGTGAAAAACCACAAAGGGCACCTCGATTCTCTTGAAGCCGAGGGTGACACAGAGCCTGAGCATGCGGCAGCAAGCGATGCAGGTACCGGAGAATACTTTGTGTGGCCAGAGAAGCCTGCTTCCGCCGAGGCTAACGTCGCGGTGAATGGGTTGCCTGTTTCCCCAGACGAAAGTGCTGTTGACTATCCTGGCTCCTTTGCTCAAGCTCCCATTTGTGACCCTGACGACCTCGAAAAATTCCCCACTGAGGATGCCGATCAAATTCCCGACTGTCCCCCTGATGATTCCGCTGACCACCCCACCGAATACCTGGCTGAAGATCTCGCTCCTTTCAGTGCCTGTCATACCGCCGCATTTCCTGCAAACAATGCCCGTATGACGGGGTGGGCTGGTGTTCCCGACCAGCCTTTCGCTTATGAGCCTTGCTATGAAGAAGCTGCCCTCGAGGAGCCTGCCCCTGATGAAGATGTCCCGGAGCCGCTTGTCTATGGGGACCCTGTTTATGAGAAGGCCGCCGCCGATAAGCCTGTCCTGGAAGAAGAGGCCTCCCCCGAGGAGGCTACCGCCCAGGAGCCCGTAGCCGAAGTCATCACCACTCAAGCGACCTCGGACAGCCCTCTAGTGCCAAATTCATCTTTATATGTGAATTGGAACCTCCTCTCCTCTAAGGATCAAAAAAAGAGGATCAAAAAGCTAAGGGCAAGAGGTCTTCCAATCCCCGACAAGAATGGTGTTATTTCAATAAATTTGGCCTAGTTTCATGTACAGAGAAAATGCTTGGCGCCTAATCTGTTCCCGCGATTCTATATAGAATCTTTGATTAAAGAAACTAAAAATATTATAACCAAATCTTGAGAATTTAAAGAGGATAAGATGACTCTTAACATACACTAGTATCAACATCAGCAAGGAGACTTGTTCCAGTGTTTGGACTAACCATAACTCTAAGAGTACTTTGAACGCAAAACGGGCTTTTTACCTTGGCGGCGGAGTCCTTTCAGTACAAGTCGACCAAAAGGAGTGGTGGTCTAGTGTAGAATTTGCATGACATAGTAATGTCGATTACGCAATATACGAATAACCCAAGACCGGCCGAAGCGACAACGAGCTAATTGCCACGATCAAGATGCAAACGTATTAGTTACATATATCCTAACGATCCTCACAAGACTGGGGGATTTGATGGATTGGAATTTCTTGCTTCTTAATAGCCTGGACAGCTAATAAGATCCTACCCTCTTGCTCCGTACGGTTTTGAGAGGATTGAGTACGAATTGGTGGCATAGTGGGTGGTTAAAGAAGGAAGGTCTAATTAATTGACGCGTTTTACGTTAGGTGGCCCACTCGGTAGGGAAATACGTTATTTTATCCATCCTAATTAGGTAAAGCCCGGGAAATTTATACCGCAGTCGGGGTAAGGGTCGCTGAGGTTGGACCCTAACTCTCTGCGCGTAGTGTCGCGGGTCCAGGAGTTAGACCGCGGGGCGGGTCACAGCCAGGTCTAATGATCAGGGTTCTCCAGTTGGAAGTAGCGGCCGCTCAATAAGTGGCTGTTGCAGGGGTGTTCGTATCATATTGCTGAATTAAGAAACTTCATAAGATATGACATGATCAAGTCTAATACGCGGAGGACCTTGACCCATCAGTCGGCTCCTTTCTCCAATGGTGCATTAATCTTATACCCATGTTATAGGTGGATCAGATCATCAGTTCCCATTTCTTCATCTGCTGCACGTCTCTTTCCCCTTGTCGTGCTTCTTTTTAACTTTTGACTCAAAGTGCATTCCGTCTCTGTAGCGTTTGAAGGGGTTTGGGACACATTTCCAACCGCATATATATCTGGCTGGTTTCTTTTGATGATGTCCTCCGCAATAGCATATCGCTTTAGCGTATCTTCGATCAGATCATCAATTTTATCATTTGAATCTTTCCTGTTGCCGTATCTCAATAGGATCGTCTGCTCTTCAATGTGGGCTAAGACTTTTGCTATTTCGGTCATGTTTCCCCTAAGCCGCTGCGAAAGCCCTCTCCCCCTGAGCAGAGCTAGTAGCCCGGCGATTGAGGTGATAAAGGCCCCTAGAATTGTGATTGCCAATATGTGCTCACCTCCTGATGGACCTAGGGCAGTAATAGTGGCCCCTATCAAGACTTGCGTAATTGAAAGCAAGTTAAACGCAACACTGAATATCTGATACTGAGTTCTTTGTCGTCGCTCCTGGGAAATAAGCTTTTTGCGAAGGCCCGCGGTTGCTGCTTGGAACGTTTCATAATTAGAAAGTTCTTCTAGAGGACACTCTTGGAAAGGCGATTTCTGAGGATGTGGTCGCGACTCAACGGGTTCGTTGTCCCCTGGTATAGCAGGGGATTTTCCCGTCTTTCTCTCCTCTCTTGCACGAGCTGCCAGACGAAAGAACGCGGAAGTGTTGCTGAAGGACCTTTTTGCTGTTGCCTCGGATGATGATGCCTCTGCTGGAATTTGAAAAGAGTCGTCTTTCGCAGACATTTCATGGTCATTTCCCACATCTCCCTGCGGTTCTGAACCAGTGGCCGCCGCATGCGAATCCGGGATCATCAACATAGAGTTGCCAACTGGTGGCATGGAGGATAATGCCTCTGTTGGGATATGCAGCTCATCTTTCGAGGCCTCTTCCAAGTTCCGATATATTCCCTCAGTTGAGAGGGTTCCAGACGAGCCATACTTTGTCTGAGTATCTTTGCAGTTCTCTTTGTGAAAAGATAGTACATATGCCGGAAACCATTCTTGGCACCCCGAGCACTGCTCGTCACTAGAGCTATGCGAAGCCCTGTCCGCGGTTGTCGATGAAAGACTGTCTTCTGCAGAGAAACTCTCGTTGTGCTTCTTTATCCATTCGTGAAGATCAGCTTCAGGGCCCTTGTTCCTGATAGCCAAGCTCATCCGAATCGAGTCTTGCAGTTTGGCTAGCTCATATAGGCACTGAGTCAGGTCATCGCACTGGCTCTCAATGTCTTTTCCCCTATGCCCAGCCTCGCGGCTTTCCCCAATTCGACGCACCGGTGTATTGAGACAACTAGCCATGCAGTCAGCAGATTATAACCAAATGGACTTTTCAGTGTCGAATATCAATACCTATTGGCTTCGACTGCTTGCTTTGCTACGGTCTCTAGATCGCAAAACCCCCCAAAAATAGCTTTTGCATCGGCATGGACTCTTGCAAAAAGCGAAGCCAGCGCATTAGAAAGCGGCGGGATGCTCTTTATAGCGAGCGTCGACAGGCTACCGTCTCCAATTTCGCAATCGGTCATCCATATTGCGAGACGAAGGCAGTGATCGCGTACTATCTTTTGAAGGGGTTGGATTATAGTCCGTGTGTAGGTGTAATCCACTTGACCAGCTCTCTCTGCCATCTGGACACAACGTTCAAGGTTATTCAAGCACTTCTGACATTGTGCATTGAAGTCATCATCAGGCTGGATGGAAAGTAACTCAATGGTTTCATCTGGGGTTATCAGCGTGAACGGCCATAATAGTGCGTTTCAGCCCTGGACACTCACCGGAACGTGCCGCCTCGGATCGTACATAGCTTGGTTCTAGTTCGCGTCCCAATTGAGCTTCCATAGTAGCTTTTTTGATACAATGGAAGTCGCCAGCTGCCACGCTCGCATTTGCTGCGCTTAATCTGGATGCTGGCTTTCACAAGTAATGATGCGTCAGGTGGGTACCGGCGAGCCGCACTTGCCAGTAACACGTTCTTACGTCATGTCATGTCATCCATTATGTATTCTTATTACCCCGCAGTTAGTGATCAATTTGACGAGAAAGATTCCGTCACCAGTACCCTGCTGTTACATTTATTCCCTTGCTCTCTGTGCCAAAATACCTATCCATATTCCTCACACCAATTGTGATATCCTTTTTGGCATCCTCAGCCATGGCCGAAGTCGCCGCGATTTGGGCCATTGTAACCAATTCCATCAATGCAATAAACACGGTGAAAGGCTGGATCCAAGAGCTTCGGAGATTGCAAAAACAAGTCCAACACCTTGAACAGAAGTTGGACGAGCTCATGCTCAAATACCAGAGCAGCCAGGCCACTCTGGAAGCATGGGCAGAGATGTGGGAGATTAATGAGAATACCAACAAGAATTATCCGCGCGGACTCTGGGGTAAAACCGCAAGTGAGGTGATTGAAAACCACCTCAAGTCGATTTCAAACCGACACCAGAATATACAGGAGCTTTTAGGCTTGACTTCCAAAGAAAAGCCGATCAACCCGGAAGAGTCTGCCGACTCGAAAACAGGATTCAGCAGATTGTTCAAAAAAAAAAAAACTTCCAAAGGAAATTGCCTTAGCTCGCTGGATATGGTCATGAATAAAGTACCCAACGTGCTTGACGAATTTGAATCTATCAAAACACTAATGGCAACGGTGAAAGAGCTGTCTGAAGAAGCATTTAAGCATAAACATCAAAAGGTAATGCTTTCGGAACAGTCGCGGAAGACTCTGACTCAAGCAAGGAATACTATGTTCCTGAATGCCGTCTATAACTCCAGGATCCCGTGCAAAGCATTTTATGATTCTTGCTACGATGCAAAGAAGAGATTCAAGTCCTCAGACGTGCATCTGGAAATGGACATATACCCACAAGATCTTGATCCCAACAATCCGAGAACCGTCTATGAGTTGCAATACTTCCTCTATTTCCAGGTGCACACCAATATTGAGGAATATACGGTTGCAGGACCTCTATCCGAGGATGCAGTTTCTGGTCCGAACTCAAGCAATCTTTATACAGCCTGCATGAAAACTCGAAACAGCTTCACCAGGCAGCTTTTCAAAGTTGGTGAGACTTGGTTCGGTTCCACGGTACCCAGGGACTCAGATCGAGTAATCCCACGCGAGCCGGATGCCCGAAAAGACAAGTTGAAGCCTCTCGAATCAATCCTGTACGACCTGAGCACCAAAATTGCTGATCAGCCGGTTGTTAAATTCCCCCTATCGGAGCGGATTCGCTTCGCCTTTAAGATAGCACAGTGGGGTTTCTTCTTGTGCGGCACGTCCTGGATGGTTAATCTACGACTAAGGAATATTCGGTCTATCCGAGATAGCACAAGTATGCGTCATTTCCTTTTAGAAACACCAGCTTCTCAGATCGTCCTCGCCGATGCTCGGAACGAGAGAAAGGAGCACAATCGCCAGTTTGCGGAGCATGCATTTTCGATTGGCATCCTGCTTCTCGAGATTGGCACCGGCAGAGAGTTAGAAAGGGTTGGTAATGACAAACACACAGGTTTTACCTTCTTTTTCTGCCTGCCCGGGATGACCAAAGCTCCAACAGCCAAACCCAAGACAATTATTGAAATTTCTGGGATACTCAAGGAAGCCTTCGGCGACGAGTATGTGAAAGCAGTGAAAACGTGTCTGCATTGTAAAGACAGCTGGATATGGGATGCGAACAAAGAGTCTCTAAACCCAGAAGACCTCTACAATCAGATGCTGGACGAATACTATGTCGATGTGTACTTACCGTAAGTTGCTCTCTTATTATTAACCTGAATCGGGTTTGGCAAACTGATAATACTTATGCAGCCTTAAACGTTTAGAGGGGCAGAGGAAGAACTACACCGAGTCGTGGAAATGGTGAACTCTCGGGAACGGTGACGATGCCATGCATCTATAGAACTCCATATGCCAATCGGTACTTAAGTTTATGACCAGAAACATAGTTTGGACGAGCCAAGGTGATATCAGGTAACTATTGAAATGGGGATGGCACGATGGCAGTCTGTCATAGCAGACGGGTCAATATCAATGAGAGACAGCACAACCAACCACTCCCATGCCCTGCCTAGGCGTAGAGAGCAGTCTCTGTAAGTGGCTATCGCACTAGTATTGAAGCTATATCATGAATGAAGAATCTTGATGGAAAACTGTAGTCATATTGATAATGGATGAATGCCATCTCTAGAAGGAGAAAAGCTGCATGCAAGCTTCCTAGGGCACTTGCGACACCCTATCCCACGGGGGTGCCTGCCAGACTGCAGGCTAGGGTTTTCCCTTAACTATGGCCGGAAAAGTGGGTCGTACGCCTGACTGCAAGTGAACTTCTTCGCCTGACTGCCAAGGTCTAGAGGCCTCCAATCGGTCTAAAATGTTGGCAGGTTATAATAGAGTATCTTATATATCTCCCATTTTCATCGGAGCATGCGTAGCCTACTAGTTCTCGAGAAATAGGCGATTGAAATCGGAGATGTTTTCATGGGGTACGGGAAATGGGCCCGTTAGGGTTGCGACGGTGGCCTAAGGTTATATTACATGCATTTAGACGAATGGAATCACCTCAATTATCTTAGTCTATAATGATCAGGCGGGGTAGCAATTAATTCAGGAGGTTTTGAAGACCCCTAGCTGTCATCTCACTTTTTTTCATACCATTTAACCGCAAAGTCAGCATTTGACATTCGTCTAATTTCATACAATTCATAGTTTTGCGATATATATCTACACCTTTATTATGCAAGACCAATTCTTCCACCTACCATCGATAGACCCCGTCTTCGTGTGTAAGACATGCGAGCACGGTGTTCGACCTAAGGAGGTCTTCCGGCATCTCCGGTCAGCTAATCATCGTATTGGGAAGCTAAAAGCGCGCCAAATTGCTGAAGCTATTCGGACCTCCTTCTCCGACCGGGCGCATGAATACGATGAATAGCAGCCGCCAACCGTGGTCAATACCCCAATTGCTAATTTGACAGTTTTCTCGGATGGCATTTTATGTGAAAAGGGTCCGTACTGCCAATTTATCGCACGTACGGTGAAGACCATGTGACAGCATTGGCGTGACCACCATGACTGGGTCGACCTACTAACCGGGGAGGTGGTCGACGCCCACAAGGTTTATCGGCGGTCGAGCGGCGAATTCAGCAATTTACGCGCGTCGTAAGATGCCAGCGCGCATTTATCCAAGGGCTAGGATCTCATTACATTCGGGTGCGTACGCTCGGGGCGGAGGCTATTGCCGAGACCGATTCAATGCCCGCGACCGAGGTCGGCGACCGGCTTATTGATGAAATCGAACTAGCTTTCAAAGAGGAAAGTGAGCTACCCCAGCTAATTGAAGCTGGCGAGCGCGATGACGCGAATCCATGGCTCCGTCGTACGCGGTGGGCCGTCTACCTCCGTTGGATCCACCCCCAGCACCTTATTGACTGCGTCCAAGCACCCTACGCCGAGTCATCCGATCCGACCGAAATGGCTGCTTGCGTAATATGGGACTCGATGGCCGCTGTGGCCCGGATTAGCCAGTTGGTTTGTACGAAAACTAGCCATACAATTCGCACTAAAGCCGTACGGAGCGTGACCGACTGCCGCACCAGCCATTACAAGCGTATGTGGATGCCGATAACATTGAGAGACAGACTACGCCGTGGCAGCAAATGTTTATTTTTTTCACTCGTACGCAGGGTATTCCAAGAGAATAAAAGTGAAGGACTCCAGAAGGGGATTATCTCATATTCATATTGTCGTTTCTGTTAGTTTTGACTTAATTTCTAAATCAAATCAGGAGAGGAATCATTATCTTACTTGATCTGCCACTTCAACAATCCCTAAATCAAGAGCAATCCCTTAAGCTACCGTCTTCCCTTGGGCATGAACATCATATCAACAGTAGTCTATATCGTTGCGCTAAACAGATGTCTCAAAATAAACTTTGTCTGCAAACCTCCTTAGGTGCATCAAGTGGTTGAGCTTGTTACACCAACTGTGTGCTATGCTGTGTGCTATGTATATTTGGAAGCTAGTCATCTCGCACCTCTACTCTCGTCACTTCCACCACCCTCACCACTCTCACCACCCTGACCATCCTCAGCATCCTCACCTTCTCATGTCGCCATGTTCCCGTATGGGCTCTTAGCTCCTTGTTACTTCTTATTGTACCATTTGGTTGATTTTGTTGTGCACCGAAGCGCCATAGCTTGGAGAATCGAGTGGGTTACTGACATATTTCACATGCGAGCCGCCCACCCAAGCGAGCCGTCCACCCCAAAACACCATAGCAAATGCGATATATTCTATACTTTTATCTCAACAACCACGTCTTAATATATTTCATTATTTGCCAATAGCTATTGGTAAGACCTATTAGCACTATGTCTCAATTAAGGGAATCATAAAGCCATTTAATCATCATCTCAAAAATTACTGAAAATTACACTGCCATGAGTTACAAGTATATATATCTCGACCATGAAGACATAAAAATTCTCCAAGCTCCCTAAAGAGGTTAGATATCATCTGAAAACCATTCGACTAAAATGAAAATACCTATGCCGTGGTTGTTGAGATATAAAGCTGTAATTTATCGCATTTACTATGGTGTTTTGGGGTAGCGGCTCGCATGTGAAATACGTTACGAATAGTAGATTGATATCACCCGTAAGAAGGAAGGTATTACATCCTATTGGTTCATCACTGTACAGAGAATTTCAACAATCAAACGTCTAGGGACTTTCTGGGCATATGAGTGACGCACAATCATTTCTCTCTGGGCGCTTTGTTTCCATTCTAAGTATGTTAAGGGAAATACAAGAAAAACAAAGAGTGTCAATTTTGAAACAAAAAAAGCTATCTATCGGTCTAACGTCTATCAATGTATTTATTCAACCTCTTTTTCCCCCACCAATTTAACGTTAACAACCTAGACGAAAGCTAGGCATTAATCGGCGACGACGGCTACTCCTCGTTCGCCAATTGCAATATTAACCCAGCCTTGGGATTGGATATTTCCGGTGATCGTGTCCTTGTACAGGCCAAACATGGCTTGCGCCACCGTTAAGCGCGACCCTCTCTAGATATTATTGTCACGACCCCGACCTTCCAGGTGCCTGAGCCTGCCTGAGGCCATCCAGTGAACCTTGGACCGCTCATTGCGCAGGTAGCTAACAGCATGCATTGGCCATATGAACCCTTGCATGTCGCTTATCACATGAACTAAGCGAACCATGTATTATTGCTTTCGCCGGCCTTCGCATGAAGGCCAGCATTTAGTCTCTCAATACACCTGCACGTACATTTACCGATAGACACTGCTTTCCGAACTCACCCTGCTACCTAGGACCTCGCAGGGTCCTAACTCCTAACAATTATCTAGTTCATCCCATCGCTCATTTTTCTCCCTTTCCGTAATGAGTCCCGCTTCCGTGCGTATAGCTATACGGTCTTTGGCCAATTCCGAGTTCGGACTTGTTCTATATGGCGTTTGTGTTCGAGATCAAAGCAGCGCCAGAGGACGCCGGAGTGTGAGGCGCCTTATCTCCGTTAAGGTTAATCGGGTTGACTGGCGACCCCTATGCCCGGATGCAAATGCGCAGTGGAGGAAGGGGCCCTTTATGTTGTCTCGCACACAAGGGTTGAATTGCAGGTGAATTCAGACGTTAAGTAAGCTGTCGCTTAGGTGATTGCCTCGCTGGTGAGCCTAGTAGGCAAGGGGTGGGAGACCGACCCTTATTGTCTCTTCCAGCGTCGCTCTGGAGTACTCGCTGATGGCGTTCTTCTCGTTTCTTCTAGACCTCTTTTATTTTTTTTGCGTCTGTCGCGTGCTTGCTATTGCAAAAGCCAATGAATTAGATCTGGGAATCCAAGAACAAAGACCTTCCATTTTCTCGGTATCTTCCGGCTGTATATTTTATTCGGATCTTTTCTTTCTTCCGACGCAACCCCGTAGATTCCGACAACATTGTGTTTAGTATACCGCCAGCTTCTGCTCCCTGGACCAGCTTTGAGCTGGGAGATCCACAAAGTTCGAACGGAAATGTTATTCATGTGTGGACAGATCGTATAAAACTCCGTTTTGGTATTATCTGTCGATCGGCTTTCTGTTATTCTGAACTAGATATTACGGGACTAAAAGGTTCTCAATATTTATCTGGAGGATTTTGTTATTGGTGTTGGGGGGGGAGGGCGCGCTTACGAGCACGGACTGCGAGCGACGGGAGCACGCCGAATTGGCAAATCAGGTTGCAGAGAAATGCACACCAGTAGACTGTTCTTTTCCACTAGGGTATATATAGAAGATAGGCAGGCATAGTAGAGAATTGAGCACGGCTTTAGTCCCCCCAGCATGTAGTAACATACACTAAGAAAGGAATGATGGTTTCAGCAGAGTAGTGTCGGTTGCGCTGGACGAAGTAACAGACATAGAAGGAAATGTGCCTGTTATGCCCGATTTTGCTGAGGTAAACAATGATATTATGTCCTGTGAAAATTTACCGTCTGTCAGCCACTGGAGGATCCATATATACCATGCTAGAGCCCATTGGTCCCCGTCACCCCATCTATTTCGCGGGCAAAGTAGTTTACCAGCGCAGGCTATTGCAAGGCCACATGCTCCCATCCTGACGTCGTAGGCAGTGAATAAGAGCATGATAAAAGCGTAGATGAAGTTGACATCCCAGTTATTCGAGTGACCCCAGGGAAGGAAACTGTGCACGAAGTTGTCAAGGAACTCGTAGACTCGGTTAGACTTGGGTGAACTGCTGGGAATGACTATCTCAATCCACGTATCCTTCTTTTCTCGTTCTGTTTTCTCTCCAGGTGGAATAGGGCTGCACCTGCACCATGCTGTGATTCCGTTATAGTGAAGGAGTACATCAATAGGTCTATCTGACCAATAATGACCACGCACAAGCTCACGATGCATGTGCCGTGAGATGCGTTCAATCTGAGCGGAGTGTTCACTGACACAGTTGAAAAATAGCCTCTGCTCTGGGGTCAACCGTCGTGCACAGAAATGAGTACCGATAGAGACCGGCAATAATGAGAAGCATAACGCTGATATCCGAGACTTCACCATAAGGCCCAAGGTCGACAATATGAGTAGTCCCACCAGGACAGTAGTAGTTCGAACTTTCCTGTCGTCTAAGTTCGGGATCTCTCCATCACCAGGACCACGAACTGGAGCAACGGACATCCCATATATAACACTAAGCTGGCTTGGGTTTTGAAGAAATTTCGCCGCGTTCTTGCGTTCTGTTTTGATCGGTGAATCTAACCGGTTGCGATATTTCGCCGGAAAGTTCTTATCAGGGAGCCTCTTTCGGATTGCACCATTGTAGGTTCCAGATTCAGGCTCAGTGGCGGTTTCTGGCTTGAACTTATACATGAATTTCCACTCAAGCACAGTCATCACCCTGGCCAGCGCCATCCAACATCGTACACATGCTTGTGCCTTATGCAAGCTGGGAACTAAGTGCATCTGGTCCACAATACCCCGACCACCAATAGTATCCTCTCCCCTCGCCACGTTCTCGAGAGGCAATGTAATTTCACCTTCATTCCCGCCTGACGTATTCCAGAACGTGAGTACTTGTACAGCCTTGGGCACAGTTGACCTTGCTCGCCGTATGGTATCTTTTAGTACCCCACAAATATACCCAGAAATGTCGGCCCCCGTCCGCTTTATCCATTTCAATTTCAGTGACCGTTTTGCTCTGCTCAGTCTGTTCGGGTCTTTTCTTTCCCGGGCACAGAAGAGAAGACAAGGTCCCGAGGCATTTACCTCTCGATTGACATAGAACCAGATCCATTCACTGTCAAAAACATAGAACCACTCCCAAAGCCCAATGAGAACGGGCAGAAATCCAGTATTCGGGACATCCATCCCCTGCAGAGCCATCATACCCCGGCCCACGAACACGCCCGAGGCCCAGATGAATGCCAGTGTTTTGAATAGTGCAGGATACTCGCCAGCATGCGGAGTTTCCACCTTTGGTGAAGGCGATGGGACCTGTAATAGCCATTAGATCATCTATATTTGCGGTAGATCTGGGCACTTACTGTTGGAATGCTTGTGCTAACATTTGGTGTCATTACCAAGATGAATAGGCAAGACCAGCATAGTATGAAGGCCAGCCGTCTCAAGTTGAACCATGGTAAAATGCTGTTCTGACAGGGAGCATTTCCCAGCTGATGTGATCGTCTGAACATGAGCTCGAAATCCATGTCCAAAGGGATGATTGCCAGCTATACCCCTTCTGTTCAAGATACTTCATATAACACGCATTTTTCCTGACTGTTGGCAATATAACCTGCATTATATATAGGAAAGGGCTTCTCCGGCTTACGTCATAACATAATGGCCACTGTGCTAGCTATCCTTTCTTGTGTCTTCATTACGAATTTTTTTTTGTCACTTGTCACTCCCCACAGTGAACTTTCGTCCATCCTATTACCACAGCCTGGCAGAGGGGAAAACTAAAAGCTTATGGAACTTAGGTCTGCCTGCGTGATCCAATGACTGGTGAAATTTTCTGAAGCTTGCTGCTGGGCGTAACCAGCAATCATCTGCTTGAACTGTTGCTATAGTTCAGGGAGTCAAGTAGTCGAACAGCTAATGCAGCATTGTGGACCCATCCATTGTCCATATATTGTATACTTCTGGGAATAATGTATATTAACATGACAGAACTATTACGAAATATGGGGCATAGAAATGTCATGAGATCATTCTGTCTGTGGGGCCTGTGAATTTCTTCGGTAAGGATGGCAATAGCGACTCTATCTTGGCAGGTTTCCGCTTCCGGCCCAAAATACGCTAATTGGATTACCACACTCAGAAGGGACTAGGTACGTACAAGAGAAGATCGCCTCGCCAAGGTAGCCGTTGGTTCGTTAGTGCTTACTTACTATATAACATCATACTAACAGCGATGTGGTGAAGATAACAAGCCTTCATTTGAGAATCTATGATAACCATCATTCGACCATCTTAATTAGTCGTTGATCATTGGTCGCAGCCTTTTATGGGAGCTTCCTTTTTTCCTGAATGACAAAAATGGAGTTCAGATTCCAGTTGATGTCATCCTTAGGTAGCCCATCTTTAGTCAGAACGACTATTAATGCCTGTCGTTGAATGATTGGATTCAGTCCAGAAGTTTTGAGCTTGTTTTGAAAACGAATTGCCGAGGTTTCACTGTGGATTTATGGTGAGGAGCTATGGGTACTCAAATAGCTAAATTCAGGGTTGAGAAACACGGGGTGTGTTGCAGAAGAACGAACGAGAACCATGGGAAGTAGAACCATGGGGAGTCTAACAAGAGATCGGGTGACTGGGTAGTACGACTGGGTCTACCATCCACCCCATGAGTCTAACAGCTGTGGTTTGAAAAGCAGTAAGCACAGGCAGATTTAAAAGACTGGAACTCGGCAGAACTTTGCATTTTTGTGTACTTGCAGTCCAAGTCAACAAAAGATATTCACCTAACAACTTCAGCAGAGACTTTTTGACTGCTATGAGAACATGAACCGCTTTAACTTTTCAATTGATAAAATCCGGGTTGATAAAATTCGCTCTCAATGCTTTGATAACGTCTACTTATCCGCCGCTATTTCAATAACCGGGGGCCCACATGCCTCAGTCCAGAGATATATAGGACGTCTGAACCGCGGGGTTTATCCAATCAGTATTACAATAGAGGACGTCCCAATCGCGCCGGATGAGATTGTTGTTTTCGTGTATAGTATCGTCAATTCATCGGAAAAGACCGACAACCCTGGTCTCTTGGAGGCTGCTCAGACCTTCACTCTTAGGTTAGCTCAGGCAGGAGCCAGCGCAGTTACTGGACCGACCGTCAACGATATTTCAGAGCAAACAAAACAACAAATTGGCCATACTATCGCTTACCTGCTGGGAATGGGGGCCACGGGGGCATTGGTTCTTGGAACATTTACAGGTGGTGTCTTAGTAGCAGCGGCTACAACTATTTTCACCCAACTATGGGGACATACTTTAAAAAAGCGTGATGGAACCCTTGCAGGGGCAGTTCACCCAATGACAGGAGCATGGCTTCAAAGGGTTACTGCGGGAAACCAAACCCGCGAACAAACAGATGACACCAGGGGAGAGAAGGTCCACCATTGCGTGGCACCTTCCCGGTATCATGTAACCTGGAGTGTTCGTCCTGCGGGGTCTAGTAATGGGGCTGGAGGAAACCAACTTCCCATTACAAAGTACCAGTCGGGTTGCTGTACAATTTTATAGGCCGCTGAAAATAGGAGAAATAGATTAAGTCCAAATTACAGATAGCCCGGCTGCTCGGGTTGAAATATGCAAGGAGAGGGGATCGACATTTAACGCTCTTGGGAGCCCAGGAGATACCTGTCTTGTAAACATGCATAACTCATGCAGGGGCACATAGTAATTACACCTATTGCTTAGGCCCGCTAGAGTGCAGGTTTACTTCCTCATTAGACTGGGGAGGTGTAATCAACTCCGATGAAGCTTAAGTTATAGTAGACCATCTAGAATACCCCCATTCGCTTCGGAGTATGCACAGCATAGTGGTTATCGAGAAAAGGGTGATTGAAACTCGGAGATATTTTGATGGGTACGGGAACTAGGCCAGCTGGGGTTGCTACCGGGGCCTAAGGCTTCGCTCTAGGGTAGACCGCGACAATGCCTGTCTACGATGGGCCTTAGGCATTTTGGTTAAGGGAAGGTCCGCCTATTTCTCTCTATAGGCCGGGCCTATTCGCCTATCCACTGGATTACAGTTACCCCCACGGGATAGAGTGCTAAGGGGTTTTAATGGATTCCGCGAACGTATTATCACACGAGGTTAATTGCTCCTAAAATCAATTTGCGTAGAGATGAATTCATACGATAAAACTAGCCAAGGTCTCTAACACCTGCCTGGCCACTCCTTTTAATCCAACTGGGCCTCCAGTTGAACCCCCCGGTTGGTTAGGCACCCCCAAACCCTGAAAAGGAAGTGTGCTGTCGAAAGTAAAATCCACCAGCTTAAAATAATAGAGCTTAGGGCACATCAATGCAAAATACTCAGTCGATGAAGGAGTCAAGATCAACAGAACCATTACACTCTGGAGTTTTTGTATCCAACCAATACTGCTTTGCATGAGCAGACTTCCATCCTCCAAACAACTTCGTCACTGTGGGCACACCAGGCACTTTATCGGCCTGCACCGCCCAAAGCGGTAAATCACTTGCGACATCAGCTTCTAGAGAACCAAACATACCCTCCCACTGATTTCGGTTAGCGTAAACACCCCAGTCTCTGGCGGTCTCGCGGATCTGAAGGATCCATTCTTGGGCGACCTGAAGATTTCTGGCGTTGCCAAGTTGCCAGGCATTGCACACACCAGTGGTAGGTTCAATGTCAAGCCAAAGACGATCAATGATCATGCTATTCTTATTGATGGTATCGGTAAGTTCTTGGACTTGCTGCCGTGGGCTTTTGCAATCTATACCTGTCGGTTGTGGACCGACGCCTGTTTCACCGGTAGGCCAGTCATTTAGCCCTGATAATAGGTGATGCACCACGGTTTCGGAAGCTTACATGGAAACAGATATGCATCAACCTTATTGAAGCCTGCTGCAATCGCTGCTTTATATGCGGGCACGAAATTTGGGTCGACCCGACCACCTTGTCCACAGGCTTGTTGATAAGCCCTGATTGCAATCTTTCTGTACCCAGCATTGAATGTACATCTCCAGAAATTGGGGTTCAGGTCAGTCTGAGGTCCAGAGATATCGAAACCTCGTAGGTCGGCTAGGTGAAGTGGTGTTTGAGAGCTGTGTGACGGAGACCAAGACGAAGAAACGAAGGTGGCTGAGATCCCGAGTATAATGGTAAAGAAGCTAACAAGCATAATGATAATTCTTCTTAAAAAAAGAGTTGTAACGGTCTGCCTATTGCTTTTCTTCACCAGCGGACTGGACCCAATTGCGTGTGATTTAAGATTATCTATATTGAATGATTGAAATGCAATAATGGCGATGACGACAGGACTACCGATTATTAATTGAAGAAGTTAAACTTTCAAATACATTGTCATTGTACGAGGGAGTGTATGAAGGTAATTATTTACTTTAGTGTAGAGTAAGGCACGGAATGGTAGGATTGATTTCCCTCTAGGAGGTGCGTGGGGCGGGATAGGGCGTGACAAGGGTTAGTGAGTAGCTGGGTCTAGTGGAACAGGAAGAAGGGCTGCTCATGGAGAGTGATTGGCAGCGGGTGCTGACATCGACTCTGAAAATAGAGGAATGACGGGTTGATGAAAGGAGGGCGTGACCATGTACGTTCTCTGGCTAGCTGTCTCCCGATTGTCAAGCTTCGGGTACAGCTGAACAAGGCTTGTGTTTTACGTTTATGTCAATTTAACATTACACAGGTTTGGATCACCGCTCACATCGATTGATCCCGGCCTTACTATCTTCGCCTTCTCCTCATTTGACAGAAGTGAGGATCCGTGGGTGTCGAAACAAGGGACGAAAGTAGCACAAGGTTGCGGACTCGGATGATCGACATGCGTCATGTGGCGCACCGGATGTTGACGGCGGTCATCCACTGTCATCTACTTCGGGCGCTAAATCTTGAAATTGATTCGAAGAATCAAGAAGGTGTAAAGAAAGAGTTTCTAATGTTTACAGGATAGAGCCTGTCAACTAGGTAAGACGAAGATGCCTGGAAGCGAACACTATATTGGAGGAATACAGAGACTGATTCTTGGAGAACCGCTAGGTTTAACATGGGGGGATTTCAGCGGTACGGTGAACCAACGCTGACGTGTCGACACCTATATGGTGTCAATCCGTCGTGTGTGCGAGAGATCTGTGCATGGCTTTAAGGATTCCGTTACAGCTGGCGAGCGCGATGACGCCATGGCTTCGACGCACCCATATGCCATACACAAAGTTGGTAACCAAAGAATTCACGGTGGCTGGTCAATCAAAATCATTTTGATCATCCCCCAGTTTTACAGTTGCCTTTGTTGAAGAAAGTCTTTCCTGGCCTAATCAACATATTCCATATTTCAGGGTGAAACTGAACTAGGGCTCCGAAAGGAATAAATGAATGCGAATATAGGGCATATTCATATTCGCGGAGTGCGAATATGAATAAATGAATATCGTATTCGCGCGAATAAGCGCATTATTCATATTCGCATTCATATTATTCATATCATGCATTTTGCGCGCATTAATGAATCTTCCGTTTCCCCGGTTTTTGTATTACTGAAATACACGTTTCCACTCGTCAACTTGTACCTCAAGTGCCATCACGGCCTCGGTCAAGCATAAGTAGGAAATATCTTCCATACAAACCATGTTCTAAAGTGTATACCCTATATTGTAGGGCTTGGTAAGCTCTATGTGTTCTGCGTGAATATTTTTCGCGATTTCTTATAGGTGTAAATGTCTAGTTTTGGTGACCAACGGTTGCTACAGAAAGTTGAGCGAAATTATATATATCTACAAGACGTCTTTCCACATCTTTGCTGCTCCAGTTAAATCGACTACCATAACTTCTCTTGTTCTCACTCGATCTACTCCAAAATTTAGATTTAATATAAGCATGACTATTGGCACGTAAAAACGCGTTTACCATGCCACTTTAACTCACTTCTCATCCAAGTTACAGATTGTTTACCATGAGAGTCGCGAGTGAGAAAACCGCCGCGTGTAAAGAAAAGACCTATCAACTTTCCACCTTACTGGGATTGCATCAGGCGAAAGCATAGCTGAAGTTTCCACATCATTTTTTCATACTCACCTTTCATTTCCGACTCGCTAGGCTATCAAATATTGTCGAGTGATACTAAAGGTGTGCCATGCCTCGCTCCCAGGTACCACTTGGACTACTGACACTGGACAAATACAGAATGGCATCCTCACCTAATCCATTTGTGCGAAAGACGCGTGGTCTTCCGCGTCGCGACTACAATGCTCTGAACAATGGCACACCCTCCCTGCTCCCTGAGCCATGGGAAGGAAATATCCGTGAAATGGAGAGCCCCTGCTCGCCAGCACCATGCGAGTCTACGGGAGGCGAAGAGACGTCGCCATCCATGCGGTCCTTACCCATTCCCAGCTCTTCGCCCGCTCCGCTAGATCCCGCGCTATCAGGATTGACTAGCAGTCAGAGTAGCCCACCGCCTTACAAGAGACGAAAAGCCAAGTCATACTCTAGCTGGACCCTCGAGCATTTCTGGATCACAGAGCTAGACAACACCTGGCGTCGAAAGGGTGGGCCACCAAAGAAGGATCGGCTCTTAGTCTGTAGGCAGTGCAGTTGGTCGTCCAGGGATTCGGCACGCTATGGCTCCACATCGAATTTGTTAGCCCATCTCCAGGCCAAGCACCGCATCAGTTCTGGATCAGACATCACGTCATCTTCAACTATCGGAACGACCCTGGACAATTTTTTGACACCTGCAAAAGAAAGGGCGGGCCTTGAACAAATGCTGATACAATGGGTTGTTCAAACGAGACAGCCCTTTACGGTAGTGGAGCATCCGGCATTTAGGGCGCTTTTTGAAGCGACTGGGGCTATATTACCCATCAAGACGGCCGACACTCTCTTCAACAGGATCAGGGAGGAATTTTGCAAGAACCGGACTTGCGTCAAAGAAGAATTAGCCACTAATAGTCGCACGCTTGCGCTGTCTCTTGATGTTTGGACATCAGAGAATCAGATAGCGATCATGGGCATCATTGGTCATTGGATCTCACCCGACTTTGAGAAGCGAGAAGAGCTTCTGGAGTTCACTGACATATGTGAACCGCACTCTGGGGAGAATCTTGCAGAAATTGTCATGAAAATGCTCGAGGAACTAGACGTCGCGCCAAAGCTCCTCACAATTACGGGGGATAATGCTGCCAACAATGGAACTCTCTGCGACAGTCTTCATGCCGAGCTTCTCAAGAATTATGATGATAAAGACGACCAATTTCGCATCAGACCTCTTATGCGGTTTCGTGGACGGCAGAGCTTCATTCCTTGCCTTGCCCACGTCATCAATCTCATTTGCAGAGACGTACTGGCTTCCCTGAGGGCCGGCTCAGCTCGAGAGGCGAAGGCTATACTGGACGACATGGCCACGCAAAGTAGCCCAACATTCACCTCTGCCCACAGCACAAAAGGAGCAATCATGAAGATCCGGCTGCTGACCCTATGGATTGCCCGCAGTCCACAGCGCCGCCAGAATTGGAAAGATGTGTCACCATCCAAGCAAGTCGGCTACGATGTTGACACTCGATGGAACTCAACCTATATCATGATAGCGGACGCCCTTCGGCTACAGAAAGAACTTGGACAGTTTGTCCGGATGCATCCAGAAGTTCACGCCCTTCAAATAAACGAGAACGAATGGTCGATTCTTCAACAAGTAGCGAAGGTTCTTAAGCCATTCTGGGATCACACCAACTCGGTATCAAAATCTTGTCCGACGATTGTTGAGAGTTTGCCCATCTATTGGAGTCTAGACGACCTCCTTGACGAGGTTCAAAAGGCCGAAGGTGATTTTGAAGATGTTGATACCGAGATCCGGGATGCGGTGGAACGAGGAATCCAAAAGATGAACAAATTTGCAAGGAAGATGGACACCAATCTTCTTTACTACGTGGCGTCCGTCCTGGACCCGCGTATTAAATCGTCTTTGATCGGATCGCAGATGAGCGAGCAAGATGCGGGACTGATCATCTCTCAAGTGCGGGAGTTCTTAAAGAGGGAGTATCCGCACGAGTTGTCCATGTCGTGTATAGTGGATCGCCCGCCGGGAATGTCCGAGACTATGTGGAGGACGCTGCGAAAAGTACAGCCATCGCAGCGGACGCTTCTTTCAGACATTGATAGATATCTAGACGCGCCACCCGTGAGTTGGTCCCACCATATGATTGATGATGCAGACGAGGAATGGGTTCTCAAATGGTGGAAGGCGAATGTATTTAGCTTTCCACTCATGGCAAAGGCAGCTCGAGATTACCTGCCAATTCCATCAGCGGAGGTAGGGATTGAACGCGAGTTCAGCAATGCCAGAGATGTATTGGGACTCAGAAGACACTGTCTAAATGCGGAGACTATGCGATGGCTTATGCTACTTAAGGGACAGTACCAAAAATAGCGTTCCAAAAAAGTGATTGTGATAATATCAAGATTTATGGGAATATAACGTCTTAAAGATGGTGAACGCATTTGCGACAAGAGTCTTAGGCACATGTAATGGGGTTGCTGTATTGAGACGTAACAGCATGAACGGTAATGTATGCTCTCTCAGTATATGAATAAATATGATCATTCATGAATATTCATGAATAATGCAATATGAATATGCCTCTTATTCATATTCATATTATGCAATTCATATTATTCATATTCGCAAATATTCATGAATATTCATGAATGATCATATTCCTTTCGGAGCCCTAGATATGAGGCTGGTGCAGATCAGGAACCAAGCCGCACCGTCGGAATTAGCTCCGAAGTGTCTATACAGACGACCAAGTTGATTGGAAATCAACCTGGCTAAATTGTTGTATATATAGGCTCATGTATCCCTCTGAAATGACAAGTCAATTTATACCTCTGAACAACAGCAATAGGGTTACTCGAGAAAGTTAAACAAGGAAGAACACAGAGCAGACGAACTTTCTGGCAGAATGATGAGGATTGATTGGCCGATATCTGACTCTCAGACATGACAAACGGATTGAAAGGGAATATGAGAATAAATACCCCAAGTAGCGAGGCACTAGGAAGACCGGCTGTCTACTGATCCAGCATTGCCACTAAGTTAGTGGGCTGTACTATGACTGGGTCTGATCCACATCGATTTGACACAAGTACGTACGTAATTTTGGTACTTTTACGGAACAATACTGTGGAACAACCTGTAATCCACATGAGACTGACATACCCCTGCTTAGCGGAATGGATCTTGTTGGGAGCACTGACCCTTCCATTTTGTATTAAAATGATTCGGTGTTGCACCATGTAGTGATGCCTCCGTCAGATTACAATTTCGCAAAAGCTCTATTGGACCAGAAATCATTCTAAAGACCAGGAATCTCCTGTCCGACTCAAGCTCAGTTCTTGTCTGATATGACGAGTTTGAGACCGCTACTGTGAGTATCCATAGCGCCGGTCAAGGAGAAATGATACTAACAAGCGCAGGCTCAAACACAAGCCTCTTCATAACAATGGTCCCAAAGAGAGAGGAGTTGCCTGGCCTGGATGATTATTCACGATCTCTTTCCAAAAAAGTCGCTGAATATGCCGGAGCCGAAGGCAAGCTTACAACCATTGTTTGCATGACCTGTGCAGAGAACTTCACGCCTCATTTTGATGGTGTAAATGGAATAACCCCGTGCGGGCATATGAGAATATGGAAGTTCGCCTATCCATATGGTGGTGACATCTATATTTTCATCAGCTGTTACCAATGTTCAAAGGAACATATGCAGCAGATCATGGATCAAAGCAAGGTGCTGCAAACGACCGCAGGCATGACTGAAGAATTGTCGAAGTCTACTGAGCCAGCGATGAAGCCTCATCTCTACAAAGAAGTCATCGCAATCTACGGTATGGACGCGAACAATGTTGTCGTTTTGCCGGGCGCGCGTGACTGAGATTGATATTCAGAAAAGGCATGCATGTTGAGATTCAATCTTGTGGGCTTGTCGTTATAAAAAGAAAATATTCCTTCAGATGCATAGTCTTCTCTCCAACTCGCAAGATCGTCGGGCACGTCTGATTGATATACAGCTCATGTTGAATCAGCATCAATCAATTAAAAATGAACTAGTATGTATGCCCAACGGATTGTAACAGTGTCCTTCTTGTTTTTTGCCATGACTTAAGGACAACGTAAGGCTTATATTGAGAGGGTCGAATAGAGCGCTGGGGAGCGGATTGTTGGGGAACCAGGATGGTGCTTTCGAGGGGGAGACGGAGGTATTGGAAGGCCATGATGTATTGCGCGTTTGGTGCTTCAAGATATTGTGCCTGAACAAATATCTATGTTGAAGGAGTGTCAGTTCAAAAGAGTATTAATTTCCAGGCAATTAAGGAATGGATGGTGGAAAAGAAAAGTGTGTGCCCGCGAAAATATCACTGGGACAGAAAAGGGCGCAGAGATTTGAAGCACGTACGATCATTCTGGATAGGTCCTTTCCTTTAGGCCGACTCACTTCGTCTAGTGTGCTGACTCCTCGAAGCTCTAGTGAGCACTCTAATTAAAGGAGGGATTGAGCGTAGCAGCACTTGAGTTTCGACGTGGTGTCTCTCCAAGCAAGCAGTGACTGCTCGATTGAGCCCAGTGACTTGGCAGTACTGTCTACTGCTGTGTGTATGATGACGATTCCACATGCCTTGGTCGGGTCGAGGCTTGACGCGAGGCATCAAGAAGCATCGATGGAGTGAGACCTTCCGGGTCAGCCGCTTTGGAGGGTCATTGTGTAATGTGCAAGGTTAATGTGCAAGGTTTGTGCCGTGGGCAAGTCGATACTTTTGTCAGATTCAGGCATGCAGGGGAGAGAAAAGTTAGTTGAAATGAGAAAGGGTGAGAGTTCGTTTGATTGAGACGGTAAAAAACAGAGAACCGAGACTTGCCTGGATGAAGAAGATAAGGGAGCAGTGCCTTTCTGAAGGGCCTTTACCTTGCGGTTTTGGCCGAGCAGGATTGATTGAGTAATCCGAGATCTGGTGCTGGAGGGGGCAGCCTGTCGTAGCCGGAACACCTTTGTCCGTCCCGATCCAGCCTTTGTCCGCATAGTTGATTGCAGGGGTAGAGCACCAATTCCTTGATGGAGGGCCTGTTACTATGGTGAGTGATTACAATAAGTTACACAGAGGTCAGTTTACAAATTGCGAGAAGTCAAACGCAATCAATGCTATGGACAACTTGACCGAACAGATATGAAGGGTACCACATCGCCTCACGGTACTAACACTCAGACGCAAAGCATTTCTCTCGAACTTTGCTTCTTCCATTATTGCACAATCTCACCTTTTGCTTCTGTCTATCGATTCAAACGGTAAGACGGAAGATGGGAAACCAAAACGCCTCTAAATGAAGCAGAACTGCATGCAACGAATTTCGGAGTGAGGTACGTCCCTCGTAATTACCACAGCAACGTCCAGATGCTCTATCATATCATTTACTGACAATTATTTATTCCATATCCCACAATCTTCAGCTCCTCACGAGAATGCCTCCCCCGGTCGAACCCTCCTAACGATAAAGCTGAGAAGCTGCGATCCTCCACAACAATGCCGGTTTCTTCCGGCACCCTTGATACTATCCAAAGAGACCTAGCCGCTTAGAACAAGAGCTAAGCAGTGGCTTTCCTTCATCTGCTCGTGATGGCCTATTGGTGATTAGCCTTTGGTGACTGGGGAAAGTGCGACAATCGGAAGAACGTCATTCTGGGAGTAAGGTGCCCTCCGCTTCCAGATGTCATAAAGTGCAGCGAGCTTGCAGAATGTAGGTCAGAAGACACGAAACAACATATATATACATGCTGAGTAAACTTGCGGAGCTACATTACCATTTGGCTGTTCTGAACGAGTCCAGGGAAAGGGAGTGACCTAGCACTGAGAATATGCGAGAAAGCCACGCAGAATAGAAAGATGAGCAGTTGCACATTATATGCCACCACAGCATTATCCTTGGGATGGAGTGACATGACATCGAGGATGGCGCTGAATATGGTGATGATATAAGCGTTTAACTTTCTGCACCGGATCCTCAACGCTTGAACGAGTCTACAATATCAACCTAAACATTGAATCAGATACGAGTAGCACTTTGTGTACACGTACAGCAGTCCGTGCACTTAAGTTGGGGAATAAGTTACGTTCTTGTGGTGATAGCATCCGTAGACGTTATTATAAATTTGTTCCCCTTTCGTCACATTGCAAGTCAGCGATAACTCTATATGAAGCCATATCTTTGATATCAGAGTGCAGTGCTGTTAGGGTATCATACCATGTTAACATACTAGACGGGTACTCGGTTAACCAGTAAAGGCAATATGTGCATACCATTTCAACCCTCGATTTCGCGCAAGAGTAGAAGCTTTTCCACTTCCTCTCTTTCGTGGAAATTCATGCCCGGTCAGTCCCAGAATCGGAATATGTGTATTGAACTCACGTACAGTGTTCCTCCGACTTTATTGAGGCCCTGTATGTGACACCCAATGACGATATATCTGGCAGTAGGGGGCCCATAACTGTTTCCCAGAGTGCCAGAATATGTGCACATGTTTGTAGATCCAAACTCCGTAAGATATCACGATAAAGATACTCTTGGAAACCAGTGCCATTCGATCTAAATCTTGCCAGTATACAGTTCAATGCTACATATTCATTCGGCAATAGCCGGTCATTGGCCCATGACAAGATTGTCCCCTCTTAATTGCGTTCATTGAAGTTAGGGGATGACAGCCGGCTTCTCTGAATTGGTTGCACAATATGTGGGTTGGGGAGCTCGTTGTGCTGGAAGAGCACATAGCCGGTAGCCTTCTCACCCAGTGGTCTCCTGAAAGCATGCGGGGTCTGCGCCTCTCCGGTCAGCTGTGAGGTAGATGCAGAAGCAGGGGAAGTCCAGCTCTTTTTTCCTATCACACGGGCCGGACACCGCTCCTCTTTCCATATGCGGAGGGGGAACGCCTATCACGCGCCAACCCCTCTCGTATTACATTCGTGATTTCTCATATCAAACCCCGGGAGACTCCTGTGGCCCGAGAGGCGCCATGGCCCCAAAGTTTAACGATACAGGGGCGTAAACCGACCCCTGCATCCATATTACAGTCCCACTTAGCGCAAATACAATGTCTTTCGAAACATCGAGCATCCGTATTATTGAACGATAATGCAATACTACCGCCGCACATTGAGGGTAGCATGACCGAGAAAGCGAGCTAATGTTAGTTTAGTGATAGTGCTTTCCAAAGTTTACTTTATTAAAGAACCATTTACCAGATGCAGGGAAGACTCATTTTTATCGGATTTAGAATGCCCCGAATATTGCTACCTTCTTCTGCCTTTGAGCCACGGCCGTCCCCAATTGTGGTGCTGAGTGCCATGATCCCGTGGATGATGGCGACTTTGGAGCGAGTGAGTCAGAGTCAGCCCAGGCGTCGTCTGGATAGTGTCTCAAAGCAATCCCGCCGCTTGGTGGAGATACTATCACTAAATAATGCAATCTGGACGCTGTGCTCGGTGATGCTGGCGTATGCCTCCGGGTGGGAGCTGCGGAATGATGGGATTCCGCTGGGGGAAGGTTTGCCCAATGTTCAGCGAATCTATATCAAGGCATATGTCGTGTATGTTGACATGGTCTGGCGCAAGGAGGTGGCATTCAAGTTAACGCCAGAGACAATCGATGCCCTGGCGGAACTCCATAGAGAACTCCATTCAGTTAATAATGCTGCCTATGCATTGAGCTGGCGAGGAAAGCAGGCTCGGCTGGACAACTTGAAAGAGGAATTTGTCAAAGCAGCGAATACGTTTGTGTACCTGACCAACGCGGAGGCTCTGGCGGGACTGAAGGAGGACGGCACTGGAGAGTTACCCTACGACAGCAGTGAGGTTGCTAAAGCAGCGATTCTCCGCCTTTGCATGCCATCGATGCCTTCGCCACACATTTCAAGGCCAGTGCTTCCACTTGCTGGTGGGATTAAGCCATGGACTCCCAAAGCTGCTTATTCATCCACAATTGTCAACTCATGGAATACACAATCAAATGTCCTCACGCCACCCAGTCACTACAATCCACCACTGGAGAATACCCTGAATGTCAGCCACACCAGCTTTTTTCCTGCACCGCACCCGCAATGGACTGAATATCCACCTTTTCACATACCGAGGTATCCTTAGATGAAAGCAGTGGGAGCGCTTCTTTCGCTGGCCAATTCGTTGGCCCAGGGCGCCGCAAGATATATTCTCACTGCACGCCTCAGATTTCATCGAAATTCGCGGTAGTCCTAAATTATATCTAAGGAGGAATAGAAATGCATTCTTAATTATTCGGAGATAATCGAAGGCGAGCAGGAGAAAGTCAATCGGTTCGTGGGTTGTGGTGAAGTGGTATCATGAGTGTACTTTTGCAGGTTCCCCGTTGTACATAATATTTGCACGCGAAGTTCCAACGATGATAGACAGAAGGTAGGAAAATGAGGATGTTAGTGAGCGGATGGGCTAGAATCGTCAGAGAAACAACGTTAGCATTCAGACCTCTTGACTTGATAGACTCTTGTTTCGCAACTTACTCTACAAGGTTCTGCACCATACCATAGATGATGGCCTACACATAGGACATGAAGACTCAACCGATGGCCTCAAACCTAGCCTTGCCTCCCTGGAAAGTTGTGCTTGGTAGCTGAGGGTATAATAGCTAGGATTAAAGTCATTTGCTATGCGGCAAGTGGCATTGTTTTAGGAGTGAGCAAGTTGAAACGAGCTTAGCAGGATTGGTTGTGCGGCTGGTGCGATAGAGGCGGTCTGAGACCAACATGGGAACAAAATGGCCTTTGGCGGTCAGAGGGTTTTGTGTCAGCGGAAGAAGTGTGATATTGAGCTTTCGAAGAACATACTTTGGAGAGTTGTGCGGATTGATCATATCTTAGTCTTCTTCGGTTGGACTAGGTGTGCTGGGTGGTGGGAGGGAGCCGAATCTGGCTCAGACTCCTGGCCCTGCTTCGGTTAAGCGCTCTACCACAAGGGCTGGATTTCGAGTGATTTTCGAGGTCTTAGATACAGCAACACCGCAAATCGGCCGCTCTACTAATATCCTTCGTTTTCTGCATGCCAAAGCACGTAACGTACATTAATATACAATTTGTCCCCAGTAGCCTCATTCACAAAATCCGGCATCATATTTGCTTTCTATGCTGTCGCGCTTTGTGAGTGGAGAAAGGCTGGAACAATGGGAAAGGGCTGCAGGAAATTGATGTACACGCAATAATATTACAATCATTGATTATAGCACAAGCATTCTCCATTCTCGCCGTGAGGTTCTAAGCTGGGTAAAACGACTCAAATGGACGCGCGAACTCCTACAAGTATATGATGGATTTCTACTGAGGGCCCTTAGGGGGGTCTTATAGACGAGGGTGCAATGCGACCTGCATAGACCGAGGAACGCGCTGCGGCTCGGACGCTGGCATAATGGTCGTAAGTGACCCGTCTTGAAACACGGACCAAGGAGTCTAACATCTACACACGTATTTCGCATTTCTACACAATATGTTTGCTGGCGGTGGGAAGCAGAGTGGTTCGTGCAGATTGCTAGAAAAATTGTTTGCACCTTTGATCTACTTCGTCGGTTGAATGAATAATATCTTTAAAGCCCACACTCGGCATGGCACGTTCATAGATGGTAGAAATTTCCAACCGGAGGGCCGTGGGGTAATATTACCAAAATTCTGGAGCATATGAGGGAGACAATACCTAGAATTTACTAGGGGTAATTTGCCACACAGAGCGATGAGTCGTCTATCCATTCCCCCTCACATTCTGACTTCTTGGACCCCTTCTCATGGTCTCATTCTTCCAGTCATAGGTTTGAGGTTAGTTTTATTCAAGTATATACACTCAACTTCCCGCTATTCAGCCTTCTGTGAAGAAGCTTGACTTTCAAAATGACCCTTACATGGCTGGAAGGCGTACCTCAAGATGCAGAATCACAATGTAATCCTGATTCAAACACCTCGACATCGGTGAACGGGGGCATCCAGTCACACACGCATCAAAACACTACGGTATTAACCCAGAAGCCTGAGTACTGATAAGTCTTCTTAGTACATGCTAATTCTATGAGGTTCAGCCCACACCTCTCACAGCTGCTTCCAGACAGCCAATGTCAAACTTACAAGAAGGGAACAATGAGTCAGGTATGTCCCATTCTGTAGGGCTGCAGAGCCCAGTTGGAACCATTCCATATTCAAGTTCATGTTGCTAATGATTATCCGCTCCCGTGTGACTAGCAGTCTACTCCAGCACAGGACGGCGATCCAGTCAATCCCCTCGATGTTACCAAAAGAGCAAGACCGCAGAACCGCTACCCCACGTGACGCACGAGTTCAACAATTGCAAGTTTGATGGCAGCACAAGCATGATAGTCGGCGGAACTGGTAGGGTGGTCATTTGGAACCCGGACAATGGTCTAGTTATCCTCGCCAGCGGTGATAGGAATAATGCCTGGTTCTTGAAGAACATGTGCGGCTATCGAGAGTAGCTGTGTGGAGCATAAACAAAGGATTATAACTGCAGTTCTCGCTAGTTTTGCTATCCAAGTATTGTGCTCTTGTCCAATTCCTTGGCAATTTGACCTGTAACGAGCTATATACACGCTTGATCCGCGCTTTGTTTCAAGAGACTTCATGTCACGTTGGAATGTTCAATGCGCATATTGAGAGACTGTAGTATCTTCAGGTAGCCCTATGTCTTGTCAGCTAGTGCTCAGTACAAAATCAGAGCCGATGGGTACCCACGTAGCATTATATTGGCCTTGAAAACTCTCCGAATACAGAAAGCCCATGATAGAGTCTTTTGGTCTATGTCTTTCATCCTGATGCCCCTCCCGGCGGTGTAGAATTCCCTTAGGGGGACACGACCGTATTCTCCGTAGAACAGATGGAAGAGAACTGCTTTGATCTCTTTGAGATTTTAGCGAGTGTAATTATCAGGCTTCACGCGCACATACCAGGGCCATCCAACTCGCCAGCATTCGTGTATCTGACGTTCTCCGGCCACCAGCTTGGTCTCTCTACATATTGCGATTTTTTAGCATTTCTCATAATAGCTACCCACTTGTAAAGAAGGTCTTGACACATCATTGCATTGAGGCCATTGAATCCAGCTTGATAAAGCTCTTTCAGTGTGCGACGGGAAGGGGGTGAGAGTCGTATTCGCGAGTGTACTTCGCGAAAGAGTACCAGTATGGCCTGCTCTGCTATAGCGACATGCTCCCCCTTGGCGTTGCTGGGTAGCTCTGAAGATACGATATCAGTATTGCTTCTGAGAACGCCTGATCTACATACCACTTCCACGTTTTCTACCTTCCGTAGGATCTGCAGTATTTGAATCGGAAATTGCGAGGCTTTCGGTGTGATATGCCGCTGCCAAGGTAGTGCTTGAAAATGGATTGAGATTTGAAAGGATATCCGGAATAAATTGCGAGAAATTGGCTTGAACTGTAACCGGTGTTTTATCAAGACCAATTGTTGCTCCTGTTATCGAAAATGCCCTTTGCCTTATCAATAAATGCCAAAGGTCTAGAGGATGTAGACTCACACGCAGTTAACACTGGTGATGCCACAGTTAATGGGGGATATCTAAGTCAATGGATTGAGGACATACTTGTTCTGGAAAACCACCCTTGGCCACCCAACAGTCGGGTTTTCGGTTAGGCATTTGGCTACACAGGGCTGTTCCAGCAATCTGTGAACCCCTCCCGATTTTGGATGAAGTTTTTGTCCTGTTAGTTCAATAAGCGCAATGTGTTCGGGAGACCATCTGTCTATAAGCAGGGTTCAACACGGGGTAATCAAAGCCACGTACTTCCATATTCCGTCGACAAAACTAAATTGTTGCCACACAATATAGAAAGGGAAACCATTTAAGAATGCCCGGGGTCCGAAGTGTGTCGGATTTATATCGATAATCGGATAGGGCGTATCGTCACTAATACGGGACTGATCCACGGAGCAGGGGTTTCCCTCGTTCGTTGCATTGGGGGCGCTAAAGGGTTGTTCATGCGGGTGTGTGGTCCCTTCTATATTGGTGGAGGTTTGCGGTCCTGGCGGTCCGGTATGGTATGGGAGCAGTGGTTTGACGTTTCCATATTGTTCACGATCAGAGATCAAGGGTGAGGATTGAGGTTGATATTCCGAAGCCGAGCTAATAGGAACAGTTTGAGGCATGTAATATTCATTCTGAGGTCTGCAAGAAAGGATATGTTAGCGGGCTATGTATAAAGGAGGGCTGCAGTGGATGACATTTCACTCAGTTCTCCAATCCTGACTTACCTGTCTCTTGAATTCAAGGCCTGCGAGCGCTCGCTGTGTGACTGTGGATCCCCACGGCATTGTCCCCTATTAATCTCGCTGACATTCGTGGGTCTTGGCTTAGTCCTGACCAAGCTCGCTGCAATCGAATCACTGTCATCGGATTCGGATGCTAGATATGACTGCACATGCTGGGCTTGGAAATTGCTGCTAGAGCTGAAATTGCGGTCCTCCCTTTGATACGGGATTGAGGGCTTGCAATTCGTACCTGCTCGGGAACATCGCAGACAAGGGTATTCTCCTGATATTCTAGAACTGCACTTGAGTCTCTTTTTCCTGCAGAAACCGCAAGCCCTCACAGCATTCCCTGTAGTAGTCAGAATAGCCCTAGAGCGTTTTGGTCGGAGGTTTCGAACCGGAGTTTTTTGCCTTGTTATCGGATATACGTATTCCTCGAGGTTTCACCTTGGCACCAACTAGAGTCGCATATTTTCCACCATCTGCCAATTGGTTTCCGTGGTAGGAAATGGAAAGTTTCATACGGTGATCGTAGTTTTGATTATACAGACTTGTGGGAGAGAGAGCGTTGATATTTCTGTTATCACTGAGGTCGCGCTGGTTCAAGGGTAGATGTGAGGGCTTTGGCTCGAGAGCGGTGGGAAGTGTCCAATTCTCTAGATTATTCTCGAAGAGTCAGCAATTTGTCTCTAATCGGAACGGAAGACTCATCGTACGCTGTTGGCACTGGCCAGCCAGGGGGTCTACTAGATCGGGCCTTTTGTAGCTTGGCAGAGGGAGCTCGGTGAAGTTGACTGGCGGTTGAGAGTATAGAATAGGAAAATGCGTATTAGGCGCGGATTGAGAGCCGGCATCCTCTGAGGTGGCCCGGTAGAGATGGTGGGGCGTAGGCATGGCGGAAGTTGATGGGGGACTGTTAGTCTCCATATTTGAGCGGTAGGCCAGCGTGAAAGGTTTCCACACAGTAACGACGGGGTATTGGCCCACCTTTAATACCAGTCAGAGATTAGTGGCAGGGTGACAATTAATAAGCCCTGAACCAAGAAATGGCGCTGCATGGTTGAGATACGACTACAGATGGTTTGACGCACAGGCGCTGCTCCCGCGACTACTCAATGCCACAGAAGCACTTGTCATTTGAGGAGGCCTATAGGCTTGCCCTTTTTGGGCATGTCTGCTCCACTTTCCAAACCAGAGCTAGCCTTTACACTATGATTCAAGATCAAGGTAGGAACTAGTTTTCATTCCCCGTTGTTCTTAGTCTATGTTTTCCACATTAATGCCAGCTCTTACATTTGTGTCGCGATTTGCCTCTTTACAATGACAATGAGTTTGATAAAATAGTGCAAAATAGCTTTGACTTAAAGGGATCGGGTACTTTAGAGCAAGGATAAATAGCTCATTGGGGCTTCCAGCTGGAATAATAAACAGGAATCTTTCTTGCCTGGAGACCCTAAAACAGCACAGGAAAAAAAGGATAGACTCGCAAGTTAAGTACAATAAAAGCAATATCAGTCAACGTCCGAAGCAAGCAGTAAAAAAACAAACAAAAGAATGACGTTGGTAGTCTTCAACATTGTAGCGCGCAAACCGATCAATCACCTCGTCTGCGAACGTGAAATTTCCCCGGACAGCGGCACTGAGTGCAGGAAAAAAGAAGTCCATTCCGGGTCTAGTCTTGGCTCGTCGCCGATACCTCTCATAATTATTCTCTGAATCGACGAGGTAGCCAAAGTCTTCCAAAGCTTTTGTGTGAAGGCCACTTGCTTTGATGCCCTGGATGATGGCTGTTAGAGAATAATAGTTGCCAACACGATAGAGCTCCTATAGTTCTCTGTCAGATTATATATCAATAGGGCATAGCGTCAGAACTACCTGGGTCAAATGATCAATTTTCCGAGAAACATCAACCTTAGCAACCATGCACTCTTCAACTTCAATGCTGAGGTCGTTCCATCGTGTGTTGAGTTTTCGCCGAGCATGATCGTCTTTTGCATAGAGGGCATCCACAACGTACTGCGAAAGGAAATCTTGATCTTTCCTCGACAAAGCGTTGGCAAATTCGGACACATCAATCCGTTGAATTTGTCCAAAGAATAATGTATCGGTATTGAATGGCCCCCAATTGGCTTCAGGGGACCTGTAGAGCTTGTAGAACCGATTCTCTAATATCTCCAGTTGTTGTAATATATTTCGAGCAGTGTCGGGGGTCTGGAGCAGTCGCTGCAGTGGCTCGATAATCCACTGGAGTCGTTCGTCTAGCTCCGGCTTCACATTTTCCAACCTTTTATCAATTAATGGCACGTGTGGATTTATTTGGAGCATAACTCGTTGCAAAGCCTTCTCAATCGCAGCGTACAAAAATGGATCTGCATCTATTTTCTTCAAACTCTGCACGTTGTCAGATGAATTGTATAAAAAGAAGCTAAGAGACTCGTCGACTTACTTGTTTCAATTCACCCAAAAGCTCGAGATGCTGGAGGTTTCGGATAAACGTGCTGTAAATTTTCACCTCGAGAAAATCATATTCCCAAAGGGAACGCTCAATCGCTTGCGAGGGAAGACCGTAGGCCCGTCGAACAAACTCTGTGAAAGGAATACGCGAGAATATGTGAGAGCTTTGTTCTTCAAGCTTGGCAGCTATAGCGTCAGAGCCTTCGGCAAGTGACTGAGACAAGCTCCAATCCCGGTACAGCGAGAATCCAGCACTTTCCTCATGAGAAGAAAACGGTTCAAGTCCCTTCATCTTGGCGTAATCTTCGTTGTAAAGTCCGAAGTGGCAGAGCCGATGGATCGATTCTTGGTCCATATTTCTGACTTCAAGCTGTCGCCAACATTTTGACTCGGCTGCCAGGGGCACATCTTCGACCGAGGAATCTGCAACTTGTGTGGTTGCCGTACTCGAAAACGAATAGGGGTTTGTTAATACTAAAAGCAAATGGTGGTTAACATGCAGTCAATAACAACAAGGTGAAGGAGACAAGCTGCCAGGGAAAAAGCGTACTCTTCTCACAATTGGCAGGCTCAGCGTTGGCGTGCATCCTGTACATATGGTGGATCTACTTTAAGCAAGAATTGGGATTTGATTGTTATATACTAACGCGCAGCCAATTTGTTTCGCGGCAAGAAAGCGAGCATCGCTTGCATCAATCCCTGCACGTGCATCACCCACAAAGTACTAGGTTCATGATCGGGTGGATCCACTAAAAGGCCAATCCTTTGGCGGATGAATCCCGGTTAAGCCATGCGGAGCATCTTTGGAGGTCTTTTGTAATTAACGCTGGGAGTCCGTGTCCTGTAGATATCGGTCTAGAATCATAGGTACATGTATTTGTTTTTCGATACCGGTCATGATCGGCACCCCTTGTTTCGTGAAATATCTTTTCAATAGAGGATGTCACAATGCCTTGTGGGGCGGCCGAGGTAATCCAATAGACTCGCTCTGCACCGCTGCCGGACCAATAGTATACCAGATACACCTCCCCTAAACCCAAGCACTGTTCGTTTTGCGAATACGCATGAAAGTATCGCAGCCCTCAAATCCCGCATTGGCCATCAATATCTTCTTCCTTCTACTTAGCTTTGTTCCTAGGACTTATTTTTGCTTTGTCAGAATGATGTCTTAGCAATAACAGCAGCGGCAACAGCGGTCTTACGTTTGCAATAGGTTTTACTCAGGGGCGAATGACGAAACTATGCAGTGGTGCTAGTTCAATTTGTACCAACGTTACGGATGCCTTATATAAGTTGAATCATTGCTCAAGTAGTCACTCGTTCTTCTCTTCCTCTTATACCCTCTCGGCAGAGAAATATGTCTCCCAACGGATCAACTGATCGGATGAGCCTTGTTTCGTTGTTGAACCCTGATTCTCGCTCTGAGTTCCAACTAGCCGAGCAGCGCACGATGTCTCCTTTCGTGGCCGATTCTCACCCCGGAGATATAGTAACACCGAATGGACCGTCCGCTCCCTCTATGCAAGAAATCCCCCAACTGGGTATTAGTGGACATGGAATCTATAGCGCTGGCCGAGCACTCAAACCGAAAGACGAGTAAGCTATTCCTCTAGAAGCTAGCATTTCCCAAGCTAACGTGATCATCCTTGTCATTCTAGAAAACTTCGATGTTACTGGAAAGGCTGCACCAGCGTGTTGTCGAATAGGGGAAGTCTCAATCGTCATATGAAAACGCTGCATGAATCACCGCACTCATTCAAATGCCCTATGTGTGGAAATCTCTTCTGTCGAAGCGACAACTTGACCGCACACTTGAGGAGTCATTCGCGAAAGTCTGGAAAACATACGGATTCCATTGGGAATCCCGACAAGACATTTCTCGACCCAACAAAAAATACTACGGAAGAGACTAGTCACGTCAATCGCAAACAAAGATACAGTAATGAAGAGCTTGCTGCTCTTGACCAAGGAAGGGGCGATATTCTCAAGAGCTTTAATCGGCAATTCCCGGGGCGAGAACGTCGTCGTGCCCACGCACTACAATCAACGTACATCACAAAAACGACAAAGAGCAGAACCGCAGTCTAATTTGGTATGAACTCGTTGAACCCCCCCCCCCCCCCCCCCCTTTCTCCGTGGCTAATGAAGCACTAGAGTCACGCTTTCGAAGGGCCTCGAACTGCAATTGAAAGTGAAGTAGACACGCAGTCACATGAACAATCCGAAAGCTGCAGGATGAACTTTACAAGGAGAAGAATAAGCACCAATATACAAGGGAGCCACTTTTCTAGCAGAGGAAAGTTTTTGAGTGCCGGATTTACTGCACCCAGCCAGACCGTTGGTTGACGCTTTTATTTGAACATATGCTGTGTCTTTCATGCAAAAAACGGCTTGGAAAGCCAAAGAAGTGTCCTATGTGTAGGGGACGCATCACCGGATATATCCGATGCTACCCATTCGCGTGATAACAAATTGGTATTTTCTGTCTGTATTTCTAGTAATTCGCCACACTATCTAAGTGTTTGTGATGAAATAAGGCGAGACTTCATACTGTACTTTAAGACCACGAAGAAAAATACTTTGAGATGGGCTGTGAAAACATCTTGCCCACCTCCTCCATCTGACCTGTCTGTTCATCGTGTCCAAGGTGTCCCGGGATTCCAATTTCAAATCTGGGCTGACACAAAGTTGGGTATTCGGCCCTCCAAGCCCTAGTAGGTTTGGGATATCTTGGTGAATTAAAGGAAACACACTGCGAACAAATAAAATGACCCACAGCCCATGATTAGAATCTTTCTTTTTTTTGCTCCCACATTTTTTACCAGAGGGTAGCTTTTTTCAATATGTCCTCCAGCAAGACACACTCTGGCCCTTGATGGCCCATTCTCTTGGACGGGTGAGGGTAATCAGCTTGGATAATTGGAGAAATGAACAAGCGACAGTACAGCTTGCCATGGAGAGGGTGCCAGTAGTTCTTTAAGTAGCTTACAGGGGTCCTCTCTACTCATGTCTGGAGAAAGCACTGGCATGAAAATGGTAGGAGCACAACTAAAAAGGTCCTATACCTGCGAGGTCTCGCCGCTGATCGTCCCCGTGTTTAATTCCGCAGCTGCATTCGAGGCCTTGTATCCTTGGTATTCTAATTGGAAGACGAAGCGATGCCGATGAAGAATCCCTGCAAAGATTGAACTGTATTTCCGGCATAGTCGGCTCTGGAACTAACGCAATCTCAACCACTGTCATAAATGGCAATGTCCTCGTTTCTAGTCGGCACTAGTGTGTAGCTGATTTGACGCAACAATCACTGAGCCTGATGTCTGGCTGCTGATCATTACCAGATGCAAGTTTCGCAGTTCCAGATAGGGTCTTGGATTTCTTTGGAACACGACGCCTAGCAACAGCGGTGGAGGTACAACGCAGCAAATCAAGCATCCCCCTAGATCTTCGGATTACGTTCTGATATGAATGGCTCTGAAATTGTTACAATCTCGACGGTCTCCAATGGCTTGACTCTCGCCTCCAGACAGACACTAGTTTACATCGTGATTTGATTCCTCGTATATCGATCTTCCAAGGAACTCCACTCTGCAGACGACAATATGTGCTTCGCCTGGCGGGTTCGATCCCGTTTCCATAAGTCCGACGATTTGGCCCCTTCCAAGATTTCACGCGGCTCAATATATACGGTCTCGATGTCGCCATTATTCATCTTGGCAAGAAAAATCAGGCACTGAAGGCCTGGGTAACATTTCACCTCTCCTCCGTACATCTTTAAAATTCCAATACGGGGCGCATTTGCAGGCCTTGTGTTTGAAGTCATGAATCTGTCCATTTAGTATTTTGCATCGGTGGTGATCAACGTAGAATATCTTACTTCTGCAGGGGTTGGGAAGCCATTCCGAGCAGGTATTTTCGACTGCTAGTTCTTATGGAAAAGGATGTATTTGGCTGGCAGGTTGAAAGTTAGGTCGACTAACGTGGAATCACTAAGAAAGTGCGGTGAGATATCCCATGGAATCCCAAGCTATAAGATATGTTGCCTTGTTGGTGGAGACAAAAACCAAGGAATTTACAGGATCTCAGTCGAAGCAGCAGGGTAGAGTATTGGACCATCTGTGGCGTCGACGCTGCTATCAATATGCAGGCTTATACACCCCCTGAACCGTACCAATGTCCCTTATGCTACCCCTGCCGTCATCATTGGCTATGGCTTGCCAACCAGATTGCTGCCGTATGGTTGTTGTTGTTTCCTGCATGAAGCCAATCAGACAGACTTGCTTTTTAGAGGATGTCAAAGCGGACTTGGGTGTAGGATTATGTGGAGACTTACAATCGAAGTTATTGATATTATGACATGTACACTGATCGCTTCAAACCAAGGCGATAGATAGCCTTGCGATCAGGAGGGGGAGGAAGCTAGACGAATCAGAACAATTCCAAAACGCAGTCTCATATGCAATCCTGTACAGTCCTGTGCAGTCTTCTATAATCCGGGGCAATTATCAAGCTGTATGCAACTCAGTGCATGCACAAGTGGCAGGGACAGAGGGGACAGAAGGCCGTCTTGCTCTCTATTTGATCTTTAAGGTCTGTAGAATATGATGTTCTTTCTTTTTATCATACTAAGCCCGTCAAATTCTTCTTGGGCAAGACTCAAAGTCTAATAGTTTCGAGAATTTATGGAGGCAATTTATGGAGGCAATTTATGAGGGCTTCCTTGTACCCAGCGCTAAGCCCAGTTAGACCATCACATGACCCCATATGTACCCTTTATTTTAAATGGTAAACCTACGTTGTATTTTCTTAGTAATCCTCATAGTAATTGTGAGAAGCCGCCCTACTAAATTTAATCTCTACCATTTTTGAAGCTATTCACATGGTTTTGAACGATCCGTTTCTGTCCTCTCACCCTGAGAAGTCCCATCCGTTCTTTTCCTCTTTGGCCTATGTGCCCGGTTTGACGGAGTTGGGTTTGACAGAGTTGGGTTTGACGGAGTTGGGTTTGACAGAGTTGGGTTTGACAGAGTTGGGTTTGACAGAGTTGGGTTTGACAGAGTTGGGTTTGGCAGAGTTGGGTTTGGCAGAGTTGGGTTTGACAGAGTTGGGTTTGACAGAGTTGGGTTTGAGAAAGTTAGACTTGGCCCTACGCGATAAATCAAATCGGTGCTTATGTAAAACACGCTCATTGGCCAATGCGAGTTTGACAGAGTTGGGTTTGGCAGAGTTGGGTTTGGCAGAGTTGGGTTTGGCAGAGTTGGGTTTGACAGAGTTGGGTTTGACAGAGTTGGGTTTGAGAAAGTTAGACTTGGCCCTACGCGATAAATCAAATCGGTGCTTATGTAAAACACGCTCATTGGCCAATGCGAGTTTGACAGAGTTGGGTTTGGCAGAGTTGGGTTTGGCAGAGTTGGGTTTGACAGAGTTGGGTTTGACAGAGTTGGGTTTGAGAAAGTTAGACTTGGCCCTACGCGATAAATCAAATCGGTGCTTATGTAAAACACGCTCATTGGCCAATGCGAGCTGCCCATGCCGTTCTGGGGTAAATACAATATTAATTGGTTGGTTGCTAGTGCCGGGGGTCGAGAACACAAACACTGTTATAAATATACCTTTGATCTACAAATAGTGGAACAGGGATCCTGGATCGGATCCCAAGTCTACTGCATGTACCTTTGAAAATGCGCCAATTTTGCTGCATGTATACAATCAAAGAGGGATTCGGATTTTGGATCATCCATGCTGAATCGATGGTCGTATTTTTAAAATTTGTCCTTTTATCATTCTCATGTTAAAGTCTAGAACTGAAAAAGCTTGGGTATCCCTTTCTTATTCTTTTTTGGTCTTTATACACCCTCAGCTTGATTCAAGATATTTCATTCTGAGCTGCCCCAACCCCAGGTATCACCCTTCGTTCCTGCATCGCGGGTACGAACAGTTACTGCACTGTAGTTATCCGCTTTCCATCCCCATTGAGATTGAAAAACCAGCACATTGTCAACTCGAACTGTGTGAGTACATCCCGCCAATCTTCCTCTGGTTCTATTTGCAAGAGCTTGATTCGGTCCCGGTTGTCGGAATGCCAGCGTTTGTTGCCGGTTCCCGCATCGGGGTGGGGATGGCCTTTCCGCCTTTGGGTGTTCATGAACACCCTCTCCCGGGGACGGACTGGTGCTGCCGAAGATGCTTAGAAGCAGTTAGCTGACTGCAAATCTACAGCATTAGTCCCACTTCTTCGCAAGAGTTGCAACTCTATCCCTCGAGTAACACTATATATAAAGAGAACACCTCTCTCCTGGGCGTGCAATAGCATCATTCTCGATGCGACTGCGTCCCCCAGCACCTACACGTATTTATATCAGCCGCAAGGGCTTACAGTAAACCAACAAGCGGAGCCATGAAGAGATCTGCCTCGGTTCTCGAAGGGTCCCTCAGATCGGGTGATGTTCCTGTATGTTGTTTCCTAAGAGAAATTTGGATTCCTTCTTACTGACATTCGATTAAGCCAATGATGACCAACTCCCGCTCATCGTTCCCTCCTTGTTGTGTTCACTTTGCCATGATTTACCTTGACCGTGATGGCAAGCTTAAGGTTGATGAATCATCTTCTATTCAAGAGCAAAACTCCACCGTGTTCACCCCAGAAGTTCGTCAGAACTTCCTCGAGATTCTAGGTAAACATATCGGCTATGCCTCTGTTTGCCGTACGTCATAGTTCCAGACCCTAAGACTAATCATATGCTAATACCAATATGCAGAGACAATGGACACAGCTCCTCATCGGGTGAGACGTCGCAAGGGCAACACTCCTGCTCTTCCTGCCTGTGACGACCGCCTGACTGAGCACGACATTGATAGCGAGGACGTCCCTAGCGGGTCTACCGAAATGGTTCCTCTCCGTATTGGAGACGCCCAAAAGGTCATGAGTTACTATGAAGGAGCACTAAAACACTTCCAACAGCTAAACTGCCGCATGGTTGCCAAGGCATTCATCAAATTCATCGAGCCTCGCAAGCAGGTCCGACACCCTTACAATGGTGGCAAGTCACCTCCAGGATCCGCCCCCGGTACTACTGGTGACCCAGAAAAGACTAAGCCCGAGTGGTGGCCTCCTGGTGTCATGCACAAGGAGCCTGACCACTTGAGAAAAGAGTGTACGTTTGCCTATTGTCTGGTTCCTGATTCACTCGCTTACTTTATTTTCAACAGACCGCATTGAGCTCTTGCTTCACATTATCCGCAAGCTCGGTTCTTACGGCATTACTGCCGATAAGCTTAAGGATGTTGCTGGTTACACAAAGCGGAGCTTGCAGCACCCATCCGATGTCGAGATCATCTACGAGATACTCCGGGTTCGTAAGATGGAGGAGAGTTTCGAACGAGGTGAAGCCGACGCCAACATGGTCGTCTACACCATGAGGCGCGGCCCTAGTCTTAAGGGTGGTGAAGAGGACGACCCCGCCATCTCAGTGACTACTGAGGAGCCCGAGGACATCTACCAAGGATCAATGAATCCCATCCTATTATTCGAGCAAGCATCTACCTCCTTAAACACACCTATCGATAATATCCCATCCGCCCGCCAGGACCCCTTCTACTACGCCACACCTCCCCAATACTCCTATGCATCGTCGCAGCCCATACTCGGCACGCCCGTCACAGCAGAGTTAATCAGCCCCCACGGCGCGTTGGTCTCAGCTTTCAAATACTCCGCCCACAACACCTACCCAATCTCCACTCCAGGAGTAAGCGGTCACTGCAATACCTGGGCACCATCTTTCCGCCGTGAGATCTACAGCACTGTCGACTACGCTACACCGGCATCTAGTCAGGGTATGCCCCGGCCGTCAATGAACTGCCAGATTCCCATGGTCTCGCACGTGTATGACATACCCCGTCACGATTCCCAGCTTCCCGGCATGGACTCCATTCACCAGAGATCCCTGTATTTCCCCAAAGTATCGCTGGACCGCCTACAGCCTACCGGGATGCCATCTCCCACGCCGTCTGAATGACTAATGCAGTGTGAGGTTCTTGTCATGATGTTTGACTCGTGGACGGCAATGGAATGGGGCATGGGTATATGTATAGTTATTAACAAACATTAGCGCTTATTATAAGGCTTTGTCAGAGTAATAGTAGTAGTTGTTATTGTTTTCTTCCTTTTTGTGGTAATTGTAGAATTTCACTGAAGGGTATAGTTTCTGTAACGATTTTTTTTAAAACGGAAAAGAGAAAACGCATCACAATGATAGGCGCAGGTCTCGGTCACATTACCGGCTCCAAATCATTGTTCCTTTACGCATTTATTTCCAAATTCGAAAGCCAGTCTTCACTTGAGTTAGAACTAATGTTTCTTGCTCCCGCTCCCGATATCATCCATGAGCTATCACATCGCCTGGCCAGAACCGCTCTATACTGTTTTTCAAGACCGCACACTGAATCATGAAAATCAAGCCAGGGATGTGGCAACTAAATCCTTGAATGCATTGGTGGTAATCCGTAATTCACAATAGTATTAAGTCTCTGGGGACCATAATACTAGCTGTGCTGCTCCAAATTTCTTACAGGGGAGGGGATGTACGGCAGATCCCCTTCTCCCCAATACCATACGGCACAGTGAAAGGAGATCCAGATTTGTGGTAAGGCCTTGTGAGCTACCAATTTTTGCCTTATTTGAACATGGCCTTGGGTCCACTAAAGTTTTCCAGTACCAAAAGTCCCAATATGGGTGATAAGCAAGAAAAGAGACAATGATACGTATCTTTACGGCCTCCTTTTAGGGGCCAGACCCATTATTCCAAGGTACTGTTTGCTAGGATATAGGTCCTAAAGCGTGGTCAAAACGTGAGATCCCGAATTCCGGAATTTGGGGCCAGAATCCCCAGCCTTTGACCTAAGCTCAGGCTTGCATGCACCTTCACCAACTGCCAGATGAACATTGCATATGAGGCTGATTTGCGAAAATTTGGCTCTCATCATGAGTTGGAAAATTGAAGCCAATAAGATAGCCATGGGGACGGGTGGAGATCAGGATGAATACGTCAGATTCACTCCCCCTGGTACAAACAATGGAATCTCGTATCGAATAACAACACTTCACGCATATTGATCCAAGAAGCTGAGTGTTCCACTGATGCAGAGACTCCTTAGTTGGAGATTTCTGGAACATGGCCTATTAATCCTCATTGGGTAGTTTTGTTCAGGTGGAATACTCTCTTTTCTCCAAGCTTCTTCGCAATATTCTTTCAGCTGCGTAGTATCACAAGACAAGGTGCCCGGCATATCATGAACGAGGTCACTATTTTCGATCGATATGAGTACAACATAGCCAATTCTGGCGCCTGGTTTTTGATATTTGGCAAACAAAAGGCGTACGAAGCCTCCAGGTACGTGGTAGGCGATCAAAGAGGCTTCGAACCCGAGAAAACCTGGAACATGACCTATCAATCCAGCCGTTGTCTCCACAAAATGCAGGACTGGAGCTGGAACAGAGGTCTAGAGGCGCCGTACATACTCTAGCGCGGTACAACCTGTACTTGCTCTCGGTCTCTGGATAATAGACCTGTTCCACCCCCTGTTTGAGCCGTGTATATAAGTAACAGTTATATGGGATCAGGTTGGACTATTAAGATAAATTGCATCTCCATACTTCGATACTCATCCACAACGCTCATATATTTGAGAATCCCCTCCCTGTCGCACACAGAGACGACATCGCAACAGGTAGGTATTATCTCACATCTTTCGTGTCACCTTTGGCTTTGAAATATCGAAATTATCAGTTTGCTAAACACTCACCGAAATCTGCATTAGTTCCTTTGTTGCCCGTCAGAGATTCCGTTGCCATCGTTGATATTAAAAATATCCACTACAATGGCTCAAGGCAATCGTATGAGAAGTCTTTATTCTGATCTTGAACGAACCATTATTGTGAATCCCCAAACCCTGTTGGATTATCTCCTTACATGCTACCCAATTTTTCTCATGCTGTTGTTTGTCGTGGTCTGTGTGATCCAAGTGGTCGTCGAGAGCAAGACCAAGCAAAAAGACCCGCAGAACAAAGATAGCCAGCTTTCCAGGCAGACCCGGAACCCGATGGCTTTCAGACAGGTTCAGCCTTTTTCCCGCACCGTCAAACAATGCTTCAACTGGCTCTCAGCTGGTGTGCTTGTGACGTTCCTTGCGGATGCGACGATCTATACCGCCCACGTTTTAATGGCGCGCTCCGAGTGTTGGTGGCGCGGGCAGTCTGCAGTGGTGCGTCTCTATGTGCTTCGTTGAACATTGTTATGTGTTAAGTCCTAACAACCGCAGATTTATATCACCGGCTCTATTTTTGCCTACACAGTTATCCTTGTCAGCATACTCGATACCACCCCGTCCCCGACGGCCACTCAGCTTACATGTTGGTCCTTCGCCATTCCTACCGAGCTCATCATCCTTACAGTCTCCCTCTCGCTTTATAACTCAGAACATTATGGGCCAGGAGTCGGAGACCCCAACGGAGGCGCGATGCACCAAAGGATCACCTTCTGGGAGTGTATGGAAGCGGTCCCCAACGGTGTCCGTATATTGATTCTAGTCTCTCTTGTTCTCCTCTACTGTACCAAGTCCGGTGCTCACATAGGCCATGATGGAGATTCGGAGGAAGACCAAGGTTGTGCGACTGAGACAACCAGGCTGCTGAACACTCCGCGCAGAAAGATTTCTCTTGTTAATGGTCACGTCTATGGTTCAACAAGTGGAATTGCGAGACCCGCGGAGCCCAAACCACGGAATTCCTGGGGGCGACCAGAAGTATTGCCATCTAGGAGCTATGTGGAGTATCCCAGTGGCTTCTCGCGTTTTTTTCCCTAAATGTGGCCCTCTGAGTTTCCCCGCCTACAGGCTGTGGCAGTGGTTTGTTTCCTTCTTGTGATTCTCCAGCGAGTTCTCAATGTGTGGATACCCATCCAGATTGGGACGATTACTACATCTTTGGCAAATCAACAAGATGGAAATGGCTTCCAACCACCGTGGTTTGAGGTCTCCATGTATGTTTTTTACCGCTGGCTGCAGGGAAATCTGGGGTCTTTGCGCTCTGGTCTCTGGATCCCAATAAGCCAGTATTCCTACCTGGGGCTCTCTACAGCTGGTTTCGAGCATGTTCACAGTCTCAGCTTGGATTTCCACCTGGAAAAACAGACGGGCGAGCTTTTATAAGCTCTGAACAAAGGCAAATCAATCAATTCATTCCTGGAACAAATAATATTTCAGTTCCTTCCTACGCTAGCTGATCTGGTTATCGCAATTGGATACTTCCTAGTTGCGTTTGACGTTTACTATGCCCTTGTGGTTGGAATCTCGGCACTTGTTTATGTTTATATTACCATTCGCATCGCTCAGAGGAATGCGAAGACCAGAAGAAAGATGGTCGATGCTTCGAGGCATGAGGATGCGATCAAGTAAGTTGAGGCAAATACCAATGATCCGAGTTACAAGAAGGCTGACATGCATGCACACACAGAAACGATTCGTTGGTGTCCTACGAAACGGTGAAATACTTCAATGCCGAACGACACGAGTTTGACCGATACCGTCGCGCTATCTGCAACTACCAGAATACGGAGTACTACACATTCCTCTGTGGGACCCTATTAAACGCCAGTCAAAACACTATCTTGTTGACCTGTTTACTGGTCACGTGCTTCATCGCTGTGTATCAAGTCTCTTCTCTCCAGCAACCCGTGGGTCGGTTTGTTACCTTGTTGATGTACATGGCCCAGTTACAAGGTCCCCTGAGCTTCTTCGGGGCCTTCTATGTCTCTATACAGTCGTCTTTGATCAATGCCGAGCGTATGTTGGAGCTTTTCAAAGAGCAGCCAACAGTCGCTGACAGCCATTGCGTTTCCCCCTTGGCCACTTGCCAGGGAAAAATCGAGTTCCGGGATGTTAGTTTCTCATATGATGCGCGGAATCCTGTGTTGACCGGACTCACGTTCACTTGTCAACCAGGAACGACTACAGCTTTGGTGGGAGAGTCTGGTGGGGGCAAATCTACTGTTCTCCGTCTCCTCTTCCGATCCTACAATCCTGAAAATGGCAAAATCCTCGTCGACGGACATGACGTCCAGGATATCACGATTGATTCTCTTCGTAAAAATATTGGTGTGGTTCCGCAGGATACGACACTTTTCAACGATACTCTGATGTACAATCTAAAGTACGCCGACACCGACGCAAGTGATGAAGATGTGCACCAGGCTTGTTCCAAGGCCGGAATTCATGACAAAATCGAGGGTTTCCCAGATGGCTACAACACCAAAGTTGGAGAGCGTGGGCTGCGCCTCAGCGGCGGTGAGAAGCAACGTGTGGCAATCGCTCGAGTTATCGTGAAAAACCCGAAAATCATACTGCTGGATGAAGCTACATCTGCGCTCGACACTAAAACCGAAGAGCATATCCAGACATCCCTAGCTAATCTCTCCAATGGCCGAACCACGCTCATCATTGCCCATCGGCTAAGCACCATCACGTCGGCAGACCTCATTTTAGTTCTCGGCGATGGCAAGGTGGCCGAGAGCGGCACCCATGAGGAACTAGTGAGTATGGAAGGCCTTTATGCCCGCATGTGGAGAAATCAAAAGGGCGAGGCAAAGCAAAGACAGGTAGAGTGCATTTAAGGGGATCAGCTGTACACAATTTCACATAACACTAGCTACATATACAACACGCTAGAAGAGCACCAAATGTTTGTCCCATAGTATGTACGCTTCGAGTTCTTGATGTCTTTGCCAAAACCGGAGAATCGCGTGGATTTAACAAGCACCCATTTCTGAGCAGCTATGATGCAATGACGAGGCCAATTAATCAACATGATGAAGATCTTTGGATGAGGACATAATTCTCTATGCAACCGCTTGGGCGACGTCACAGCTTATTACCAAGTCCAGATAGGAAGGCCAGACAAACACGTATATTTTCTACGGCGTCAAATTGTGCATAGCTTATTCAGTTCACACGTTGGTAACTACGACACTGTGAAGGTTTCAATTTCGCCATAACCTATAAATCAGAAAAATAGCATAGTATTAAAAAGTGAGGATCTGGTTGTAAGAGATTAAAGATTGAGGGCCTAGGTCTTCTCATAAAGCAAGCCATGCATGTGATCCAACACCACAGTAGCAATTCTGTCGAGGATGACATTGAACTTCGGATCGGGAGCCGGCTATCCTCGAAGCTTCCTGCATTCACGGGTACCCCAAGTTTGCGCATATTCTTGGGCGCCACAATTCCAGCCTGGGCAGATCCCGGGAGCACTCTGCAGATCAGGATAGGATTCACAAATTCAACAGCTCGGAGGCTTGAGTGAGACAAACATGTGCAATTACTAGCCACGAGCTTGTAATAAGTACCCAACTTATCTGACAAGATCTTGTATACAGAAAAAGATTCAGTCAGCACCCAATGTCGCCCGATTCGGCCTTCTCTCCGAATAATTCTCACAGCAATATGCAATATCTCGATGGACTTCATCCATTGAAGTGTATTTGCCATTCCAGCAACCAGAAATGATGGACCCTCAGACCAGAGCCTCCAAAGGCGGGAATTTTCGCTGCGAGAACAACCCCTCAACAACTCCACATCTGTGGTCGGACGGGTTACCTCATCAAAGCTACTCTTCTATTACACGGATACACTGTGACCATTAAGGCTACCACGACGGAGAGGAAGCATCTTTTTCAAGCGGAAGTGGGCAATTATCGCTACCTCAGCAGCTTGCAGAAACACCAGATCCCCGTCTGCCTCGGGACCTTTACACCCCGCGTTGCATATTGGTACCACGGCGCAGATGATGGTACTCGCCATACCCCGTTCCCCAAATGTCATGTATATTGAAATATACTTCTCAATATACTAATTATGATAGTTGCTGTGGTTCTAACATCGAGAAGTTTTAGGTAAAAAAGCTTGTTTATCTGGAGGCAAAGCAGCCATTCTTGAAGGGTTTAGATCGCTCACGGTCATTCGTTCCGCCTATAGGCGCGCTCGAAATCGGTTTCACCACCTTATTCTCTTTGGTTCTTTGCTAACCTGAATCCTGAAACAAACTAGTTTATTTTGTATTTAGCAGATTTCAAGATATCGAATTGTTTTGTAAATTCAGGGTCAGCATAGCTCTTTTTCGAAGGATTTTGATGGTAGGCTCATGTTACAGATGGTACCTGTATAATCCCAGAACTTAGATGAGAGATCATTAAGAAGCACTTGTACTAAATGCTTGCTTGTTTGTCTCGGTGTAGTACGGCACATCGGAAGATTAAGTGAAGCCCATTTGTCGAGCTTGATAGTTCTTGATAGACATCGAAGGCTATAGGGCGAATCAAAATTAATTTCACCATTTTCTCTCTTTGATTGCTTTGCTTCTCAGACTCTATTTTTAGTGACGCCCTAAATAGCAACTATTGATTTTTATTGGCTTCTCCTTTTACTGTTTTTTCTTGTTGCTCTGCCAATGTAGCTCATAAGGAGCCACGGCCTAAACCGCTTGCTTCCTGCTTCGACCAGCAAAAATGAGCGGAAGCTGGCTTGTCTCCTTCATTGATCACATCCAAGGGGCATTCTTATAATTGACACTTTGTATCCCAACATCACGAATAATAAATCTGTAAACACCTTTACAGTATGCGTGCGACAACCACTGCTTCTCAGAGTCAATATATATATAATAAAATATTCCTTCAATAGTTCGTGGAAGCTTTTTATGACTAGTCAAATAACTACACGCAGCACAATATGCCTTTACTTCGGCAGGTTTCTAAATTCGGGCAACAACTGAATTCTATTGACTGTAGATTACCAAGCCGAAAAGCCTAATTGAGGAACAGGAGCTTATGGGACATAGCATCGATTACACTACTTTGGAAATTGAATACGATGGTCATGGGGTTCCCGATTTCCATCGATGCTTTGGTATCGACAGAGTCCTGAGACAGACACAAAAGTGGGAATTTTGTTTAAGGGTGAGAAATAAGCTCCCTAACATAGTCCACCAGGCGGGTATCACAGAAGACTGGAGTACACAAAAGGCATGGGCTTTAGCCTCGGGCCTGTTTTTCCTACGACAAGGATGGAAATTTATATTTACCACGAAAGGAAAATAACACCATGCTGCTCAATATTTGAAAGAGGTTCAATTTTACTATAGTCCCTGGGATCCAGACTTTCCGAGTACGTCGCTTTTCGAAGACTTTCCGCGACTTGACAGGTCCCGTAAAGGGGGGATAGTCACATGAGAGGCTTGATGAAGAGACAAAATATGACTGGCATTGGATGAAGTGGACACCGAATACACCCCAAATCCCTGTGTCGAGTTCAAAGTGATAATGAATCGAATTGCGAAACGTGGTCTACGAACCCATGCGCTCCAAGCAACTTTTGAACACCCGACCTCCACTCCCATGGGGTATCTGTAGCTGAGTCCGGAAGATCCAGTCCACTGTTTATTCGAAACTTGGTTCGAATCCATCCTCTAGGAAAAAAACCCGCAACCTCCCAATCAATGATACCGACGTCGCCGGTCTCCGGAATCTCCTCCACAATGATATTTCCAGGGGCGAGATCAGCATGATAAAATACAAATTTGGAGCAATCCATTTCCATCAAAGCACATTCTCGTTGGAGGTTTTGGGGAGTATAGTCTGCCTCCGCCCCGTATCTGATGAGGAACGGCTCAAGGACGTTTTTCCCATCCACGCCACTAAGCATGTCGCCTTCCCGACTCTCGAGGAATTTGCAGATGTTCACTATGGCGTTCATGTAGTGATTTCTCCATTTTTCATCTAGCGTGGACCAGGCATTTGCAAGGGTTCGGCCTCGCACCCTACTCAGAAAGAGATAAGACCGACCACCTAGTTCGGTGTGGTGCAAGACCTGAGGGATTTCGAAATCAGGCCGCAGTTTATGAACAAATGACAATGTTGCGGCCTCTGGTGTTGTACCAAGAACGCGAAGTTTGACCTTGCAAAAAGCGCTGTTTCCTACCGACCAGACTGCCGAGCTATCGCCGACATCGTAGACTAATCGGAACGGATCATTCTCCGACAACGGTACGGTTGGAGGCGGAGGGGCAGATGCGTTGGTGAGAGTATAGCTGACATCGTCGCCTTCATCGTACCAGGTACAGGTATCAGAATAGCCTTTTGACCGACGGAGTTGTAGCGGACCGATAAGCCAGGTATTTGCATCCACCTGTTTGATTGACTCTCTGACAGGATCGTTCATGATCTTGATTATGGTAGGCTATCAAGCGTTATTGATCTTAAATTCATCAAATTGTGGAGGTGACTGATAAATGGAGGAAATATATTCAATAGAGTTGAGTCGCGATATGAAGAAAATTAAGAGAGAGAGAAGTTGTGGCGATTATATACGTTCAAAGGGGTGGAAAATAACACTGCTTACGCTGCAGCAAGAATGATCCAATCATAATTTGGTTGGCGGCAACCTGAAAGTGGGTCCTTAGAAGAACATCAATTGACTGGAGACTTGGAGGCAGTAATGAATTAATACGACGAATCTCATAACGGGGGGCAGATGTGATGGACAGGGGAGGGTTTTAAGCCGTCCCACTGGGGTTCCCAAGAGTTGAGGCGCCTTATTCCTCGTTTCACTGTAGCCATTTCGCATGGTGTTTTTGGCCGGCGCCACTGGGACACAAAACAAGTATTTAATTTATTTCGCACTTTGTTTTAGCAAGTTATGAATACTATTCATGGTCCTTCGCTTTACAAAGTTGTTTTTGACTAGTAACATAGAATCCTAGAGGAACCAGTTATATTGATGAAGTCGGGCCATATGTATCTTAGATTGGCTTATTCTAGTGCGTACTGTGTACAATAATGGATATTTACCTGTTTGGAGAGCCTGCTGGAAGTTTACCAAGTCCGCTTGTCAAAGTGAAATATATTACGATATGATAAGTGTCCAATTCATTGGGAATGAACTTCGCGTAAAGCTTGCTAATATGTTGAATATCATGTTTAGAGCATTACTCATATCCTTAGGACATCTCATGCTCCTTAGATGTTGAATTGTTGCATATATGTCACTGTTCTTTCCAGCTGTATCTGAATCCACCATCGAAGTGCAACAGGAAGATTCGCAGCAATGCCTGTTGATTGATTAGAGTTGCTGAGGTTCTGGAGATAAGCGTAAAACATACAAGGATTCTGTGTCCATTGGAAGACAATTTAGACGCTTTGTGAAAGCTCGGTACCGCAAATTTTGGTTCCGCCTTTGCCATCGCTGACGGTATTGCCGCAGAATTTGACATAAGTCGGGTTGCCCTGCCCACAAACTCTGCAATTGGCCATGTCAACCGGCTGGGTCTCTTTATCGATGATGGCCATTGCTAGTGACGATTGTTGTATAGAAGTTTGTGATTGAAGTCGTAAATCGCTGGTCTGAATGACTCGGGGTGTTTGAATATGTTTTCCAACCGGATAGGCTGAAGAATGGTGGTCCCTTATATATCATTCGAATCTGCACGGTTCTCTGTTAATGACAGTCGACCGAGTCATTTCCCAGAGGGCTCCAAGCACTCCATTCCATACTGTCTATACAGCTACGCTCCTGGATGTGGGGTGTATCACAAATTACGAAGATCACGCAGGATCACGCAGGATCACACAGGCTCGTAGGCACTTGGCATATGATAGGTCTGACTCATCCAACTTATTTGACAACCTCTAATTGGAATCAGACGGGGGGTTTGGCAGAGTTGGGTTTTGCAGAGTTGGGTTTGGCAGAGTTGGGTTTGGCAGAGTTGGGTTTGACAGAGTTGGGTTTGGCAGAGTTGGGTTTGGCAGAGTTGGGTTTGGCAGAGTTGGGTTTGGCAGAGTTGGGTTTGGCAGAGTTGGGTTTGGCAGAGTTGGGTTTGACAGAGTTGGGTTTGACAGAGTTGGGTTTGGCAGAGTGGGGTTTGGCAGAGTGGGGTTTGACAGAGTTGGGTTTGAGAAAGTTGGGTTTGACAGAGTTGGGTTTGACAGAGTTGGGTTTGACGGAGTTGGGTTTGACGGAGTTGGGTTTGACGGAGTTGGGTTTGACGGAGTTGGGTTTGACGGAGTTGGGTTTGACGGAGTTGGGTTTGACGGAGTTGGGTTTGGCAGAGTTGGGTTTGACCCTCCGACAAGCGAAGTGGTTATGCAAGACATGCTTATTACAAGCGGAGAGTGCCGTTGGCTAAGGCGAGTGAGCTGCCTATTTCCGTTCTGGTATAAAACGTTCTGTTGTAAAACATAATCTCGAAATCCTGGTAAAACATTCCAATTCACCAAAGGTAGCATTGCTCAGCCCATAATTGTTTGATTGCCTAGTATCGAAGAGGGGGGGGAAGGAAGGGCCCTGCGAAATCCTCTGTCAAACCCAACTCTGCCAAACCCAATCCAAGTCGTCGAAAAAGCAAGAAATGAGCCTTTCATCAATATCTGCTCTCAGTACGACCTGTAACTCTTGTTGCCAGAGGGCATTAAGCCAACTTCTAGGAACTTGAGATGGCAGAAATTGGGGAGAAATTGCCTTACAATGCCTGGAACGTCCTGTTAATTAATGGCCCTGAGTTCCGGCTTCACACTCTCTGCAGGTTTTATCTATTCTATATTGATTGCTGTCAATGCAAATTGACTTGTGTCATTATGCAAATCAAGATTACAGCAATAGTAGGCATATGCAACAGAAACACTACCACGTATGGCCGGCATAATGGCGCCACGTATACCAAACTAGGCAAAAATTGGCTGATCGGGTTCAATGTTAATTATGCGAAGCATACATAAGACAACAATCTCACGATCTGGCTGAGAAGGCACACCGCCAATGTCGACGTATGGTGGGTATCACCTGACTTTTGAGTCACGGGACGCTTAGGCGCCATTCACTCCCCGGGCAAGCAGCGGTCCGGGCTAGAAAGAGAAAACAAAGCAGTGCCAACCTACTATAGTGGTTCTACAACTATACTCATGTACAACTGTACTTAAGTTTACAACCTCGTCGCCTCTTTTTCGGCCTGAAGGTGGTGGTGGGCAATCAATTACTGCCTGACGAAATCACCTGCTCTTCAACCCCCACCTCCTGCCCCACCTTAGAATTTTACGCAAATTGCAAACCTGGATAAACCACATCATCAGCTGCCTTCAAATTATCATCAACTTACCATATTAATTTCCGTCCGATCTCATAGCAAGGCTTCATTCCCAACAACCATCACATTATCACGTTTACCGAGCCGCCTCATCACGCCAACTCACCTGGCACGAAATCGACCCAAACCCGACTCATCACCACCTAGCTGCGTTCGAGGTATTGCTATGAAAACTCTTCTCCTCCTGAGTGACGAATCTTACTGATATTGAAAATAGTGGGCATCGTATCCCTCGTATACTGGATTTTTACAGGCTGTTATGACAATAACGAAAGAAGATTTGGTATGCCGCCTTTGTGAGAGTCTGGTGTATATTGCTGATTTAATTATGCTAGATATCGCGGTGGGATCCGCTTTCTGCGGACGACAGCCGGCTGCAAAGTCTCAACAAATATGTTGCGCTGGAGGTCATCGACCCCGCATCTAACGATCGACAACTTCTTTGCCGAGATTGCGAAGATGTCGTTTTCTTCGATGCGGGCAGTGAGATTTGGAGTACAAAGGATCCTGATGGCCAGATAGAGCGCCGGAACGGTCTGATGGTGCTCCCAAAGGAAATTTCAGTGACAGTCTATAGAGGATACTTTTCTGTTAGCTGAATAAGGTCTGCGCTATATTTGTGTCATAGCCTATTCGAAGCTCCACATGACAAAATCTCCTCACTTTCACGCATTCCGTTGTATCCAAAAATCCATTTTCCTTCTCCCATTTCCGTAAATCGCTTTTCTCAATGGCATTTGCGATTGTATCACCGAAGACTTTTCTAAGCTGTGTCGTGAAAACGCCTGGTCCTGACCCACAAAGCAATGGGTGTATCCCAGCAGTTTCCATATCCAGCCAGATAACCGCATCGCCATCGCCCCGACCCCGCGGGAATCTCGATCGCACACAGTCTGTTATATTTGGATCGTTTATACGCGGAGGGACGGGGCGAATGGCTGTTGCAACCTGTATTGGAAACACCTTTTCGATGTTTGTCCAAGGCGCCGCAGGAAACTCGAAGGCGCCGGGCTGTATAGCTGTTATGCGAGGTTTGAGAACTGGCCCAGTCTCTGTTGTGATTGTTAGTGGGTTACCGTCCTTTTTATAGCTTGTTTGAGCTCTTACCGTCATCCATCTGATCATCTGGTTCTGTATAGACCGATGCCAGGGAAGCTGTGTAGTATGCATGAAAAGGTTTCCCCAGAGATGCAGCGGACAAACGGTCCAGGCGCTTGGAAACCTCCGGACGATCGAGACATGAGACCCCTACATTCTTCATATAGGTCTGGATATCTGACGCTCTCAGATGGCGAACGACGTATTGAAGGCGTCTCTCTTCGAAACTAATAGAGCAGAAAGCCAAACCGTCCCAGCTTAGCTTACGGAGCTCCACAGCGAAGTCAGGCTTAAATGCATTATCGTTAACACAACGCATGAACGCATCGCACTTTGAAAGAGTATTGGAGTCCAATGAAAGTGTCGCCGCAAGGCGGGCCCTGGCGTGCTCGAGGCCTTCAACTATCTTGATCTGCTCACGGAGTATCGTCAATTCCTTTTTTATCTCGTTCAAAGATTCCGGATGAGCGTAGAGGTTAAAATCGTAAATACCCATTTTGGTCGAGTTGGGTTTGACGGAGTTGGGTTTGACGGAGTTGGGTTTGACAGAGTTGGGTTTGACAGAGTTGGGTTTGACAGAGTTGGGTTTGACAGAGTTGGGTTTGACGGAGTTCATACCCACTTACATAAGCACGGCCCATGCGTGTAACTAGTTCGATGAGTGATTGGTCAATCAAATGCAGTCTTGTGATGCTCCTGGGATACATCTCCGCTCACGTAAGGTAGCGTCGGTTAGTACTCAGACGCCTACAAGTTTGATTGGCTACAAATGACAAGGAATCGATGTCACACGAGTCAGACTCCACTTCATGGGGTGTGACTTATGGGCGTTTGTCAATCTCCGATCCACTTTTCGCTACTGAATACGGGCGTTCTCATTTCGAGACCGTATTTAATGCTCCGATGAAAATAATATTACGCTATTACACTACAGTAAGGCAAAGAGGCCAGTCAACGAGTCAAACGACAAACACCTCGTCGAGTGATGTAAGGACCGAACCATGCGCATAGCAGATTTATCGAAGGAAAGCCTTGGGATCACTGAATTCCATCTAGAAAGGCAAACCAAGTGCGGAGTACGTACACGAAAGAAGATATTGGTGTATTCAGCGGCGAGCTGCGACATGGCTTCCCGAGACTTCTACGGCGCTAAGCAGAGGGGCAGCGTTTTGAAATGTCCGCGGCGCGGAGTTTACTACATGTCATTTGCTACCCCTTCAACGCCCCCCTCAACTCGCTGCATCCTCCACTTGCGACCTCTCGGGATAGGCTAGGAATTGGTTCCTGGGAGCAACCCCGGTCATACAGGGTGGAGCTTTCCCAGAAGCGGCATGCGGATGAATATACATTCTCACTGCACTATCTCTCGTCTTTTTTGGGGTTTTGTTTCGATTATCCTATCTCCTGACATCATTTGCCTCGTTTACATACCTAGCCGCTCAAAAGACACCTCTGTGGTATGAGAAGACCAACCCGCTAGATATGATGGCTTTAACTGACTCTACAGATTCCAGCAGCCAGGTGACGACGAATCCAATGCCTTTACCGCGACTCAACTTTCTCCGTGAACGAGAACAACGCTCGGCTTGCCTCGGTCGCTTGGAAAATGCACTCGAGCCAAGTCAACCTTGGCCAGAGAGTTTGTCCGGACAGTATCTAGAGAGTCACGGATTAGAAGGCTGCCTACAGCGTATCATAGGCTGTAATCCTTCCTTTCTAGATGACGAAACCGATAACACACGTCTTGGTTGGCTGAAGATTATCAGGCACGGCGTGTTTAACAGAAAAGCGATGGATCTTCCCAATGCTCCATTAATGGAAGGCACATCAAGATAGACCAGCACATGGACAAAAAGATTGATGATGGCCGCCGTTTCATCGAAAACATGGAAACAAATGCCTTGAAAATCAAGCTCAGCGAGGAGTTGATTACCAAGGAACTACAAGATGCTCAGATTCGTATGTCATCCCCTCCACCTCCCGATGGTAATCTAACCAAAGCAGGCATACAGTCGTTATCTAAGCTTCAATCGGTAGTCATGGAACGCCTGGCAAACCTTCAAGCCATAGCCCAAGACATGCCATCCTGTGAGCTAGCTCCCATTGAAGCCCTACGCGACGGAAGCCCCGCAAGCAGGTCGGAAACACTTTAGGATATTGACCGCGATTTAACGACTACTGGTTGTTGCTGCTAGTCTACAAATCCAAGGCCGACTTTCCTATTCCTACAATATAGAACTTCTATTTCACATTACGATGGTAGAATTTGCTCCTTCTTGTGACGGCCTCAATGATCTTGCCGGTTCGTTCTGGTTGATGGTTGATGGGGCATGGATGGTATGGGTAAATCCTGTAGCAAACAACGCTTGAACTGTGCCTCCACCTACAGCGTCAAGAAGGCTGCAGTGCTGGATGAAAAATATGACATCCTATCAGGAGCCGCTGCAGCTCTCGGCGAAGAGAACGAAACTACTGTCGCCAAAATCGCGTGGCTCAGCAGCAAGGAGGCCGCGAAGGCCTATGGGTCCATGGTCGTGTACCTAACCAAAGGCACTGACGCACGGAGGCTGTTGGCCGACGGATACTTCCACGTCGGAGGAGAATCTGGGACAACCAGCGTCTTTGAACATCGACCACGACCGACACAATGCTACAATTGCCAGGAGATTGGCCATAAGGCATTCCAATGCAAGAACATCCAGAAGTGCGCAAAATGCGCAACGGAGGGCCATCGCCACAGCAACTGCGACCAAACGGTCCCAAAGTGTGTCCTATGCGCAGGCCCACATGAATCGTACAGCAAAAATTGCCGAAAGCTCTATCCGTCACGTCATGAATAAAACACTCCGAATAATCCAACTAAATGTGAGGAAACAGGGAGCGGTGCATGACAGTTTGATGAACGACGAAGAAACTCAGAACGCAGTGGCGTTAGCGATTCAGGAACCCCAAGCGAGGAGAATTCAAGGCCGGCTCTTGACAACCCCGATGGGACATCACCAGTGGACAAAGATGGTTCCTTCCACTTGGAGGGAAGGCAGATGGGCAATACGAAGCATGCTCTGGATCAATAAGGATGTGGAAGCGGAGCAAGTGCGGATCGATTCACCGGATCTGACAGCAGCGGTCATCCGGCTCCCCGGGCGACCGATTTTTATGGCATCGGTCTATGTAGAGGGAGGGGATGCCTCGGCGTTGGACGACGCATGCGATCACCTCAGGAAAGCAATTGCAAAAGTACGGCGAGACACGGGGACGGTGATGGAGACCTTGGTCGTGGGAGACTTTAACCGCCACGATCAACTCTGGGGAGGAGACAACGTGTCCTTGGGAAGGCAAGGCGAAGCGGATCCAATCATCGACATCATGAATGAATTTGCTCTCAGCAGTCTACTCGGACGAGGCACAAAGACATGGCACGGGGGAGGACAGAGTGGGGACTGCGAGTCCACGATTGACCTCGTCCTGGCGTCGGAAAACCTGGCAGACTCCATGGTTAAGTGTGCAATACATGGGACGGAGCACGGCTCGGACCACCGCGCCATTGAGACTGTATTCGATACCCCGTGGCCGATCCCAAAGCATCAGGAACGACTTCTACTGAAGAACGCGCCATGGAAAGAGATTAATGCTAGAATCGTGAGCACCCTGGCCGCCACTCCGTCGGAAGGCACAGTGCAGCAGAAAACCGATCGACTGATGTCTGCGGTCTCGGAAGCGGTGCATACTTTGACCCCAAAGGCAAAGCCATCACCACACGCGAAACGATGGTGGACAGCCGACTTAACACAGCTGCGCCATATATACACATACTGGCGAAATCATGCTCGCTCGGAGCGCCGGGCGGGACGAAAAGTACCGCACCTGGAAAAGACAGCCCAAAGTGCGGCGAAACAATACCACGATGCCATCCGCAAACAAAAGAAGAAGCACTGGAATGAGTTTCTCGCAGACAACGATAACATCTGGAAAGCCGCTAAATACCTGAAGTCGGGAGAGGACGCAGCATTCGGGAAGCTACCGCAGCTCGTCAGAGCAGACGGGACTGCCACCACGGATCATCAAGAGCAAGCAGAAGAGCTGCTGTCCAAATTCTTTCCCCCTCTGCCTGACGTTATTGACGACGAGGGGACCAGACCACAAAGAGAGCCGGTGGGAATGCCTGCTCTCAGCCTGGAGGAGGTAGAACGACAGCTTTTTGCAGCGAAATCATGGAAGGCGCCGGGTGAAGACGGTCTACCGGCGATAGTCTGGAAGATGACGTGGCCCACGGTCAAGCACAGGGTTCTCGACTTGTTCCAGGCGTCACTGGAAGAAGGCAGGTTGCCGAGACAGTGGAGACACACGAAGATCATACCGCTCAAAAAGCCGAACAAGGAAAACTACACCATTGCGAAGGCATGGAGGCCAAATTCGCTCCTCGCGACGCTGGGCAAGATACTGGAATCCGTGGTTGCAGAAAGGATCTCGCACGCTGTGGAGACACACGGCTTGCTCCCGACCAGCCATTTCGGAGCCCGAAAGCAACGGTCCGCGGAGCAGGCGCTTGTGCTCTTGCAAGAGCAGATCTACACAGCGTGGCGTGGCCGACGGGTGTTGAGTTTGATCAGCTTCGATGTTAAAGGCGCCTACAACGGTGTGTGCAAAGAGCGACTGCTCCAGAGAATGAAAGCGCGAGGTATACCAGTTGACCTGCTCCGGTGGGTCGAAGCGTTCTGCTCGGAACGAACGGCTACCATTCAAATCAATGGGCAAGTGTCGGAGGTCCAGAGCCTTCCACAGGCTGGCCTACCTCAGGGCTCGCCCCTGTCCCCGATCCTATTCCTCTTCTTTAATGCAGACCTCGTACAAAGACAGATCGACAGCCAGGGCGGAGCGATGGCGTTCGTGGACTACGCGTCCAATATCTGGATGCACGCATGCAAGGATAAGGCCATGGGGCCGATCAACCGCGTCCAAAGGGTAGGAGCGCAGGCGATTGTAGGAACATTCCTCACAGTTGCGACCAGTGTAGCAGAGGCGGAGGCCCACCTTGCCACTGTTCAACACCGTTTCTGGAGACGAGCCGTGAAGATGTGGACGGACATACATACCCTGCCAGAAACCAACCCTCTCCGCAGGAATACAGGACGGATCAAGAAATTCAGAAGATACCATCGTTCGCCGCTGTATCAAGTAGCAGACGCGCTGAAGAACATTGAGATGGAAACACTGGAAACCATCAATCCGTTCACATTGGCACCATGGGAAGTACGCGTACAGGTTGGCGTTGAAGCAACTCCGCAGTCACCGACCGTACCAGGCGGGTTAATGCAGATCGCAACCAGCAGTTCGGCACGGAACGAGCTGGTCGGATTTGGGGTGGCGATCGAGAGGCAGCCACCTCGGTATCGAAAACTGAAATTGAAGACCCTTTTCGTCACATTGGGTGCAAGAGCAGAGCAAAATCCGTTCTCTGCGGAGCTAGCAGCAATGGCACATGCATTGAACATGGTAGTTGGACTGAAAGATTACAGGATTACGCTGCTCACGAGCAACAAAGCGGCGGCTCTAACACTAAGGAATCCTCGACAACAGTCAGGCCAGGAATTCGTCTGCCAACTGTACAAGTTGATGAGAAAGCTACGGAGAAATGGAAACCAGATCAATATCCGGTGGATCTCAACGAGCGAAGACAATAAACTGCGGGGTCTGGCTAAAGAACAGACCAGAGCCGCGACACAAGAAGATGCTCTCCCGCAAGAACGCGTCCCGAGAATGAAGTCAACAACACTAAATATCGCACGGTCCCAAGCAGTCCCCAGCAATGACCTGCCAGTGAACGTAGGGAGACACGCAAAACGAGTTGATGCAGCACTCCCAGGCAAACACACCCGGCAGCTGTATGACCGATTATCGTGGAAAGAAGCGAGCGTTCTGGCTCAACTCCGAACCGACATGGCAAGACTCAATGGATATCTATATCGAATCAAAGTAGCAGACACGGACCAGTGTGCGTGTGGACAAGCGAGAGAGACCGTGGAGCACTTCCTATTTCGATGTCAAAAATGGACGGCGCACCGGACGGAACTACTACAATGTACCAACACCCACCGAGGAAATATATCCTTCTTCCTAGGAGGAAAGTCGCCTTCGATGATCAGAAGTGGACGCCGAACTTAGAGGCGGTACGGGCCTCAATACGATTCGCCATCGCCACGGGCCGACTCGAGGCCACCTAACCACGCCGACGAACATAAATCACCCCCCCTTTCGCCGATCTAACCCACCAACCACCTCGTGTTACAGACGGTAGACGCGCTTCAACTGCCGAAAATAGGATGTTGAACACTTGGAGAAGCGCCTTCAAGCCAGCCTACTAACAAAATTACTAACCCACGAGGATCCGCTGCGATACGGACATCTGAGATGACATATTTTGCAAGGCTTTATGTAAGGGCTCGGAGGAGACACAGTACTGTATATATTATGACATGTATAGTAGATCAGAGATAGTTGCCCTTTCGGCTTAGCCGCCGGGCGTTAATAAATTGTTTGTTTGTATGACAACAAAGCGACTCCGACATGGGATACAGAAACAATGGGGCCTCCACAGCGACTATGTCAGCGCCTATCAACGCCTCCGAAAAGCTACGTTAGAGCCAACGATCTCTCCATTCCGTCCGTCTGTGGAACTCCGGTTTATTTACTATACACTTTTCCATATGAGGCAGCAGGATCTCATATCATGGACCATCGCTAAGTGTCCTTCGTGCTTTCGGTTTCTCCTTCTTCATCGAACAATTTTTCCGTCCTATTACAACTGCGATGGCGAAAGTCTTCTTTACATGGCTCTTCTACACAAAAGAAAGGCCTCTGCCAAAATCATTATGTACCTGCAGCTTGACCATAAATGACTTAGCTTCGCCTCTATGGTTGGCTAATGAGCAAGTCGGGCCCTCAGCTCTCGATATCGCTCACTCCAACCGTGTTGCTATGGAGAAGGACATGCATTGGGGCAATTTCCAAAAATATCGGAAATCGAAATATTCTTATCACTCCTGCATGCTTCATTCTTTGAAGAAGCATCCGCAAAGGTCACAAATGAGGGGTTTCCATGCTGAGCGAACAATCCATGATCATCCAGGGATTACAAGCCTTATTCACTTAGCCCGAGTTCCTCAACCTACAACTTTATACGGACATCGTGATGTGAAATGCTAGAGCCATATATATTCATTCTCGAAATCGCTTTAACCAACACACACATACCAGGAACCAATGGCCCGGCCCCACGCCCAAAGATGTCAAATATACCATCGATCGAAATCAAATTCTAGGCGTCAGTAGCCAATAGGTGAAAATTTGCAAATAGGTACTTTCTCCTAACGTGAGATGAGAAGCGGGATACGATCGCCACGAAACTGCTACTGCTATTACCTTCATTTGACGATGGCGATATTAGATATGAATTAATGAAGGCCGGAGACATAGTTCAAATAACCCATCTTGGCTTGAAAGTCCTATACAACTCAGGCTAGCTTTCAATATGAAATCTTTATACCGCCTGGGAACGTTGCCAGCGCCACCATTTGTCAATATGCGGCTGCCCACTAACAGTTGCCAACAACCGACTCAGCGAAATGGTAGATGGCACTTCGGGGAAATAATCCATTCTTTTCGGTTCCTCAAGATCTGGTATCTCCTCACAGATATCACATCCATCACGTGGCTTGTCTCCATGCCCAAGCTGATGTTCGATTTGACCAGCGCTCGAATCACTTTCCCATTTCTCGTGGTCTTCTTTAAATCTTTCATAGCAGCCGATATCAAACGCTCGACCCTCATATTGGAACCAGTCTTCAATTGCTTTGGTGGAGGATTCGATTGAAACTTTAGTGCCTGGTGGACTAGCTATCCAGCCATCCATTTTTAGATGCCCGGCCCTGAGAAAGTTGATAAAGTCGGGGATGTAACGCATACCAAGAAATTTGCAAGAACATTTTCTCTGATGACTCGCTTTACGCTTGCAATCATGGTCAACGTAAACCCTGGCAAAATAATCATAAGAAGGACAGAGCCGAATCAGGAAATAGGACCTTGTTTGAAGAGCATAATCATCCTGATATATTGGCTTCATCATTACATCATAACTGCGCAGAGATAGGTGCTGGTGAACCCATGCGGTCGTCTGATTTTGGTAAAGAAAACAGGAAAAACAAAAGCAGTTTGAGACAAAAGTCAGATAGTCCTTCAGCGGGTTGCATGGCTTGTATCATTTGAACCTTTGTATAGATGATCTGCTTAAATGCGCACCACCTTGTCGTGGGTTTGAGGTGTGTCCGTCTCACCATTTTGTTTTCGCCACATGCGGGAATAACGGCCTTGCATTTTCACCAGTTCCTCATGCGTGCCGCTCTCGACCACCTGGCCTTCCTCTATGACTAGAATGAGGTCTGCCGATGTGATGGTGCTTAGCCGATGGGCAATGATGAGCATGGTTCGGCCATTGGACAAAGTTGCAAGGGAATTCTGGATATGCTCTTCGGTTTTAGTGTCGAGCGCGGACGTAGCTTCATCCAGCAGTATGATTGGAGAATCTTTGAGGATAGCTCGAGCGATTGCCACACGTTGCTTCTCACCGCCGCTGAGGCGCAGTCCACGGTCTCCAACTTTGGTGTTGTAGCCGTCTGGAAAACTCTTGATCTTGGCATGAATACCGGCATTGCGACAGGCGTGGTACACATCTTCATCACTAGCATTTAAATTTGCGATCTTCAAGTTGTACATCAAAGTCTCGTTGGAAAGGATCGTATCCTGCGGAACCACACCGATATGCCTGCGCAGAGAATCAATCGTGATATCCTGGACGTCATGTCCGTCGACGAGGATTTTGCCATGTTTAGGGTTGTAGGACCGGAAGAGGAGACGGAGAACCGTAGATTTGCCACCACCGGACTCTCCCACGAGGGCTGTAGTGGTTCCTGGTCGACAAGTGAACGTGAGTCCATTCAATATAGGATTCCGCGGATCATAGGAGAATTTAACATTCTGAAACTCGACCCTTCCTTCACAAGTGGCCAAGGGGGAGGCGTGATCGCTGTCAGTGACTGTTGGCTTCTCTTTGAAAAGCTCCAACATACGCTCCGCAGTGATCAAGGCCGACTGTATGGAGACATAGAAGGCTCCGAAGAAGCTCAGAGGACCTTGTAGCTGGGCCATGTACATCAACAAGGTAACAAACCGACCCACTGGTTGCTGGAGAGTAGAGACTTGAAATGCAGCGATGAAGCAAGTGACCAGTAAACAGGTCAACAGCACAGTGCTTTGACTGGTGTTTAATAGAGTCCCACAGAGAAATGTGTAGTACTCAGTATTCTGGTAATTGCAGATAGCGCGTCGGTATCGGGCAAACTCGTGTTGTTCCGCATTGAAGTATTTCACCATTTCGTAGGAGACCAACGAATCGTTTCTGCGTGTGCATGAATGTCAATCTTCTTGTAACTCAGATACTTGGTATTTGCCTCAACTTACTTGATCGCATCCTCGTGCCTCGAAGCATCGACCATCTTTCTTCTGGTCTTCGCATTCCACTAAGCCATGCAAATGGTAATATAAAGATACACAAATGCCGAGATTCCAACCACGAGGGCGTAGTAAACATCAAATGCAACTAGGAAATACCCAATTGCGATGAGCAGATCAGCTAGCGTAGGAAGGAACTGAAATATTATTTGCTCCAGGAATGAATTGATTGATTTGCCTTTGTTCAGAGCTGAAAGAAGCTCGCCTGTCTGGTTTCGCAGGTGAAAGTCCAAGCTGAGACTGTGAACATGTTCGAAGGCAGCTGTGGAAAGCTCCAGGTAGGAATACTGGCCGATGGGAATCCAGGGACCAGAGCGCAAAGAGCCCACATTTGCCTGCAGCCACCGGTAAAAAACATACATGCAGATCTCAAACCACGGTGGTTGGCGGTCATTTGCATTTTGTTGATTTGCCAAAGATGTAATGATCGCTCCAGTCTGGATGGGTATCCATACATTGAGAACTCGCTGGAAAATCACGAGAAGAAAACAAATCACTGCCACAGCCTGTAGGCGGGGGGACTTGGAGGGCCACATGTATGGAAAAAAACGGGAGAAGCCACTGAGATACTCCAAGCAACTCCTGGATGGCAATTCTTCTGGTCGGGCCCAGGAGTTCTGTGGTTTGGTATCTGCGGGTCTCGCAGTTCCACTTGTTGAACCATAGATCTGGCCATTACCACGACAACTCTTTGTGCGCGGAGGGCTCAGTAGCTGAGTTGTCTCAGTATCACAACCTGGCTCTTCCTCTGAGCCTCCATCAAGTCCTATGAAATTACTAGACTTGGTGGAGTAGAGTAGAACAAGAGAGACCAGAATCAATATACGGACCCCGTTGGGGACCACTTCCATGCACTCCCAAAAGGTGATCCCCTAGCGCATTGCGCCTCCGTTGGGGTCTCCGACTACTGGCTCATAGTGGACTGAGGTATAAATTGAGAGGGAGGTGGTAAGAATAATAAGCTCAGTGGGAATGGCGAAGGACCAACATGTGAGCTGAGTGGCCGTCGGGGAAGAGCTGGTATCGAGTATGCTGAGAAGAATAACTGCGTAGGCAAAGATAGAGCCCACGATATAAATCTGCGGTTGTTAGGACGTAACACATAACATAGCAATAGGAGACGTAGCGCATAGAGACGCACCACTACAGACTGCCCGCGCCACCAATACTCGGAGCGGGCCATTAACACATGGGTGGTATATATCGTCGCATTCGCAAAGAATGTCACAAGCACACCAGCTGAGAGCCAGTTAAAGCAGTGTTTGACGGTCCGGGAGAAAGGCTGAGTCTGACTGAAAGCTATCGGGTTCCAGGTCTGTCTGGGATGCTGGCCCTCATTGTTCTGCGGGTCTTTTTGCTCGGTCTTGCTCGTGACGACCACTTGGATCACAAAAACAACGACAAACAACAGCATGAGGAAAACCGGGTAGAATGTAAGTAGATACTCTAACAGCGTTTGGGGATTCATAATAGCGGTTTGCTCAAGAGCAAAATAAAGTCTTCTCATGCAATTGTCTCGGGCTATTGGTGGTGGATATGTGAATTACCAACGGTGGCAACAGGGTCACTGATGGGAACCAACGGAACTATTATAGACTTCGGTGACTGGTTAGCAAATTGGTAGATCCGATATGTCAAAGTGAAAGGTGACACGATATATGTGAGACAATACCTGCTGCAATGTCGTCTCGGTGTACGACAGGGGAAATGTCAACCATCAGCGTTGTGGATGAGTATCGAAGTAACCCCAACTGATCCCATTTTATTGTCACTAGTATGCACGGCTCAGAGAGGGGGTGGAATAACTCTAGTATCCAGAGGCTGAGAGCAAGTAACTTGAATAGCGCGCTAGAGTATGCAAGGCGCCTCTAGACCTCTGTTCCAGCTCGTAGCCTGCATTTGTGGAGTCAACGGCTTAGTCAATCATCTCGGAGGCCTTGAATATCCCCAATGGGGATTCAAAGGCCATGTTCCAGTATCCCCAACTAAGGCGGCCTCTGCGTTAGTGGACCAATCAAGTCTTTCGGTGAATATGCTTGAGGAATTGTGATTTGATACGAGATTTTGTTGTCGGTGCTAGGGAGGGGCGCATGAATCTGACGTATTCCTCTTGATCTTCACCCATTCCATGGCTGTCTCCATTTCACAGTGGCAGCTGCATCTTTACAAGGCTTTCTTCACTCATGATGATACCCAATTCTGCAAATCAGCCTCATATGCAGTGTTAGCCTAGCAGTCGGTGAATGTGCATGCAAGCCTGAGCTCAGGTCAAAGGCCCGGGATTCTGGCCCCAAATTCCGGAATTTGGGACCGTTACGTTTTTACGACACTTCAGGATCCATATCATAGCAAACAGTACATTGGAATTCAGGGGCCTGGCCTCTCAAAGGAGGACGTAAAGATATGGATCATTGTCTCTTTTCTTGCTTCTCACCCAAATTGGGAACCTTTAGTACTAGACTAATTTATTTGGCCCAAATTTATGATTTAAGGCAGAAGTCAGTAGCTCACAATGCCTTGCCGCACCCCTGGATCTCCTTTCTGCGCCGTATGTTATTAGGGGAAAGGGGATCGGCCGTACATCCCCTCCCCTGTAAGAAATCTGGAGCAGCACAGCTAATATTATGATCCTCGGAGACTAAATACCATTGCAAATTACCACTAATGCATTCAAGGATTTAATTGTCACATTCGTAGCTTGATTTTCATTATCCAGTGCAGTCTTATAGAACAGTGGAAAGCGGTTCTGGCCAGGCGATGTGATAGCTCATGGATGATATCCGGAGCGGGAGCAAGAAACAGTACTTCTAATTATGGGCTGTGAGTCATTTTATTTGTTCGCAATGTTATTTTCTTAATTCACCAAGATAGCTGGAACCTACTCGGGCTTAAAGTGCCGAATTACCAACCTTTTGTCAATCCAGCTTTCAAATCCCTCCCACGCATTACTTTGGCACAAATCGTGTTATCAAGGTTTGTCTCTTTGCCTCATACCAAATGGGTTGGTGAATAATTCTAACACTGATCACGTAGTGGCCTAGGTCATTGTCCGCGCCGTTTATAGACATGGCCAACGGTTTTTTTCTTCTCGTCACCCCATACGGAACTTGTCGAGTTCCAGGAAGTCTTCGAAAGTTTAATGTGTCATGGGAGCTGTTTCTTGAAAGTTTCCAAATGGAGCTTAATGGCCCGGAAAAACTTGATCAAGTAAGCGGAATCAGTGTGAGGGCCTGACTTTACGACTAGAAGAGAGGGAAAGTTCGGGTGCTTTGGGGGGAACGCGCCGCCGATGACTCGTCACCAAATCTTTACTTAGCATTTGGTGGAAAATGTGATCCAAAGGAAACAGTACTGCAGGCTTTGATCCGCGAGTTCTGGGAAGAGACCAAGCGGGAAGTTTGGCTATCCATGGCGAGGTGGCCGAGGTCGATGTTTTTTGTACTTCGAAAAGCAACTGATGGATTGCCCAAATTCACTTCCTGGTTTCATCCAAACCGAAAGGTGAATCGTCCTGCAGTGAAGGATTCGGCATCGAGTTGGACCCTCAAGAGCACCAAAGTTTCATTTGGGCCATTGGCAATCTTGTTGCACTGGGGACTCTACCGCTCACGGAAGTGTAAGAGAAAAGGGACTACGAGGCCATGGAATATGGGCGACTGTGGAGGCTGCCATGAAACTAATCAAATTACCCCCGAGTCCACCTTCTGGAACGCCGATTTATTGACAGCCTTTGTAAAAGATGCGGGTCAGCGTGGAAGTGACTTCTAGGCTGGATGCAGTTGTAAAATTTCCCCTCGTCGTCTTAATAACGCGACTTGCTGAGTACGTAATCAATTATTTATCTCAAAACGAAGTTAGTTATCATAAGGAAAATATAGATAACATTTGAAAAGAAATTCAGGCTTTGGAAGATTTTTCTGTTCCTGATCTGTCACAATTCAATCCCTGACCACACTCAACGGCCCCCATCAGTTCAGCCCCGTCGTCGCAAAATCTAGCCATCGAGATATCTTTGAGGGTGAGGCCAAGAGGACGATGCGTTGTCCAGTGGACATACACGGTGCCGATATCCTTAGCGCATTAGCTTAGCATGTACCAAAATTATCTTTTGAAAGATGATGTTAGAGTACTTACCACAGTCATAGTAGGATGATGCTTCTTCACCGAGCTTTCAGAGGCGATAGTAACCAAGAATGACTACCCTGTCTTGTGAGTTATCACAGTAAATTTCCCAGTTTTTGGAAGTCAATTCGAGCTTACCACTGCCTTGAAGTAGCTTTTAAAATGAAATGTTTTGGAAACTCCCGTTCTCTTGTCATCTAACGCCCATCCTTGCTGCCGCAGCTCCTCTGTATCGGAAGTGAGTTGCTCGGCGTTTTCGCCCTCGGCAAAGAGTGGGGTGTTGGATGCCATGGAGGTTTAAATGGATTTCGAGAATGAGCGGGGGTTGTGGATCATATAAACAAAAGCGCACGTGATACACTGACGCAATCTGTGGCTGACCATCAAGGCCTGGTGGTCCCTGCTCACCACACACTTGTTACAGAGCCTGGCCGCACACAGTTTCGCCAAGAAGAGGTCGGGAAAATCAGGGAAAATCAGGGAAAATATAAACCAACTCATTCAATATTTTTGGATCGCCAATAACACATCCTCTTTTTATTTTACGGAAAAGATAGCGCGATGCAAAATTCGCATCTCAAGTTACCAATATATTACTATTGCCCGATTTGTAAACAATAAGACAGGTTCTATTAAGACGCTCAGAGCAACAAGCTATATAGGACGCGATGTCATATCCGGGACAAAAAATCGGTCCGTCTCCGTGAAGAATCCAAAAAATTGGAATATTTCCGCTGGAGTTTTACAAAATCACTAGTTTTCGTCCACGACGGCCGCTGAGACCTGATACTCGCTAATAATTCTGGTATATACCTCTTGGGAAGCATAGGTATCCAGAAATTAAGGTCTTCGCGAGCAAGAACGGTACATCCAATGTCGAAGGCCAGCTTGGCGTCTGCGTCCCAGGACCGCGAAGGAACTCTAGGGTATTTTTTTGTCGGAGAGGAAGACGCCAACTGGAGGAGTGCGAGGGACATGGACATGTGGCCAAGGCCGAAGTAGAAACCCTCAGGTTCAAAACTTTGGGGATATTGCTTCAAAAGTAACAAGAGATTCTTCCACTCCGAGACGGCTTCCATAAACCGGCATTGGCAATGCGAAAGACTAGCAGATGCGAAAACTGAGCGAAGATGCAGCCACTGATCACTAATATCTGGAGATGAAATTCTAGAAAATTGCTTTCGCAACGATAGAACAAGTGTAGAAGCTTCGTTGAATTTGCCTTCTGCGATGTTCACATCCAACATAGACACTTCGAGACGTCTCATGGCTTTGGGCAGGTTTCCATGGAGGTGTATTAAGCGAATCTCGTGTTCGACCTTTGAACGAGCATCATTGAAGTAACCATCTGCACAAAGAAGATCTGAGAGTCTGCAAATGACCTGAAACCGATTTGGATCGGTTCTGAAGTCTTCGCACTGAAGGTAGGGATAGCAGTTGCTCAGGTAATCTCTGGCTTCGGCTAATTTGCCCCGAGACTGGTAGATCTTCGAAACGGTAGACCATTTCTTGAAATTGACAGACAGCTCCATTGGGGACCAAATCGCATCTTTGTTCGGCTCCCAGTCATTGAGATCATCGATTTCAATGCTGGCAGATTCATAATCTTCAAGCTGGATCAAATTCTCAATATGAGAAATCATTACCAGACGGGTTAGAGCCCGTAATCTCGGGTTGGCCGTTTTGTACGGATGAGCTCCTTTTTTGTAATCGAGGATCACTTCTTCCGACTTATGAAAAGACCCTTCTAGCCGTGCAATAACACTCCGCCGTAGAGCAATCGATGCTTGGATGTGATCCGGAGCAGCGTCGCCAAGAAGATGAGTCGCTTCGTCCAAAGCCTGCTGAGGGTATTGTACTCGTCTGAGTCGAGCCTTAGCGACAAGAACTTCTGACAATGCCAACTTTATAGAACGTGGAAGGTCATAAGGCTTGCTTTGTTGAAGAAGATGGTCTATTAGATGGGCAAGGTGCATCCCGTGCCTCTGAAAGCTGATTAGAAGGTCAGTGGTGGTGTTCGTGCAAATCTATCATATATACCCGGCCCGAGTTTCATGTGAAGAGCGGAAGGTGCATTGGCAAAACTTACTTTTCTTCCAAGGCAGGGTCGCGGGGAAACACGTGACAAGAAACCTGCAAGCCGACCAAGGTCCAGTACCGAAGATCGTCAATGCTTGAAGGGTGTGCTGAATACTCTCTTGCTTCTTCAGATAGAGAGTAAGTTGTATGCAAATTATTCTCGCAATTATCCAGGTAGATCCACGAACCCAAACGAAGCTCTTCCAAGGATACAGTCAATGCTTCCGTCTTGAAAAGCTCACCGAGCGGACCGAGCGAATCGTAGTCATATGGGACGCGGACAGGATATCCATCCTCACTCCAACGCAGCTGAGGTTTCAAGAATCCCTCAAATAACCACCTGGGTACTTTGTCGCCCCCGAGAGCCGCGAAAATGCAGAGTAACTGCAACGAGGCTGGAGATAGTTCCGGCATTATAAACTGGTGGGCAACGGACTCTGGCAGCGTGCTAGATGTTGTAGAAAGGTTGCTCTGATGAAACCCGGTCTTCTTAAATGCATTCGGTTGTGATGAAACAGTTGAAGCTCGTTTCCGTTTCTTAGTGGCAAATTGAGCTTCTGATGATGATTAGTCATGTCTTCGGTCTTGGGTGGCACTAGCTTCCACCAGGGTGGGCCTGCGCCTTGCGGATGTGCGTACCGGAGGAACCAGAGGTCTCGTTTCCGCTTCCATCTGTGTTTTCAACAGCCAGAGTGTAAAGGGTCTGTGAAGGAGGATTTTCGATGATGCTTTCGTCAATCATTTCATCTTCTGATCCCAAAGGTAGCGGCGTTGTGGTAGGTGGCGAGTCTGTCGGACATTAAATTGGGTTTGACGGAATGAAGCTATAGAGTTAGCTTAAAATGTCCACTTACGAGGTTTGATACATTCTGTGTGATCGTCGCGTTGCTCCTCAAAGAGTGTGTTGTATGTCCCAAGGTCTGGAGTTCTGGTGCGTTCCACAATCTCTCTGTCGGGAAAATCTTCCTCAATTGAGGTGTCCTTTAGTTGTATAGGATTGACAATGGAAGAACTGTCTGGACTCGCTGTCATGGTCCGAGATTCTACATCGGTGCTCTCGCTCCTTTGCCATGATATTCCAGCAGCTGGACCATTAGCATATCTTCTAAGTCGGTATTTCGAAACACTTACCTTTTATAATCTCCTCGACTTGATGTGCAAGAATAGGGCAATCCAACTTGTCTTTGTGTTTGTAGATATATTGAACGAATTTTGGGGCTCCTTTCGCACCCAATCGCCGAAACGTATTTTTAGAGATAGTATGGACCACAAGAAAAACATACGCGAGACCCATGAATTCCGATATCAGCCACAAAGAATTGATGTAAGTTATTTCGCTCCATTCTTTTTTTCCTTTTTTGGTCGCATCGGGAATGTTGGTCACGTTCTGAATGCTCCGAAGTATTGAAATGAAAGAATGTTCCTTTTCAGATCCTCGTGGTATTGCAAAGTCTGCCAACCCTGATTGATTGATCTTTTGAGCACCTTTACCAATAATTTCCGAACAGTGTGACAAGGCTTGCTTTTCCTTTTCATGAGCGGAAAGTTCCCAATCTAGTGAACTTACTACCGCTTTGGAGAGGACAAGTAATTTTCGAATGTCCTTGTCTTCCTTGTCATCGCATTTCTCGAGCCCATCTTGCCACTGAAATTTTTCTTTGCCCACCTGTAGACTAATCTGCACCGGCGCCATGTTTAGGTGTCTGGTTCAAATTCGACGCGAATTACAGCCAGTCAACGCGCTAGAGTCGAATGTACAGGAACAGGCGATAGGGTCAACGGTAGGAGAGAGCCTGCTGAAGGAGAGGGTATCGGTAGAAAGAGAGGGGGCCAGTAGAAAGAGAGGGGCCAGTAGAAAGAGAGGGGGCCAGTAGAAAGAGAGGGGGCCAGTAGAAAGAGAGGGGGCCAGTAGAAAGAGAGGGGGCCAGTAGAAAGAGAGGGGGCCAGTAGAAAGAGAGGGGGCCAGTAGAAAGAGAGGGGGCCAGTAGAAAGAGAGGGGGCCAGTAGAAAGAGAGGGGCCAGTAGAAAGAGAGGGGGCCAGTAGAAAGAGAGGGGTCAACAAAAGGAAATCCTTCGTTCATCGCTCTCGAACGTTAGAGATTCTATTTTATGACACATAAATAATCAATATCCATCGATGATCCTAAATATCAGTCACCCTGGCATGGAAGATAGAGGATTTAGTGTCGAATACTAAGATTGAATACATGGTGGAAACAAGGTATAATACTCAGAAAATCATGTGACAACTGGTACCAAGCATACCATACAAAAGTGCATAATATCCGCGCAGATTGTTGAAAGAGCGGGTTTTGTCATTTTTAGTTAGAGATTCCAATATACTCGACCCAACGCACGGTCCAATTCCCACACCGGGAATTGGACCGCACGGGTTGAATGCAAAAACGGGTTGAATGCAAAAATTGATCAACCTACCAATTTAAACCTCTCATTTAACAACCTTCCCCTATGGTATCTATAGTATATTTAATATTTACAGATTCACCTGGTCCCGCGCTTTCTTCTGAACTATTTAAATCCTCCAATTTCGACTTCCTGGCGGCGAGAGCTGCCTCTGTAGTAGCAGTTCCAATCCACTTCTTCCTCGCTTGCTGGATTAATTTCTTCCTCTCTGTTTCATCTCTCACTTTTATATGCCTATTTGCATCTAATAAAGTGAGAGGACCACCCATATTCACCCTTCGCTTGCTTTTACTAGCTTCCTTCCGGCGTTTTAGGTCCAACATGTTGGCATTGTCATGCGCATACTGAGCGCCCGCTTCCACCAAGGTAAGCGCACCAGCCAAAAATGGAGCTAGTTGACGGCGTAGCTTTGGAGAAATAGCATCGATCTCATTTCCAATCTCGTCGGTTTTTTTTTTGATTTTTTCAGCGTATTTCCGGAAGGTTTTAACGTCTATTACCGGCGAATTTGGTATAGAGCTTGACTCTGGAGGGGGGTATCACCATCCCATATCTCTAATACTGGCTCTGGAAGATTAGGATCGTCATTCCAACCTAACTTCTCTAAAGCAGTATCTGCATTTAAAGGATAGATACCGCATTTTTCAAAGCCAGAGCGTATTGTACGGCTTTTAAATGCTTGGTTCCGAACCCCATGGATGCTAGAAAAAAAGTCCGATTTTTGCTTTACTGAACCACCCCACTGTACTATATCATTATTATTCTTACGAAAATAATGCTTTAGCACCTGAAACGGCATATCGTCAAGCGGCTGACATATATGCGTTGTATGTGGGATAAAACAGTATGGAATAATCAGATTATTCTCGCAGAATTTGATAAATTCATAGGTGAGATGGGAGCCATGATTATCCATAAGAAGAAGCCGAAAACCCGTCTTTATACAGCGATTTTTAGTGCTTTCTTCGAATTATTGAAGCTATTGAAAGGCTATAGTATCGTCGGTCCAACCATTAGGTGTAGGAGTAATCCAATAGTCGTCGGGGAGGTTGGTAGTCCTATACCAATTCTCCATATGGAATTCACCCTTAACCAAAAACCAAGGTGGCATTACCCAGCCATCGGCAGCAATACATTCAATTGAAGTGAGCGATTCACTAGGCCCGCCAGTTCCAATACTAGCAGATTGACCAGCCTTAGTTGAAACGACTTTCCGGGGTTTGCCTTCGCCAATTTTGAAGCCGCTTTCGTCAAAGTTATAGATATTCTTCGATCCGATTTTTAACCGCTGAATAGTATCACCTAGGCGAGTATACCACGTAGTAAGATGACCAGGTGTAACTGCGTCTAGGCGGTCCTTTTCCATTGGTTTTTGCTTAATATAGGTGTATTTATCGGGTAGTCGTTTAATAAAACGGTAGGCCCAATTCATACCAAGGCATACATCTGGATTATGCCGATGAAGAATTTGACGTGCACACTTCTGGATCATATCTGCAGTTGGAGGAGCATTTGCAGAATTCAAGGTATCGATCCAATGAATTAATGCCTGCTCTTGCTCAGTCCCTAATGCTTTGTTGGCGCCAGCATGGCCAGTTTTAGATTTGCGACCGTTGATTCTACCCCTTAGGGTATGGTATGGAACGTCAAATTCCCGCGCCAATACTGAAATTACAGGCTTATCATTTTCATAGTAGGCTTGCAAAGCACTAGAAGATCCGATCTTCCAATTTTTGGGATGAAAAAGGCATTTTCAGTGGTAGTAAATAGAGGTTAAAAATGGTGGGTGGGTGAGGTTTTGTATTCAACCCGTTTTTGCATTCAACCCGTGCGGCCCAACTCCCGGAGGGAGTTGGGCCGTGCGTTGGGCCGAGTAGGTATTATTATTCTGATTGTTGAATGTAGTTTCTCAAGACAGTTTCGACACTGTACTCAGTCCTTTTCTATAAAGCTAGTTCTAATTCCTATAGGAAGAGCAGCAAATTGATTGCAATCCGGTGTAGGAGGCTTGAGGTTAGAACGGACAACTTTTAGGACGTCCACGGCAAATTTTGCCATCAAAACAGAGTAGAAGCGTTGGCTTGTGATATGTACAAAGTTTGGAATCAAGTTCTCTAAGGTAGTTGCTTCAGATGTATTTGGGTCTCCGAATTAGGGCTAGCGTTCAAACCCCGAAATGACATGTCAGTTACTGAGAAATAGGATTTTCAACGTGCCGTCTCCAAGGATAGCACGATATGGTTATTGGTCCAGGTAGATAAGTGAGCTGTACGGTAGTCCTACTATACACATAGAAACAGACTAGCAAACCCTGCAGCAGAACTTTAGCCCTGCCCAGGATTTGAACAAAGCTTATAAAGCCATATAACTGCCATCAGAATGCAAAAGTCTTTCAAATCTATTCCCTCTCTAATTGGCATGCGCTCCTCTACGAATGCTGCACGTGAAATCGGTGAGACTTCCACCAAAATGACCACATTAACCATGCTAATTGTCAATTTGAAATATTTAGTTCCTATGAACCCCCCCCGATCTAGGAACGGGAACCAATCCTATCATAATTGAAGAGGATTGTGCTCCTTTAGGATCGGCACTTAACCCTATCAATGTTGAAGAGGACTCCGGGAACTCAATCCTAGCGACGACCAAATCACCTGCCTGCGAAGACCTAGGGAAATCTCAAGCTCCTAAGCGACCCTCTATCTGTTATATGCTCAATTGATGGTGACTTTTGGGCGAGTGAGTCGGCCCGGGCATCGTCTGGATAGTGTCTCAAAGCAAACCCGCGGCTTGGTGGAGATACTACCACCAAATAATGCCATCTGGGCGCTGTGCTCGGCGATGTCAGAAAATGCCCCCGGGTGGGAGCTGTGGAAGGATGGAATTCCGCTTGGGGAAGGTATGCCCAATGTCCCGCGAATCTATATCAAGGCATATGTCGTGTATGTTGACATGGACTGGCGGAAAGAGGTGGCATTCAAGTTAACGCCAGAGACAATCGATGCCCTGGCGGAACTCCATAAATAACAGTCAGTTGATGATGTTGTATTCTTTGTATTGTAGTTAGTTAGAGTCATACACATCGTTCATGGTATCCACACATTGTCGTACACCCAGATTTCTTCTGTCATACTTGGAAATATTTTGTGATGCTGGCAGGATAATTTGAGTTTGCTTTTCACACGAACAGGGGCAGGTGAGACGTACAATGCCTCCAAGCCATCAGGAAGTTTACATCTTAATGATTCAGAGTAGGCTGAAACCATTGATTGAACCAAAGTAGGCAAATTTCGACCAATACACATCATTGAGAGTTCGCCGGTTTTCGGGGCGAAGAAATTGTCAGATCTGCTAGATGCGCAGTTATCCGTGCCTGAGCCTCGAGCAGATACGAGTAATCCATGTCGTCCGTGAGACTTACCATAACAAGTATGTTTGTATCTGTATGTCCTGCGACATGGCTCACATTGCTGCAGAAATCGGAGTTGACGAATCATAGCCCTGTTGTCAGTCAAAAAAAAGTGTGATTGCAGCAGTCAAAGCGCGTCGGGATCACCACTTGCTGCTGGTAGAGAGTTGCTGTCTGGCGCGTAGGGAGTGACCCAATCACGCCCGAATAGCCTAGCCCTAATCCTAGCCCCACCACAACCAAATTTGCATTGTCAGAACATGCAGAGGTGTGACCGCTCGTTGCAATACACAATGTAATACTAGCGGTAAGATAAAGTAAATATATACTATGTCAGGAAGTAGTTTCACACTTCATTGCCCATCCTCAGTAAAAGTCAATTTTGTCTCCAGAGATAATCCCGAATGGTGAACAATCCTCCCAGTCAGGCTCCCACTTTGTTTGAGTCTTCTTCCCAGGTCGTCGAGTCGAAGATGGAGATACCTCAGTTCTTGGTGTCGTATCGATGGTGGGAATACGACGCAAATATCACGCTGCAGGCTTATGATGTGAAACCTATCCTTCAGGGGGTCCGCTTTGGCTTCTTTCCCGATATGGAATCTGCAAAGCGTATACTGGAGAGTCGCCCTTCTACAGTACTAGATTCGTTCCTCGCTGCCATACCAGAGCCGCATGAGCCTCCCTGCCTTTCTGAAATGTCAAATTCAGAGAAAGCGGGAGAGATCCTACGTCGATCGATGCCCGCGCCTCCTCGGTTGATTCCGTGGCGCTGGTTCCCCTCCGCGTCAGGATACCCATCAGACACTCAGGGAATTGCCCAGGAAATCGAAGCGGAAAGTCACTTTCAATTCGGACAAATAGCTTTCGAAGACATTGTTCGCTCCGCGCTTGGTTACAAAGCACCATCAGTAGAATGGTTTCTTCAGCAACACACGGCATTCGGGAATCGTTTCCTGGAGCATATGCGGGCCAACCCAGAGCAAATGAATTTCTATTCAGCAGTGGAGAAGGCTAGTGACCGAAGAACTCCAGGGCAATATACCCGCATATTTTCAGACCACCCAGCTAATTGTTACATACAGCATCTGCGAGAACAAAGTTCATTTGCTCATCAAACGCTTGCCAAATGTCTCGTGGTCTCTCAACTCGATGAGGAACACAACATGCCCCTGCCTGATACTCCCGGCCTTTCATTCGTAGCAGGCCCCATACAACAACTCTTCAAGGAAAACCAATGCAGTCTGGTAGATATGTTCGAAATTCTGAGTGATCTTGCCGTGCAGTTCCACCAAAAATATACGTGCTCCTCCAGGATGAGCTGGACCATCCCCTTTAATGTTTCCCTTGAGAGGTGACAACCCCTCCTCTTGACACAATGGAACACGTTGATGTATGTTGTTCCAAGTTTCTGACCTGCACGAGCCTCGAATCGAACAATCAACTCTCCTGCCCAAGTTACTATTTTATACATCTTTAAGCCAATTTGATATCCATCGTACTTTAATATGCAGAACTTGAAGAGAAATCTCTGCAAGGTCTCCTTTTTGTGCCCGGTTAGCCGTTCTAGAGACGCATCGCTTTCATGGGCTAATGTATCTAGTGAAGCGCTGGAGTTCGGGGAATATTTATTTGGCAATCAAGGGAAAATTTATACCGCGGAATGACCGGCCCTGCAGTGTTGGATGGCGCACAGACTTGATGGCAGGTGTTTCGAATCAAGCTGATAATTGGAGCGAACAGAAAGGAATATTAAGGCGTCACAGCAAGCGAAGTAGTCAAGGGGCATGAGCTATTCCCGCGAGGCACGCCAAAGTCTACTTTCCCAGGGCAAGTCTAGTGAGGATAGCTGCAGATAGAGAGCAGGCAAACATTCTACAACCCAGATCTCCGTAGATCGGGTGAGAGAGTGAACTGATTTTAAATGGCTCTTGCCGTAAACAGGATAACCGAAGATACAGGGGGGCAGGATCCAAATCCTTGGTGGAAACCTTCCCTTTCCTGAGTAGCTGATCAAATAATAAGACCCACCAGGAAATTGTCCAGCATTGGACATGCCAGCATACTAGGGCATTTATTGGCTTGTGGCGCAAGCCATCAAGTGCCAATAGAAAGTCGGTTATCTGAAGCCATGATTTCACAGGAAGAATGGGAATGCTACCCTGTACGGATGGAAGGCTGAGTGTGGTAAGCGTGGAGAGGCGCGTTCTCCAAGATGGCCCTACCTCCTGCCTAGTAGTGCGATACATGAGTGACCCACTAAAGTACTCTTATTTCCATCCCATTTGGGATAGATGCGGACCTGCGAGGGTCTGTTTCCTAACCAGGTGGTCCGAGGTAGCCCAAATTTCCATGGCTTGAACTTGGCCTCGCGCACAGCCTTGCACCGGCCAAGTCTTTTTATTGGTAGTTCAGTTCATCCATTGGCTTGGCAGGACAAGACGTTTTAGATCGTGAAAATGATCACATAGCAGAGGCCACCGGATAACGCAAAATTAGGCGGCCAAAACATGGAGAAATAACAAGAAATTGGTTATACGGGACGCGTGCGCCAGTGAAAATTGTACACAAAGTCCGATGGAAATGGTTGCATGATATACCGCTGCATAAACCCATCATGAAAATGATGGTCATAGTATAAAGGGGGGTGGGAAGAGGAGGCGGAGGCGCGGCTTTTTTTAATATTCCTTTTACCAGTGGGTGGTCCAGGACTCATGTCACACGCAGCATCAAAACCCTTCTCCGAGGACTTCCTTTCCTCAATTTGCAAGCTAAAACATTTAATGCAGTGAATTACGGTGTATTGAAACTGCTAGTAATTACGCGGCTGACATGCTGAGAATCCTAGGAAAGACGGAGCGTTGCTGATCTTCCCATCAGTGCTCGGCAGGGTCAGTCCACATATTGAGTCCCCACACAACTAAGTTTGCCGTAATATGATGATCTAGACTTGTGACTACTAGCGCTATCGCAGAGCCGAAAAGGATGTCTGGTCTTCTCGCGGGCCATTCGAGACTCCCCACTCTGACCAAATAAATGGGGCCCTACGAATTGAAATCAAGGTCTATGACATTATGGAGCTTGACATGGATCTATGAAAGACAAAACGCAAATATATGTGTGATGGTGGCTTTGGCTACGATTGTAGAGGTATGGACAAGTGCGCGGTAGATAGCTTGGCCGCCGCCGATGAGCGTCCTAAAATCCCGGAAAACAATTCCTCAAGGCAGAAGGATCCCTCATTGTATCTTGGAAATTTGGAATATTCGAGATGAAGCCTTTCAAGTGTCAGTAAGGTCCATGCACCCATTAATACAATAGCATACCTGCCAGCTTGCTCGGTTGGGAACGTTCCAGTCCTCTCAAAAATAAACATAAATTGAGCATCCATTTATCTATCAATTTTATCTCCATTGCTCCCAAGCCTCGCTTGAGCTGCTTTGCGTCGCCTGCGTGCAATATAACGAAGAGGAGATTTATTGCGTCTTCTGCGATTAGAAAGTATAAGAATCCATTCAGACCGGATCAAACGTACCTTGACTCTGAGATATGGTTGGATCTACGTAGCTCCATGCACTCAAAGTATCTTTGCATGTCTGGTCGCTCAACTTCGCAAACACTTTCAAGTAGAAATGACTCATGGAAGCTGTGCCGCTGGCTTGGAGGCAATAAAGTAGCTCTATGACTACTGCACGGTCAACCGCTGGAACCTGTCGGACCCATAGCCAAGTAACAATATTCTTTGGTTGGACGACACGATAATCTCCTTTATTTGCAACTGGCGGAGTCGTGGAAGTGGATCCGCCCTCCCGATGACTGCTGCCACCGAAGTGAGCAGCCGCGGAGTCACTTGGTGTACATGCTCCACTCATCGAAAGGGTGGCTTCCGTGTAACATGGCAATATTGTTGGCAAGAGCTTTTTGATGGCATTTGGAATGCACTCCGGAAAATTGGCTGGAATTTGGACTGGTGCTTTACAAATATCGAAAGCTGCTATCCTTATTGAGAATGCGCTTCGACTTGTTAACATCGCACAAAGGTGGTGAATATTGCAGACTTACATGCAGTAATCCTCTTCAGTTGCCTCATTGATCAATGGCTGAGGCTGCCCATTAGGGGCAGACTTTTCTTTTATCATGATTCTTGGGCATCCAATACCCGGGTTTTATTTCAAACTGTCGGCCACGCAGGGTTCCCACAGCCATTCATGCAGCGGTCCTTCAGCCAAAGACAATTTGCCATCTTTGCGGAATTGCAAACGAGCAACAGATTCCCCGTACCTTCTCTACATTAGCGAGGGCTCAGGGTGCGTTAAGAAAGCCACTTACCTTTGCTGCCCCTGCAAAGGCCATTTTTGCCATTCTACACAGAAGAAACCCGTCAAGTCGGCCTTCCGCTCAACACGTTTTGATTCTGTGTCGACAAGGATCACACGATAGGGCGAAATATTATTAAACTGAGATTGGAAATTTCTGGGACGGTCCGGATCATTTGTTTCCTTTTGGGCTTGGGGCCCTAGACTTTGTGGATAGGCCTGCTGGGGAGACATTGATTTTGAAGTCGGGTTGATGCTTAAGCTCGGTGGAATAGCATCAGCCTGAGATTGGTCATTTCGGGCACTATCAGAATCATTTTTGCCATTCTGGACTTGGGGCTGGAAATCAGCCTTATCCATTGGCTTGCGCGGCGTACTTGGCAGGGTTAACGCATCTTGGTGTGAGATACGGGTGTGACGCTTTAGTTCATCTCTTCTAGTGAATGCGGCCCCACAAGGCCAAATCAATGACTTCCTTTCGGTGTCTAGTGACTCTGGGTTAGAATAGCTTGACCTCGAGAATATCAGCAGTTGCTTACGGGTGCAGATGTGACGGTCCAAATAATCAGTTTGTCGGAAAGCCATACCGCAATGTACACAGGTATATGCCCTTTCTCCACAGGCATCGCTTGACTGGGGTGATGGAGGCGGCTCCAAAGTTTGCAAATAGGCAGGCTGCGGGGGTGTTGATTCTGAAGTTGAGTTGTGGCCTGGAGTTCGTGAAACTCTATGATTATCTCGTGAGCTTAGTGATTAAATTCTTAATGGTTGGCCTTGCTCATTTTGTGTACCTTCGTTTTTTGCAGCCTCCCGGCTCTGCAAGCCCAGCATAGGTGCCGCTTCTTTTTAATGACGCTTTGCTGCCAATAGGTTTTAGCAACTTCTGATGGAAAAGTGACACCCTTTTTTGTTCCCCTGTAGCTTTCGCAGCGTTCGTGGCCGGTTCAACGGGGCGGTTTTGGGAAGCAGATCGCATTTCTTGCAAGAAGTCAATATAAAACCCTGGCCTCTGCTACTCATAATGGTGATTACCTTGTCCAACCGCCAGCGTATGGTGAAGAGGACGATTAATTGAACGGTATTGGTGCGAGTTGGAAGAGCTGTGAGCCACGCTGAATTTTGTATCCTGCGCTAGCAAACAACACAATGTTGCCCGAACCGAACTCTGAGACTTCTAATCTCATCAACGTTTGTCAAGGCTTAAAAAAAGACAACCCCGACGAGGAGACGCTCCAAGCTTTGGCGCGAAACCCGACACTGGAAATTCATACGCAAGAAATGGTTGTGCAATTTACAGACAGAGCACAAGAAATGCTGTCACTACTCGCTCGGCACTTTGACCCGGAGTGCACATCAATCACCATTGGGCTTCTTCGGTTTCTATCTTGCCCCTGCGAGCAACTGCACACAGTTTGCGAGCACATATACCCACATTACAACTTTTTGGAAACCTTCCAACACTTTAAGGAGAAACTCGGGCGTTTTCTGAAACTGCTTCCACGCCTTGTGCTCAATGGTCTTGAAACGTTCCATTCAGAGGTTTGATATCTATCATCTTTGGTTCTTGGGATGTTTGGGAATTGGACGGCATTTTGGAAATAATTTTGACTTTCATGGTCAACGGGATCTGGGCGTTAAGATAGCTAAGAATTGAATAACTAGTATTCGTTCTGTATAATGGTCCAATATCACAAGCATTATTTTACTGATTTTACCATCCTCCAGCATACATTTAGGTTTACCCCTCAGGTACACACGCTTTGTTTCTTAGCCCATACCCGAGACGGGGCTTACCTTAATTTGGCCTAGTTGTAGTTTTTGAGCCTAGGAATTGGTTCCTGGGAGGGAACAACCCCAGTCATACAGGATGCCAAGGTGGAGTTTTCCCAGAAGCGGCATCGGCTGACTTCACTGACCAGAGCCTGAGCTCTGTAGCTTTGCTCTAGGGGCTAGGCATATGTCGTATTGATGCTGATCAGTTTCGGATTGCGAGTAATGAGGCCGCAGTAGCACTCGCCGACCCCGACTAGTATGGCGGACTCCATCTGCTCGGTATCGGCACCGTGTATGTCCACTGGACAACGCATCATCCTCTTAGCCTCACCCACAAAGATATCTCGATGGCTAGAGAATGGAGAGAATGGAGAGAATGGAGAGAATGGAGAGAATGGAGAGAATGGAGAGAATGGAGAGAATGGAGAGAATGGAGAGAATGGAGAGAATGGAGAGAATGGAGAGAATGGAGAGAATGGAGAGAATGGAGAGAATGGAGAGAATGGAGAGAATGGAGAGAATGGAGAGAATGGAGAGAATGGAGAGAATGGAGAGAATGGAGAGAATGGAGAGAATGGAGAGAATGGAGAGAATGGAGAGAATGGAGAGAATGGAGAGACGGGAGTGATGGGAGTGATGGGAGTGATGGGAGAGAATGGATTAATCGAAATTTGCGTGTTGCTCTAGGCGCTTATGCGTGGGATACGTCTTTCCTTGGTCTCTTAGGCTTAGCGTATGGTGTCGTGTAGCCCTGTGATCAATCTCCTGTTTCTAGTCTCCTCGCGACGATCCTTATGCCCATGCTTCGTGCACCTTTCGTCGGCGTCATTACGTGGCACCAGAGAACAGTGCACGCGTACTATCTGATATTATATATAAGGCTATAGAATCCTTCCCTTCATACAAGTACAAGACAACAAGTCATATCATCTACACCAACGACTTGCGAGTTAGAGCCACCACGTGATTTTCATTCAGCAATTACCAACTATGGCTTTCAACAACGAACCACGCGAGCTGGTCAACATGGTCAACTGTCCTGCTTGTGGATACTGTAACATGACAGGGGAACCTACCTGCACCGGGATCGTCAAAGACGGCGAAAAAGGAACCAAAGTTTGTGGTGTCAAACTCCCAGCAGTCTTTTAAAACACATATTCCTTTGACGGTAAGAACAGTGTGTCCCCTTTGATTTCAATAGTTTAGAACTGACCTAAATAACCAACACACAGTACCTCAAACTCTCCGTTCAGACATCGACGGTGGATCGTGTGAAAAAGCCTATAAGAATGACCCTCACACAGAATGCTTGGACATATAGGGAGGATGGGGTGTCTTTGTTGAACTGAATGATGTTCTCGATATGATATTCAACATATCACCAGCTTTTATGCTAGTATACTGTCATTACATTGGATGCCCATCGCGTTGCACTATATTTCATTCTTGGTACCTCAACGTTGTAGACTCTTAATGCAAGCAGATATCCAAGTATTCTTCTAAGCTCTGCAAAAGATCAATTTGTATCACATCAGATGATAAAGTACACCCATAATCGCTACTTCTTCTAGCATCACTTCACAGGCCGGATAGAGGATTTCAGGCGAAAGACGCGGCCTGGTACAATCTGGGACATTAGGTGGTGTCAACCGGGGAATGGTTACTAATATACCAAGACCTACTAGCCAGACATATCAAAACTATATGTATGGTGGAAATGCCAAAGCTCAGTATATTAACGGGCAAGGCTAATTGGGAGGCAAAAAGAACATAGATTGAATGAGAGCAAGATGCTGTTCTTACGTCTATACCTAGATATTAATCCCACCAGGATAGCCATTCCGGTGCATAATGGTCGAACCCATCATCACCAAGCAACTCTTGAACCCCCGACCTCCACGCAGTTGGTTTGTCCGTAGCCGTATCTGGAAGATTCAGTCCACTGCTTATCCGAAACTTGGTTCGAATCCATCCCCTTGGGAAATAGCCAGCAAGCTCCCAATCAATGATACCAACAGTGCCAGTCTTCGGGATATCTTCAACAATGATATTTCCAGGGCCAAGGTCGGCATGGTAAAACACAAATTTTGAGCAATCCATACCCATCAATATACACCCTTGTCGGAGGTTGTCAGGAGAATAGTCCTTTTCCGCACCATATTTGACAAGATATGGCTCAAGAGCATTTTTTCCATCCGCGCCACAAAGTTTATCGCATTCTTGGCTCTCGAGAAACTTGCAAACATTCACTATGGCTTTAATGTAGTGTTGTCTCCATTTTTCATCCAGAGTAGGCCAAGCATCCCCAAGTGTTCGGCCTTGGACTCTGCTCAGGAATAGGTAAGACCGGCCATTGTGTTCTGTTTGGTGCAAGACTTTGGGGATCTTGAAATCAGGCTGCTGCTCATGGACGAGCTTCTGTGCGAACTCCAGTGTTGCAGCTTCAGAAGTTATACCTTGGTGGCATAGTTTGACCTTGCAAAAAGCGCTGTTTCCTACAGACCAGACTGCAGAGCTATCCCCAGCATCATACACCAACTTAAATTTTGGATCATCCAAGGGTACGGTCGGAGGAAGGGGGTCAGGCGCGTCGGTGAGAGTGTAACTGAGATCGTCGTCTTCGTCATACCAGGTAAATGTACCAGAAGAGCCTTTTCTGCAGTGGAGTTGGAGGGGCCCAATAAGCCATGTGTTTGCATCCCCGTCCACCTGCGCGATTGACTCCCTGACAGGATCACGCATAGTCTTGACTAGGCAAGCCATGGAGCGTTGTTGATTATGATAATCGTCGAAGAGGGGCTGACAATGATAAAGAAAAAAACTTATAGGATTAAGAAATTTGAGGTGGTATGAAAGAAGGTAAAAGATGGAAGGGGGAAGTTGTGGCTATTATACACGTCCACTTGGGTAAAACATAAATAACGCTGACGCTAGGTCCAATCACAGATTAGTTGGCTGTAAACTAAAAGTGGGCCCCACACAAGACCGTCGTCGATTGGTTTGTGTATTTGCCCCATGAGTTGGGTGGATACAGTATGGATGGATGGACAATACCATTTACCCTGATCCCTCGGTTTTGGAAATACACAGGCTACTCCCGTGGTTAAATAGGTGATTGCCTTCACGGAATTGTCCCAAATTACTTGCGGTGAACTTCAGCCTCACCAGTGAAGGTCTGTGATAGTTCCACATTAACTTGAGAAGGGACTGGGGCACTCCACTACCCCGGGATTTAGTGTCTCCCCATAGAGACGTGATGATATTTATTGAGGCGGCGTCGGGAATCGAACCCAATGCCCGCAGGATGGAAAATGGCAGTAGTTGGGCAAAAATTGACGACAAAAATCCATGGTCAACCGGACATGAATCTATTATCATTATTATTATTTTTCCTCCCTCACACAGTAGTAGCCATAAATTCAACTGACTGTGAACTAGTTGGGAAGGCCACTCGAGGTCGTTCTATGGAAAAGAAAAATGAGTGCCAGGGGTAATATATAAATAATATATAATATATATTTGACATTATGTTGAAAATGTACGATTTGACCAAATGACTTGCTGGCTTTTAACCACTTCATTAAACGGGCTTATTGAAGTCTGAACCCCAGTATCAAGTACCCCTCCACCTACGCATGGTGATAAGTACCAAGGGCTTGGTGGAGTCCAAATGTTGATGATGATGAGAGTCCACCGCGACCCTAGACGGCACTTGCAAATAATTCCCGAATGGGATATGCCTGTGGCGTGAATGATGATATCACAACACATTAGATAACGCACTATTATGCAGCCAAAATACGAGGAGACAGTACACAAGGCTAGATGGGAATAGATATGTGACGTGCGGCTCCATGAACTCATCTTGGAAATGATATACTTGACCGAGCCCTCAGCAGGGGGAAGGGGCATGTGAGAGGTCCTTGAATGCATTAGTGGTAATTTGCAATGGTATTTAGTCTCCGAGGATCATAATATTAGCTGTGCTGCTCCAGATTTCTTACAGGGGAGGGGATGTACGGCCGATCCCCTTTCCCCTAATAACATACGGCGCAGAAAGGAGATCCAGGGGTGCGGCAAGGCATTGTGAGCTACTGACTTCTGCCTTAAATCATAAATTTGGGCCAAATAAATTAGTCTAGTACTAAAGGTTCCCAATTTGGGTGAGAAGCAAGAAAAGAGACAATGATCCATATCTTTACGTCCTCCTTTGAGAGGCCAGGCCCCTGAATTCCAATGTACTGTTTGCTATGATATGGATCCTGAAGTGTCGTAAAAACGTAACGGTCCCAAATTCCGGAATTTGGGGCCAGAATCCCGGGCCTTTGACCTGAGCTCAGGCTTGCATGCACATTCACCGACTGCTAGGCTAACACTGCATATGAGGCTGATTTGCAGAATTGGGTATCATCATGAGTGAAGAAAGCCTTGTAAAGATGCAGCTGCCACTGTGAAATGGAGACAGCCATGGAATGGGTGAAGATCAAGAGGAATACGTCAGATTCATGCGCCCCTCCCTAGCACCGACAACAAAATCTCGTATCAAATCACAATTCCTCAAGCATATTCACCGAAAGACTTGATTGGTCCACTAACGCAGAGGCCGCCTTAGTTGGGGATACTGGAACATGGCCTTTGAATCCCCATTGGGGATATTCAAGGCCTCCGAGATGATTGACTAAGCCGTTGACTCCACAAATGCAGGCTACGAGCTGGAACAGAGGTCTAGAGGCGCCTTGCATACTCTAGCGCGCTATTCAAGTTACTTGCTCTCAGCCTCTGGATACTAGAGTTATTCCACCCCCTCTCTGAGCCGTGCATACTAGTGACAATAAAATGGGATCAGTTGGGGTTACTTCGATACTCATCCACAACGCTGATGGTTGACATTTCCCCTGTCGTACACCGAGACGACATTGCAGCAGGTATTGTCTCACATATATCGTGTCACCTTTCACTTTGACATATCGGATCTACCAATTTGCTAACCAGTCACCGAAGTCTATAATAGTTCCGTTGGTTCCCATCAGTGACCCTGTTGCCACCGTTGGTAATTCACATATCCACCACCAATAGCCCGAGACAATTGCATGAGAAGACTTTATTTTGCTCTTGAGCAAACCGCTATTATGAATCCCCAAACGCTGTTAGAGTATCTACTTACATTCTACCCGGTTTTCCTCATGCTGTTGTTTGTCGTTGTTTTTGTGATCCAAGTGGTCGTCACGAGCAAGACCGAGCAAAAAGACCCGCAGAACAATGAGGGCCAGCATCCCAGACAGACCTGGAACCCGATAGCTTTCAGTCAGACTCAGCCTTTCTCCCGGACCGTCAAACACTGCTTTAACTGGCTCTCAGCTGGTGTGCTTGTGACATTCTTTGCGAATGCGACGATATATACCACCCATGTGTTAATGGCCCGCTCCGAGTATTGGTGGCGCGGGCAGTCTGTAGTGGTGCGTCTCTATGCGCTACGTCTCCTATTGCTATGTTATGTGTTACGTCCTAACAACCGCAGATTTATATCGTGGGCTCTATCTTTGCCTACGCAGTTATTCTTCTCAGCATACTCGATACCAGCTCTTCCCCGACGGCCACTCAGCTCACATGTTGGTCCTTCGCCATTCCCACTGAGCTTATTATTCTTACCACCTCCCTCTCAATTTATACCTCAGTCCACTATGAGCCAGTAGTCGGAGACCCCAACGGAGGCGCAATGCGCTAGGGGATCACCTTTTGGGAGTGCATGGAAGTGGTCCCCAACGGGGTCCGTATATTGATTCTGGTCTCTCTTGTTCTACTCTACTCCACCAAGTCTAGTAATTTCATAGGACTTGATGGAGGCTCAGAGGAAGAGCCAGGTTGTGATACTGAGACAACTCAGCTACTGAGCCCTCCGCGCACAAAGAGTTGTCGTGGTAATGGCCAGATCTATGGTTCAACAAGTGGAACTGCGAGACCCGCAGATACCAAACCACAGAACTCCTGGGCCCGACCAGAAGAATTGCCATCCAGGAGTTGCTTGGAGTATCTCAGTGGCTTCTCCCGTTTTTTTCCATACATGTGGCCCTCCAAGTCCCCCCGCCTACAGGCTGTGGCAGTGATTTGTTTTCTTCTCGTGATTTTCCAGCGAGTTCTCAATGTATGGATACCCATCCAGACTGGAGCGATCATTACATCTTTGGCAAATCAACAAAATGCAAATGACCGCCAACCACCGTGGTTTGAGATCTGCATGTATGTTTTTTACCGGTGGCTGCAGGCAAATGTGGGCTCTTTGCGCTCTGGTCCCTGGATTCCCATCGGCCAGTATTCCTACCTGGAGCTTTCCACAGCTGCCTTCGAACATGTTCACAGTCTCAGCTTGGACTTTCACCTGCGAAACCAGACAGGCGAGCTTCTTTCAGCTCTGAACAAAGGCAAATCAATCAATTCATTCCTGGAGCAAATAATATTTCAGTTCCTTCCTACGCTAGCTGATCTGCTCATCGCAATTGGGTATTTCCTAGTTGCATTTGATGTTTACTACGCCCTCGTGGTTGGAATCTCGGCATTTGTGTATCTTTATATTACCATTTGCATGGCTTAGTGGAATGCGAAGACCAGAAGAAAGATGGTCGATGCTTCGAGGCACGAGGATGCGATCAAGTAAGTTGAGGCAAATACCAAGTATCTGAGTTACAAGAAGATTGACATTCATGCACACGCAGAAACGATTCGTTGGTCTCCTACGAAATGGTGAAATACTTCAATGCGGAACAACACGAGTTTGCCCGATACCGACGCGCTATCTGCAATTACCAGAATACTGAGTACTACACATTTCTCTGTGGGACTCTATTAAACACCAGTCAAAGCACTGTGCTGTTGACCTGTTTACTGGTCACTTGCTTCATCGCTGCATTTCAAGTCTCTACTCTCCAGCAACCAGTGGGTCGGTTTGTTACCTTGTTGATGTACATGGCCCAGCTACAAGGTCCTCTGAGCTTCTTCGGAGCCTTCTATGTCTCCATACAGTCGGCCTTGATCACTGCGGAGCGTATGTTGGAGCTTTTCAAAGAGAAGCCAACAGTCACTGACAGCGATCACGCCTCCCCCTTGGCCACTTGTGAAGGAAGGGTCGAGTTTCAGAATGTTAAATTCTCCTATGATCCGCGGAATCCTATATTGAATGGACTCACGTTCACTTGTCGACCAGGAACCACTACAGCCCTCGTGGGAGAGTCCGGTGGTGGCAAATCTACGGTTCTCCGTCTCCTCTTCCGGTCCTACAACCCTAAACATGGCAAAATCCTCGTCGACGGACATGACGTCCAGGATATCACGATTGATTCTCTGCGCAGGCATATCGGTGTGGTTCCGCAGGATACGATCCTTTCCAACGAGACTTTGATGTACAACTTGAAGATCGCAAATTTAAATGCTAGTGATGAAGATGTGTACCACGCCTGTCGCAATGCCGGTATTCATGCCAAGATCAAGAGTTTTCCAGACGGCTACAACACCAAAGTTGGAGACCGTGGACTGCGCCTCAGCGGCGGTGAGAAGCAACGTGTGGCAATCGCTCGAGCTATCCTCAAAGATTCTCCAATCATACTGCTGGATGAAGCTACGTCCGCGCTCGACACTAAAACCGAAGAGCATATCCAGAATTCCCTTGCAACTTTGTCCAATGGCCGAACCATGCTCATCATTGCCCATCGGCTAAGCACCATCACATCGGCAGACCTCATTCTAGTCATAGAGGAAGGCCAGGTGGTCGAGAGCGGCACGCATGAGGAACTGGTGAAAATGCAAGGCCGTTATTCCCGCATGTGGCGAAAACAAAATGGTGAGACGGACACACCTCAAACCCACGACAAGGTGGTGCGCATTTAAGCAGATCATCTATACAAAGGTTCAAATGATACAAGCCATGCAACCCGCTGAAGGACTATCTGACTTTTGTCTCAAACTGCTTTTGTTTTTCCTGTTTTCTTTACCAAAATCAGACGACCGCATGGGTTCACCAGCACCTATCTCTGCGCAGTTATGATGTAATGATGAAGCCAATATATCAGGATGATTATGCTCTTCAAACAAGGTCCTATTTCCTGATTCGGCTGTTTAAAAGTCGTCACAGTTCGGTTTATAAGGCAACTAAGCCACAGTAGCTAGGCCTGACAAAAAGGCACGTTTTGAACGGCGTTGAATTATGCATCGCTCATTCCGCGAAGCTTCTAAAACTTGTTCCTACCTATTAGTCGGAGATGTTAAGAAATTTGCTGACTGTATCTCCGCAGCATTTGTACTAACTCCGGAGCCATGAAGAGATCCGCTTCCGCTCCTGAGGGATCCCTAGAATGGGGTGGGCTGCCCGGGTAGCCGAGTCCCATCCCTGCCCGTGCATTAGCGCGTCAGGTCACGGGTTTGTCTCAGAATGGCAAAGCCTCATTTGTCTAAGAACGGAGCGAGTAACTCAGCTTCGTACAATATTATTCAAAGTTGTATCTGTCTAGGAGAATGATCCCAGATGGATTCACAGGTAGGCTAGCATTCGCGGAAAGTCTTCGAGACAAATCTCAGCAGATATAAATTGCGCATTTTCTATTGGATAGTCTAGTGCTGCAAACGCCAGTTGCACTTGAGTAGTGAGTGTGTGTGTGGGGACTGCAATCTGTGTTTGCAAGCTTGTAATAGGATCATATGTGGCGCGCACGGATATCATTGGCATTGGATTGGAAACTGGCTACCATTTTCCCTGGGTCTGATTCGTTGCGGGCCGTGCCGACCTGTGACCTACGAATTTATGGGGTTATTTATCCACCAAGGGGAAAAGACGCAAATGGTGGAGCATCTAACATACTGGGCGGATATAGAAAATTCAACCGGAGGAAGAGAGCACGGCATGAAGCCAGAATTGTAAGGGAAATTGCGGATGAAGAAGTCGAGATTCAGGTCAAATTGAATATGAGAATGACGAAGAAGAACCTCGAAATTGAGCCTATTGTATATAGATAAAGTAGGTAGATGACCTATATAGGTTCGATGAAATAATGCGATAGTTTTGAAAAATTTGCATCAGACTTTGTATTGTTAGGGAGTTCTGTGGGTCATGACCCAGCAATACGAATACTGGATGGCTGGACAATACCATCAGTACAGGTGATCCAACACCGTAACCGGCCCTTACATTTTTGGTAAAAAAAAAGAGGAGCGGGTACACTCCAGGTTTGCGGGGGCGACGACCGTTCGACCATACCACACTTTGTTCGCGCGCCAACAGTAAAATGTCTGGTAGTCAGCAGGAGGTTAGTTACTACTAAGGGTTAGTTACCATACAATGGCATAATACATATGAGAAATGCTACAGCAGGTGGCGCAGCCCCCCCTTTACATATGGAAAGTGGGGCGGTATCAGACCCCTGTAATCAGAAGACAAGCCGAACTCCCCCAGCTTCCACATCTACTGACCGGAGCCGCAGACCCCTCATGCTCTATTTCTTCCGCCGTCGACTGAAGGGGGTTTGGGCCGGCTTTTATTTTGATTAGCCATTTGTCCTCGACTGGAAGGCTGCGTTTTGCAAAAGGGCTTTCTAGTTGCTTATACTGAATTTTATCAAAAAGAAACTATACGAGGACGACTGGCCTACCGGTGATGATGATACACGGTCTATGCTTCTCTTAAGCTTGTAACTGTTTCTCTGTGGGATGGAAGTTGATGCATGAACGCTGAAATCATCGCTAGGTGAGGTTTTTGGAGAAAACCTACTGGGGGTTTCAATTGTGTGTAGTCGGCTGCAAGCATCGTTTGCACACAAACATTGGGAAAATATAGGGTGTATACAAGGTGCGTTTGCAGGCATATATGATTGGATGCAAGTGTGGGGCCAGCGTGAGCTCTTCCTTTCAGCGTAAAGAGTTAGAAAAGCCCACATTTTTGATTGCAATCTCGTCGATCCTTTCGCGGAAACCCACTTATTCCTCTTCCTGATAGCCAAATTTGAAAACTACTCGGCGACCCATCACTCAATTGGCCAAACCCCGGTAGATGAGGCGCAAGATTCACTACCTGGCTGTAGCCCTATCGTATACTTCTATTTGATGTAGAGTGAATACATAGTGCACACTGCTCTCCTTCGACTCCTTTTTCTTCTCTTTTTCCCTTAATATTTCTATAACTCGGCCTGACAGGGGCCCTTAATATTTCATTTCATTGTTCTATATTCGCGCCTTCTGAGATTAGGTCCACCACTGATCCGTCATTCATCCCTTCCCTTCTATGATATATCCCACTTCCTCAATTACAACCAAAAGCGATTGGTTTCTGTCCCGATTCACCAAGCCAAATTGCTCCTCAACGGTAAATTGGGCGCCCAAGATATACCCAGTGTCAAGGACCCTGGTTAGTTGCGACAACAAAACAAGACAGCCGCGCCTGGCAACTTCAAACACCGCACACCGGGCTCTCCACTTGCAATGGATCGCAATCCTTTCCTGAAAGAGTACTATGCGAGCGTGGGTCCGCTGCAGCCACCAAAATACTCCCTTATGCCTAATCGTGAGCTGCCAAAATTAACACCAGAAAGCACATATGGTCGACCGAATGGCCATGGCCTGCCCATGCATGCGTCCGTGAATTCCCGGCAAGACCAGGTTTCTCCTTACCCAAACATCCACCGGCCAATGAATGGCGCGCCGTACGAGGGCTCACCTGATTATCGCGCTCGTATGGGCTACCCGCCCCTGGATCGGATTATTTCGAGCTCTCTGCCTTCTGCATCGCATTCAACATTTTCCGTTGCCCAAATGGCGAGTACTCTGCCGCCTGCCGGGTACGATCGGGCTTTTTGCCAAAGCGAGGCGTTTAGAGCATGTCAGGGTAAGGCACGGAGAGCTATACAGGTGTGTTAAGCTAGCAGAAGACGGGCATTTTCGGTGAACTTTTGAACTAACACGAGCTATATAGGCTTGTGACCAATGCCGAGCTAGGAAAGCAAAGTGTGACGAGAGACGACCGAATTGCAGCCACTGTAAACAGAACAATCTTAGCTGTGTCTACAAAGAGGTGTCACCGCACAAACAAGAGAAGACTACCCAGCTGGTATTGGACCGGCTTTCCCAGATAGAGAATCGCATGGAGGAGCGAGATAACCGCATGGATGAGCGTTTTGAAAAAATGCAAATGCAAATGCAAGAGCAAATGCTCAACAAGTTGGGTAAACTACCACCTCAGACTGTCCAAGATCGTCCGGTCCTCCCAGCACCATCTCCACAACCCGTCATCAACCAGGACTTGCTTCTCAGAGCAGAGATGCCTCAGATTCAAGTCTCAACTCCAAATATTTTGGACCTCGGGAGTCAGGATGCAGCAGCTCCGAAAATTGGCCAAAAGCTTGGGCCTATAGAACCGAGGCTCGACAATCAGGAGGCTGGGGGTGATCTCTCCATTCCGGTAGAGCACACTACTGCAGCTCACAAGCTATTGATGTGGCCGTCAATCAAGAGGCTACTACACTCTGCAGAATACGACGAAGAGTATGTGATGCGGTTGGAAGAAGAGCGCGGTCTCATCAGCATATACGGCCAAGGCGAGATCTCATACACAGCAGATGACAGTCAATTACCAACAAATGGTGACCCCAAGGGTGCCCAACCCGATGGAAATTGCGTAGGACCGGATGCTGATGTCGACATCGATGAATTTGGGAACTTGAAACTGGATGCTGTCACTGCTAGGCGCTACTACCATAGCTACTTCGAGCACATGTTTAAGCTTCACCCATTCCTTATGGAAGGTGAGCTAAATATTAAGGTTGATAGCTTCATCCGATGTTATTGTCGCATCAATACCTCACCGAGTTCAGCTTCCAATTATACACGACTACCTCGCGATGGTCCGATACCAGCCAAGAAGAGGCGATCAAACGAGAGGCTGGGTGTGCGTGGCAGGTTCATGGAAGCTATCTCCAATCCGCTGCGGCCACGAGTCGGTAAAAACATTGACAATGCCTTGGTCATGCTGTGCCTGGCCCTCGGAGCTATTTGCGAAGCTCATGCCCCTCTCCCCGGGCCTATCATGGACATGAGGATCAACCACTCTAATCAGCCTATTCCTGTTCCGCTGTCACCATTCATCCCCCCACAGACTATAGATGGGACATGCGTTACCAGCGGTATGCTCCTCCCGGAAAAATCTGATTCGACGGCCACGCAGATGTCGCTTTCGAGCTCTCTGTATTCTATGCCAACCCAGCCTTCTGGCCAATCCTTTCCAAGCAACCCATTCAACAAAAGCGTAAATGGCCTGTCGAGGAGAGATGTGACAAATGCGCGGGATGAACAAGGGAACACGAGGAACTATCAGGCCATTCCTGGTCTGACTCTCTATGGATACGCGACCGCAATATTAGGCCATTTGCAGGGCGGCAACGAGCTAGAAAATGTCCAGTGCGGCTTGCTTGCTGGACTTTATGCCGGCCAGCTGGCTCATCCTTTCCAGAGCCACAGTTGGATTTATCAGGCCTCAAGGGCTTGCCAGATTCTTGTGAGAACCAAGCGATATGAACGACTCGAAGAGGGGGCCACGAAGGACTTGTACAACTTTGCGTACTGGACTTGTCTGCAATTGGAGAGTGATCTTCTCGCAGAGCTTGACATCCCAGCGAGTGGTATTTCCCGTTCCGAAGGTCGGATGGCCATTCCAAAAGGAAAATGGACAATTGGTCTACCGAACGACGATCTCAATGCACCCCAAACGATGATGATGCTGTTTTATTCTGCCCAAATCCATCTACGAAAGGTCTTGAACCGAGTCCATACAGACTTATACAAGGTCAAAAAGCAAGGCCAGTCACGATGGTCATCCACCGTTCAGGAGACTCTGAGCCTAAACCTCGACCTCTGGCGTGATAGCCTACCACAAAACATGCAGTGGCTCGAAAGCGATCCGCCAGCAAACGAAATCAACGCCGCTCGCATGCGTGCTAAGTATTACGGCGCACGGTACATTATCCATCGACCTCTTCTCTACCACGCACTACACTACGGCCACACAGGTGCCCGCGTCGGACCGGTCGGCCAGTCTTTGGTGGACTCACCTACCTCGCAACAATGGTCCCCCTCGATGCTGTACAGCGGTGCTCAGGATCCAACGATGGCGTGTATGTCTGGTGACATGGGCTCTATGCCGGCCGCAGTCTCCACTGACTGGCAGCCCCCCAAAGTCCGCTTACAAGATCTGCCGATGAACCTAAAATCTGCCTGCGACATCTGCATTCAATCGGCTATCAAGAGCACGGAGGCCTTTGATGGTGTGGGTGGACATCGGTTGCTCGTTACCAACATCTTCGGCACTTCCCATGCGTAAGGAATCCTCTGACCCCCGTTTCAAAAGATCACGGATATAGAGACAATACTAAGATATTTCTTCGCAGTCAATTTGGCAATATGCTCGTCCTATCTGCAACCTACATGTCAAGTTTAAAGGAGCTCGTCGAGCCAGAGACACTTGAGCGCCTCCTCGTCAGGACAATAGGTTTCCTCATCCAAAGCAAAAGCATATCCCCCACCCTCCGCGCCGATGCTCGCATCCTCACTGAGATCTACGAGAAGATCTTCCATCGTGCTCCTGACCTGAGGCAAGCCAGCATGAGCAGTCACACTCCAAGCCTGAGCAGCCAAACTACCGGCATGAGCTTCTTTTAAATGTGCATCTAGCGTGAGAGTTATTTTTCTTTCTCGTTCCTGTGGGCTTCGTAACTCGATATCTGATATTTTATATCCTTATGAACACATCATGCATGTCCCTGTCTCTTTAAGCCCGAGCCCTTCCGCGCTCGATATCTGTTATCTGTCTGTCATCTATACTTTGTGGACTACGGTTCTTTTCATTGATGAGTCCCCGAAACCTATCCTATTCAACACTCGGCATTGATACGAGCTTTATTCGTGGTGATTGGTTGGTGTGACTTTTTTCATACGTCGAGCAATCTCGCTTATTCTTTCATTGCCTCTCTAAGGTAATGCCTGGATTGGCTTTGACCTGTTGGATTTTTTCCCTTTCTTTTCTTTCTTCTTTCTTTTCACATTTTATTTTGGGGTTGGAAGCATTTCGTGCTCCAACAGTCTGACCCCAGCAGATACGTCTTGGGAATGGAGTTATTGTGTCACGTGTGGTGATTCTACTTACATTGCATGCATCCCAAGTTATACACATATGTTGGCTTTTTTCTTTTGAATGCTCTTACAAGATGCCAACTTATTCCTGTTGATTTGGCTGCGCCATATCATTTTCATATTCAATGCAAAGTTTTGCGTTCGGTGATTGGCTTTTGGTGTTTTGAATTATACCTCATCTTCAGTGTGGGCTGTATGTAGGGGTTTGTTTGCTATAGACTTTCTTTTCGGTAGCTTGTAGCATTGGATAGCACATAGATCAATTACAATCGAGATGGAGTCTAATACTGCTTGTCCATGTGGTTAATCTGGGAATGGAACTTTTTGGTTCATGCACAAAGTTTTCAAGTTTGGAAGTACCAGACTCAGACCTCATGGCGTTTTGTGGGCCCTTCCGGTTCCACGGTTCCAGCTCCCATAGTTTCGCCGGGGCTGACTGGTATCAAACCAGAATTATCCAAAAGTCTAATTAGAATAAATTGAACGATAAGGCATATGCCTAAATATGTCCATATTATTACTGGCGATCATAGAGAAAGCAAATGCATGCGGCTCGCGGGCCTCGGCTTTCCCACATTGTGCTCATCAGGAGTTAATTTAGAAGCACGAGTCAGCTTACTATAGAGTTGGTATACATTAAAACATCCTCTGTTATGTTTCAGCTCTTACATTGTCCAATCTTTGATATCTAGGTAGAAATCGACATATACTCGAGCCCAGATATGGCCCCAAGCGCAAGAAAATGGCCCTCAAGAGAAAATATCAACCCCTATTTCTATAACAACCAGCCAGTGCTAACAAACAACCGCAGGCTTCTCCCCGTTGCTGCTCTGGCCCACTACACAGCCCAAGGCTGTGATATTGCTAAAGCGCGCCCAAATCTCGGCAAGGCCTTCAAAGCCCTATCAGCCCTGGGCCTCATCAACCGGCTAGGAAACTGGCTCGATCATCGCACGCTGAATAACAGCGTCAGCGACCCATACAACTGGCACCGCGAAGTCGTAATCCTAACAGGCGGCAGCACTGGTATTGGCCGACGCATCGCCGAGCTGCTCGGGGCACGCGATATCAAAGTCGCCATCCTAGATATTACGCCGCCAGCAACCGATGACGTGCTATCAAACAGCGTACGGTATTATGAATGCAACATAACCTCCACAACGGACATCGCAGACGTAGCATCCAAAATCCCCAGCTCATTCGGCCGGCCCAGCATCCTAATCAACAACACAGGCATCTGCACCGGCAAAATACGAACATCGCGATAGACGAGGAAATATAAACCGAGATGCCAGAGAGATTCAGAAGCCCTGGGATGTGCTGGAAGCTCGAACGAGCTCTCTGCGGCTTGCGGAAGTCACCGAGGCTCTGGCAGTGTGAGACATCGAGGATATTGACCCTCTTAGGCTTAACGGCGGTGAAGGAGGACATCTGCTTGTTCACTGCGGATGGAATCCTTGTCTAGTTTTATGAGTATGATATAATCATCGTCAATCATCCCTCCCAACGCGCAAAGGTGGAAGAACTGCGAAAGATTCCGAACACACTCTGGGAGCTTCGTGATATGGGTGAGGCGGAGTGGTTTCTGGGAGTACGAATCATTCGAGATATAGACCAGAAGGCACTCTGGCTCTGCCAAGTCTCGTATATCTCTTCAATGGCGAATCGGTACCACCTTGCTGGTTCGAGAGCATATGAGACACCTCTTCCGGGAGTTCCATTGTCACAATATAGAGGGAAAGCCACGCAGGCACAGATCCCTAAATACCAGCAGAAGGTTAGATATCCGTCGTCTTTAGCACACTAGATGTTTCAATATTGGAGCGCGGTATTCTGAGATAGATAAGAAGGGGTTGGGTGAAGTCTAAGGTTCATTCAGGACAGTCTCACCACCAGACATTACCAAATGGCCGAGCAAAAGAAAAGTTAATTCAGAAACTTTCCGTCCACGGGAAGAAAAGTAAATGCAAGGTCTGTTGGGGGGTATACGGGAGTAAGAGAAGTCCGACCCTTCTTTCGGTCACGGGGGATAGAGACACCGCTCCTCTTTCCATATGCAGCGCGGTTTTGCCTATCAGGCGCTACTGCCGCTCCCAAAATATTTCCATATTTCCACAATAATTTCAATTTGAATCCTGCGCGAGACCCTCATGGTTCTAGGCTCGCCATGACCTAAGGTCCAATGTTACAAGAGCACACGTCAATCCCTGCCTGCATCCTATTATGGGTCAAATACAGTCCCACTTAGCGCCATTACAAGGTCTTTCAAAACCTCGTGTTCGCGTGATTTTGAACAATGCTACCCCAGCGCTTTAGGGAAATATGGCCGAGGAAGCGTGCTAGTGTTAGCTTGGTGGTAATGCTTGCCGGAGTCTGCATGTTTTAAAGGGCAACATTTATTGAACGCAGAAACATGCACTTACTTCAGATCAATAATGCCCCAAGCCTTACTACCATCTTCTGCCGCTGCATTTGCGCCACGCACACCCCCTAGCGTGGTGCTTGATGCCAAAGTCCCTCAGTGGTTGACAGCGACTCTTAAGCGTGTGAGCCCAGCTAGGCGTCGCTTGAACAACCCCAAACAGCAAACCAATTGCCTTCTTCAGATCCTCTCACCACAGAGCGCGACCTGGGCATTGTGTTCGATGATGTTAGATGGCCTGTTTGGAATGATTCACATAGAGGCCTATGTCGTGTATGTCGACATGGTCTCGCAGAATGAAGTGGCTTTTAAATTGACCAAAGAGACCATTAGTATCCTGGAGGGCTTCCATGAAGAGTTTTTGGTTAATTCAGCAGACCACTACTCAGGGAAGCAAGCTCATGCGAACGAATTACAGGAGGATTTCGTCAAAGCCGTCAACAAGTTCATATACCGGACGAATGCCGAGGCTCTAGAAGGACTACAGGAGAATGGTTCTGGAGAGCTACTCTGTGGCAACAGTGCGGACGTTAAAGCAGCGATTTCCCGCCTTTTTGTGCCAATAGTTCCTTCCCCACCCATTCCATATCCGTACCATCCACTGCCTGGTAGGACTATGCTATGGACGCCTGAATCTGTCTATGTGTCCGGAGCTGTCGACGCATGGAATACGCAATCAACTATCCCATTGACGAGCATCACGAATCAATACAATCCAACGCTGGAAAGTACCCTGGATGTCAGTTATGCCAGATCCTTCTCAATAGATTTCGTCAGCACAAAGGCGTCGCAATATATTTGCCGCCTGCACCCATCCGATTCTTTCGATAATCCGATGGAACCACCCGAGCCAGCTGCACTTTTGTGGTAGTCCTGATCTATTCTAAAGTGGAACAGGAATGTATATTATACTCTGAGAGGATGAAGGCGAGACAGAAGGAGGTAAATTAGTTCTTGGGTTATAGAGAGGCGGTATCCTGAGTTTGTTATTGCAAAATAGCAAGTTACGTGTTGCACCCAATACGAAATAAAAGCTGCTCTTGTGGCATGCCTTTCAGTTTTCTGGTTGCGCAAAAAGGCATATGATGAGCATAATGCCGTCTATTCAGAATATATCAGCTAGCCTGTCTTCCCTGGTCTATAGTTGCGCCATCAATCATCCAAGTGGAATGCTAGAGAGAGAGATTGGTTGACCTTTAGATCTACATCGCCCGCTGAGTGAATCGAACCTTCTTAAAAGCACACACGCGGCATGCAGTACCCCACATGACGCACGAGTTCAACAACTGCAAGTTTGATGGCGGCACAAGCATGATAGTGGGCGGAACTGGTAGGGTAGTCATCTGTAACCTGGACAATGGTCATGCGAGTTATCTTAACCAGTGGTGATATCGATAAGACCTGGTTCTACAACGTTATATCTCAGCAACCATGATGCGTATCTCGGCGTCGTCCATTTGCTCGTGGATATCGTCAAGGAGTGGGCTTTCGAACTTGGCTGCCAAATAGTTTTATGCTCTCACGAAGATCGACGGCGGACATGCTGCTATTTGGTAGGGGTAACAGAAGTAGGTAAAGGAAGCAAAAGATCGATGGATTGTGGAACGGATGGTGGGTATAAATTATACCAGGCGGGTGCGGTGGTCGTGTAAATGGTCACTCGAGGGACATGTCCGGATAGGGCGATGTTCTTAACCGGTGCGCGCACGCGCGAGACGAGCGTGTTCGCCAGTGGCTGGCCATCATCGATGAGAAGTGACGAGGCGGATTGTCATCCGTAGAGCGAGGGGATCTAGGAAGCCTGTCGGGTTATTCAAATGAGTGCTACCGTGCGGGAGACGCCCCAAGTATCACTTAATCCATTTATTCAGGACCGTAGAGGTAATATTGTCAAGAAGCGGCCGTTGTTCAACCTGCACGAGTACAACGGCACTGGTTGCAGGCCCAGTATACAATGCAAGTAGCAATGGTATATCCAGATTCAAAGGCGGCATTAGGGTAGACTCGACTTCATTCGAAGGCACAAGGAATCGTTCGCTGAGCACGTCGGTTTGCAAAATTCTCTCGTAAGGATTCAAGAATTTGCGACCTTGGGAGATATTAGAATCAGGCTTTGGAACATGTAGACCAGGACACAACTAAATGAGGTACTTACTGGGTTAATACGGCGTTTTCCTAGCCCATTCGCGTTCGACTCAACAACGGCAACCTCACTCAAGACCTGATAGCATAGTAAAGGCAGTTCTCTATCCAAAAAAGCGATACCGGTAGGCATATTTCATTTTCAGTGATGAGAGTTGTGTCTGGGGAGCCTGGAGAGCCTCGATCGTGCGGTATTTGCAGAGATTGGCGAACTGGGAACTGCTGTAACGGAAGTTGACAAAGTGCAAATAGCCCATCCTGACTTATGAAGTATATTTCGGCCATGGGGACCTGCTATCTGGAAACCATCAGTGGTGAGCCAGTTTCCGAGCAAACAGTCGAGCGAACGGTTGGCGTAGAGAGCCCTTTAACAGACTGGTCTGCTCTTTTGGAATAGGGTTGGAGCTCTTTGTGTGGATAGTGGAGGATGAGAAAGCATTGTGGTATTTTAAAATTAGATTCACTGCCTAGAAAGTAGGGCCGGGCATCTGGGGGTGTGTCAAGTTAAAATGGAGAGCAGCAGATGACCCGGAATTTGCTTTGCCTAAAGCAGACAGTCCGCGGCACTTGCCCTCCCTTTTTCCAGCCCTCCTCCTCTCTGTCTATCCCACAATCCCACAAAAAGCATCATCAAATAAAGCCATTTAAACCGTCAACCCGTCTTCCTCTACCATTCAGGGGAAATATTTGCTCCCAATCTTCTCATTGGATATCCTCCCGATTGTGTCGGTACGCAACAGCGAGCCCATGGTATTGGAACCCCTATAAGTCCTCGTGGTATACAGACTGCATCGTTCGGTTACACACACGGGAGAGAGTTTGTTGATAGATTATCGTCACGGCGAAAGGGGAAGACGTACAAAACAGCTCTTCTCCATGGCCAATGCCGTTAAGAACCCAAGCGCCGCATTCCCCTATCCCCGAAAGTTGTTTTTCCCCCTTATTTCGGGTTTTCTATATCTATCGCGCTGCAGCAGTTTACTTATACATTTAGTAAGATATCTCTGCCTGTCAGCTCTCTTGTCTGATGTTTGATCCCTCAAGACAGCCTGATCTAGCTGACTTTGTCGAGGGGCGGCAGTGAGGCGGCAACCTGCTCATGACAAAATGAAAAACACTGGTCCGACCCCTTGTCTCAGTCAGAAATCTCAATTTATATTGGAATCATGAAGCTAAGACTTGTTGATCTCCGCAGTTCCCTTCCACCTAGAACGAGTCGAGTCGAGGCACCAGCAGACACCTACCAGACTAAAAGCAGCGACAACGCACGGGGATATGTCTTCAAAGCAGACTAGATAAAATTAGCGAGACTTATGCTGTTAGAAATTATATCTAACCTGTGAAAATCCACTATTGACAGAAGTCTCGTCTGTAGAAATGGTGGTTTGGTGGTTAGACGTGTCCAATCAGCCCAAGGGGCTGAGGATGAAAGCAGTATGGTTTTAAAGTTGGCATTTGGTGGCTCTAAATTGGGGGGAGGGAAGACACGGCCTGCCATCGTTTCGTACACTACCCTAGTGAATCTGCACAGAAGAATTATCACTGACCACTACGGCATCACAGGTCTCCCAAACACAACCGATTCCCTTATCAACATATCCGGAGGGGTTGAATATCACGAAGGTACTACTGTGATTCACAGAGGTTTTGACTCTTAAAACAGCCTCCACAGGTGGGGCCAAATGACAAAAAGTATTTTCTATATCAATATTACCATCGATAATACAACCGAGATCATTCATGGAAATGTGACAGGATAACAGAAGAGGCTATTTTATTCTTAAAAGGAGATGCCTTGTCGGAGCTTTTACTGCCGAAGAGTTAACGTAATATTCAGTTTTATTCCGTCTCAAACATTATCAAAAATAGTGGCTATTTCTGGGCTTCGAGTCTGCGGTTTATTTTCGAGAAGCACGGAGCCGCAGTTGAAGGTGAAATTAAACAAGCTGGTACAGGTTGAAACGAATTTCAAGAGTATATATACGAAAAGAAGAGTCGCAGCAAAGAGGGAGCACAACAGAGTAAGAGACACGGCATATGGTTTGATGTCAGTCCGTAGCTGAATAGCTTCACCCAAGCCTTGATACTGGGGTTATTTCTTATGCGGTAAGATCTCCATGGCCATGCTCGAGGCGTTTCATAATACCGCCGATGATTTTATGTTCCTCGGAAGACAGGCCCGCATGTTGATGCTGGAAGTATCTCGCAACCAGGTCCATGGCATACCTTATCTCATCCTTGTCACAACATCCACAGGCGCTGGTTTGCGAAACAACGTTGGAATTGTGAGTCGCCGGGGGCAAGTGCATGGTCTTGTTGCATTGCTGATTTATCACGCTTGCTGGGTCATTCTCCTCCATGGCTGTACAAGCTTCCTTGGTACCAACTTTCAGGAGTGACTCAGATATCCTAATCGGGTGCGGCTCCTCGGTGTTTGCGTGATCTAAATCTTGGACGAAGAACAAGTTGGTTTCCTGATTGAACTTCTCCAGCCATTGCTTGTTCAATTCTTTCATCTTAGCTTCAGGAAGCCTGCAGTCGTTGGCCCAAGAAAGCGCCCTATCCATGATAATGTCATCATTTAACGGGAGTCCCTTGCGCCGGCAGTTCTTTGCCCAGTTGAAAAGCGCCTTTTTTATATTAGGAACCCGGTCAATGGTCGGATAGCGGCTTCGGTCGTCACATCTGCGGTGTTCCTTTTTTTGTCGTCGGTCCCCGACGGTGAGTTTTCTACACCGGATTAAACGCCCGGTAGATGTCTTTCGAACAGAAGGCGTCAGCGATGAGCTTAGCGCGAATTGTGAGATCAGGCCTGGTGATAATCCTATTTCGTGGGAAGGTGATTGATGCGGAGGCATAGTGGGCCAGGACTGTAATAGCGTCGGGGATGGCATCGAAGCATAGGGCGGCGATATAGGCATATTGTAGGTCGTATCGGTGACCGCGAGGGCCGAGAGGTCGATATTACAGTATTGCGGTATTCGCTCATCATGCTGTGGAGAGATGAAAACGCCCATTTCAACCCATGAAGAATGGACAGATTCATCGTAAACCTGGTGTGTTTCCGACTCGGTGGCTCCCGGGGTCTCCATGGATGGTACCAACGAGAAGTATTACGCCCTCGGACAGCACACGGACGCGACGTTAAATCCAGTTGGCAATGGGAGTAATCGGAAAGGGATAATGAGTTTCTTCGTGGAGGGAGGAGACGCGAAAACGACAGAGGGGAAAGAGATAGCCCCGCGAGGCAAGCAAAAGTCTTCTTTTCGGGACGAGAGCTAATTAGTATATAGGACAGGCACGCATTCTAAGATACAAATCTTTCTGGGTCCGTTGAGAGGCAGTAGGTTGACGGGAGCTTGCTCCTATCCCAGATAGGATAACCGAAGGAACCAGAATAGGACCCAAATCTTTGGGAGAAACTTCCTTTCCTCCAAGTAGCAGAGCTAATGATGTGACCCACCAGCAAGTTGGCCGCCATTGGCGATTTCAGTACACTAGGGCCTTTTTCGACTCGTGCCTAGCTCCAGCTTTCCAATGCCAAGGGAACTTTTGTTACCTGAAGCCTTATTTTCACCGGAAGAGTGGGTATACTACCCTGCACAGAAGGCTGTGTGTGGTAAGCAGGGAGGGTCGCTCCTGCTCCGAACTGGTCCCTGCCTGATAGCACGACACTAGTGAGAGTGAACCACGAAAGTGCTCTTAGTTCTATCCCCATTGAGTATAGATGCTGACCACCCAAAGTGTCTTTCCTTACCGGGTGGTCCGAGGTAGCAATCACAAATCCTTGGTCCCACCGGCCGAGTCTTCTTACTGGTATGTCACATCACTCAGTGGCCGCGCTGCCAATATCCCGGTCGTTGCTTGCCGCGGTATTACGAAAACTCCGTGGGCATCGGGGAGTTGAGTAGGATCGGGAACTGTGCAAATTGCAAGCCGAGGATCGGTCGACGGTTTTGTTCGCCGCGCTCCACGGTCTGGTACGATCGGCGAAGAGGCTGCCTCTGAACAGCCGAAGGATTCAAGGCCTAGGCTTTGCGATGTGACACAAATCACAAATAGATAGTGGTCTGCAAATTTCCTTACGAGGGGGCCACACCGCCGCCAAGGCGGAAGTCCCGATTGGATCATTGTTGCTGGCATGACTCGCAGTTTCAGAATGAGATAAGGTAAGTGAAGCAATACCCCGAAAAAGAAGAAAGATAGTGGAATGATGATGTATATTTCAAAATTTCAGGTAAAATCTAGCCCATTCTAGTTACCTCGTACTTATGTATAAAAGCCCTAATGTGAAAACAAAAAGGGGAAATGTAATTTCGAAGATGACCGAGACACCAATTCCCATTGGCTATCCAACTCGGCTTCTAGGAACAGGACGCTAGAAACTTGACCTCTGGGATTTCGTACTCCAGGTGTCACATTTGGGCCTGGGGCTGCATACAACATACATACAGTCACCCCGCAAAAGTTTCCGTAAAACCCTTCCCACCTCAATATATATAGGGGATTAGTAGAGGGACACCCCCCACCTGTAATGGGACACCCCTTTCAGTAATGGGACACCCTCTGCCTGCAAATTCTGGCATCTATCTTTTCTGCCGAATATTCTGTCACTTCATACTAATTCTGCAGCTTTGAATTCTGGTTTACATAGTAAAAGAAGCATAATTTTAGTAAGAAAAAAGGGATTTATTTTACAGAATGATTTGCATAACAGCATACATTTCTCACTACTAGTAATACTCGAAGTCTGCATCTCTGCTTCTGCCTGCGCCTCGCCGCCTTGAGCTCCGTATCGTCGCACTTTCATCATCATCTCCATCTCCATCTCCATCTACAATACGAGTAGCGCCCCGAACAGCGCCCTGCCCCCGGCCCGGGCCCCTCCCTCGCCCTCGCCCTCGCCCTCGCCCTCTCCCCCGAGGCTCCTCCCACGAAGAAGGATCTCGGTGCACAGAACGCTCGTGAGCTGATAAAGGGGGCTGAGTCAACGGATTAGGAGACGAGCGGGGGTTCTGCGTGCTAGGCTGCGTGCTAGGCAAATTCTTAGCGCCTCGGGGGCGCCCTCGTCGGCATGTACGGAGGGGGTCTTGTATAAGAAGCAATGGATCGATAGGAGGAGCATCGACGCTATATAAATGCCAATGCTGATGGAACAGCTCTGGTTCGAGGCATCTATCTTCCTCTTCGTACTGCTGTAGTATATGGATGCAGGGAAATCCAGCTGTTTCCTTCGAATTGCAGGTACAACGTGGAGGAATTGGCCGCGTATCATCCCCTTGATACCGTGCGTGGAGCTCCTTTGTAAGCTGAATTGCTCGTATAGAGATCCGAGTATAAAGCAGCCGATAAAGCTTAGGAATATTGCCAGTTGGCCGACGGATTTTCTGGGCCTCGATGCTATGCTGTATCTTATCGAATTGGAGCGCTACAGACCGGGTAAAACTGCGGAGCACTACCAGTAAATCATTGGTAGAGACCTGGAGATCCTGTTTGAGCAGCCAATGCGCACCCTCTGTACGAGAAGTAGCAATCTCATGAAGATGAAGGTATCGCGAGGTATAGCAATGAAGAAACCGCCGGGGACAGTTATCAAGCCATTCCTTCTGTATATAATCCAACAATGGCGCAAAAGGGGGGTCTATATATCGCTCTTTGAAATTGGCCCACTGCTGGTCCCTTTCCTCGAGTGTAATCGCGTACACAATGCGGTTCCAGCGCTGTAGCATCTTCTTCCACCCCGCTTCGGCCTTCTTACGGTCTTCGTTGCGCTCGGCGGCGGTAAGTTTGCGGGAGGTATTAGCCTGGGCTTCGCGGCGGGCTTGTGCTACCTGATCAGCGAGTATTGGGCGGGCCTTCTTGAGGATATTCATATTGATATGCCAAATGCAGAGCATATGCTTAGTGCTGGGAAAAACGACCTCAATTGCCTTGATAAGCGCCTCTTCTTTATCGGTAAGGATCGTACTGGGAGGGGCGAGAGCGAGGGATTCGTATGCTTCGGCTAGGCAGGTAAGCATTACCTAAAGTATATAGTATAATATGTTAGAAAATTAATCGATTAGGTGTCTTGGGGGTATTATACCTCATATGAATCATCCTTCTCATCTCTCATAAATGCAAATGCAAGGTGGAAGGTTGAACCAGTAGCCGCAAAGCCTACAATATCAAGCAAAGGGAGCCCATATCGATTGGTCTTATATGTGCAGTCCATTGAAATAACCCAGGGGTTCTTTCGAAGCATCGCAATGCTAGATTTATGCATACAAAATAGCGCAGAAACATGAGATTGATCATCAAGTTCATACTTGAAAATCCAGCCCCCATCCTTAGGAAGCTCTATCAATAGTGCTTGAAGCGGCGTACGCCCAGCAAGAAATAGCTGGCTTAGCTTCTTCCGTGCGTTGTAGATATCCTGGGGAATGAGCACACTTTCTGGATCCGTTTCACGTATCTCAGTAAGAATCTGGCGCGTTGTATGTCCTTGCCGAAGCCCATTTTCTACCTGATCGCTCTTATGGGTAAGATCGAGCTTCCGTTGTGCAGTGTGGGTTGATGCCGGCGATGGTTGATGGTTATGCTTCGACTTCGAATCGTCAATTGTTAGATGCCAAAGGTTAGTTTGGAGATCTAGCCGAAGCACAACCATAAAGGGGCATCCGAGTGCAAGGGTTGTTGTACGGCGCTTTTTGACCGTTTCTTCATACTTGACTGCGCGCCCACGATCACAGCAAAGGTAGACCGTTTTCTTCACGCCATTCTTAGTATATTTAGAACGCCGAATCGTCACCGCATAGCCATATGGGCGCGCAAACGTATTGACTACCTCGGCCCCTTCCTCTGGTGTATTGAATTGCTGGTTTAACGGAGGTAGCGGAAGCTGTATGTACCCCGGGGCGTTCGGTGTAGGTATTGGCTTGGGGCTTCGCTGGGTACTCGGTTCGGGGCTTTGCTGGGTGCTCAGTTCGGGGCTTGGTACCGGCTCAGAGGTAATTATTGGCTGAGAATCTAGGATAAGCTCCACATCAGAATCCGACATCAGGTATGTTAGGCCTAATGAGGCCATATTGATGATATTAAGTGCGTAAAATGCGATGAAAAATGAGCAGAGAAATGACTTGAGATTTAGAATGAGGATTTCGAAAGTGCGAGCCATAATTAAGAAACAAACTGGACTTCTTAGCTATAATTGAAATTTTCGCTCCACCTGCTAGGTGACTTATTTTTACTAGGAGTTTATATAGTAAATACAGGTACCGCCAGAGGACTTTAAGAATCTACAAAAGTTGATAGAAAAGCGGTGATAAGAGCGGTGAATAGATGCCAGAATTTGCAGGCAGGGGGTGTCCCATTACTGAAAGGGGTGTCCCATTACAGGTGGGGGTGTCCCTCTACTAATCCCCTATATATATTCATGATGAGTTTGTCGGAAGACTACAATTGTACGGTCAGAAACAATAATTTTCCACTACATCACAACCACCGGCGCTAGAGAACTGTAATTTGGCAGAAATATAATTTCATTCGTAATGATTCATTGCGATCTCTCAAAATTCGAAAGTAGCGACTGGAAAGGTTAGTAGAGGGATTCTGAATAACGCTGTTGGTTTTCCTGAACAACAGCGTGCGCTAGTCGGTTTTCTGTCTAGTTCCCGCATTCTTAACTATGTAGGGTTTGAGAATCACGCTGTTATTCAACGTGGAATAATTATAGGCTATTGTAGCAGCCCGTACGCAGTACTATCGACCCTGAGCCCTTCCTCGTAGAGCGCAGTTGAGAATAGCTTTGACCCTACGAGCAAACCCGCCTCACCCAACCTCAAATTTCTTCACTTGTGTGAGTGGGAAGGTGGGAAAGCTTACGATGGGGACCCATAAACGTGCATCCACTACCGTATAGAGTGGCGAGTGACTGCCAATAATAGGGAGGTGTCAAAGGACACGGAGGAAGATTTCTTTTTATAACCTAGCGCCTTCTGGCAGCTGTCCTTGGAAAAAAAGTTAGAAAGAGCTCTACGACGCAAAACTGCTCGCCATCGCCAATTGAGACCAGATGACACCGTCATGGTCGCATCAACAACCAATCGTACAAAGATAAATCTGACCAAACGATTTGACGATACCGATATTCCCTGGACCGCTACCGAAAAGCAGCTTCTGATATGGTCAGAGCTTCTACTCCGTGGTAAAGAACTGAGGTTGAAAATCAGTTTCAACCATATAGACAATCGTCATTCGTCTCCATCCGCTGGCCGGAAAGGAGAGAAATGAGGTTGGTCATCTGTCACACAAAGAATGCTCGGCGAGAGGGACGCACAGCTCGACGCAGAGGAAAGTACGTCTGGTGGAAGCCAATTTGGCACAGCGTCTATAGTATAATGCGATGTGACTCGTCGACGTGTCAGCACGGCCACCATTGCTGGGTAGATCCAATGGGAAACAAAGCACTACCCACTCAAATCTCATCACATCAAACGCCTAATAACCCACGTTGAGAAGGGCGGTGTTCTGGAATATCATAAGGACGTGTCAGAAGCGGTTCGGGACGAATTGTTCCGGGAAGAGCAAGATATGTAACCACTCGTCAGAAGAGAAGTGTAAGATATTTGACAAGTTAATAAAAGGGCGTCTTTAAAATTACGCGTCTTGCAATTGAAAATTTACTCTAATACCCTTTTTCTTATCCGCATGCTTGCATTTAAAAAATTGCTACCTGTCGCGTAAATCAGTGGGAGTATGTATCAATTACTAGCATCTCATTTTGTCATAGAATCCGCAGACGAGGGCGGGGCGTCTTGACGTCTTTGTTGACGCGCCTCGTAGCTAGCAGTATCTCAATCACCGCTTTATGCTCGTATATCGTCGCCCATGACAGCGGCGTTATTCCCTCTTGGTCTTCGGAGTCTGGTTCAACCCCTTCCACCGCGAGTAGCAACTTGACGATGCTTGCAGATCCCTTTCCTGCCGCTAACGACAAGGCCGTTCGTCCGTCGAAATCCTTAGATTCCGGGTCCACCCCAGCCAGAAGTAATAGCTTGACCACCGCCTCGTGTCCATTGCCTGCCGCCCAGCATAGCGCAGTCTCCCCCCGAAAATTCTTAGTGTCTGGATCGATGCCGTCGACTCCAAGTAATAGCTTGACCACATTCTCCTGTCCGGTCCCTGCCGCAAGTGATAGCGGCGTCTCTCCCTTTGAATTCCGAGTGAATGGGTCCACGCCGCCAGTCGCAAGCAGCTTCTTGACTACCTCTTTATGTCCTTTGCATGCCGCTAAAGATAGCGGGGTTTCCCCGGTTGAGGTTCTGGAGTCTGGTTGAACGCCCCGTGTCGCAAGAAGTAGCGTTACTACCTCCTTGTGACCGTTCCACGCCGCCAGCGATAGCGGTGTCTCTTTGTTTGAGGTTTGAGAGGCTGGATCGACGCCATCCGTTGCGAGAAGTAACTTAACGACCGCTTTATTTCCATTCCAGGCCGCCCATGAAAGCGGCGTCCAATTGGCTTCAGATACAAGTTGAATATTGGCTCCTTCTGCTATCGATTTCTTGGCTGTTTCCTCCTGTCCATTCTTTGCAGCCCACACAAGAGCGGAGCTTCTACATTGCTCCACATTGTATCTATAGAGATGGGTATTGAGAAGGTCGTAGAGACGGGCATTGCTTCGAGCGAAAGAATTCATGTCCTTCTGCAATGTCAAGCAGTTCATGACAGATAGCAGCAATTCATTTGGCAAACGAAAGAAGGCCATTCCAGGATTGCAACTTGTTTGCAAAGTAGCCTAGATAGAGAACACTAAGCGGAATAGTAACAACTAGCCACGATGACCATGATGACTCGAGGATGAAATGATGGTGGGATAACTCACCGCCTATTTGCAAACACTTGGTTGTAGACCCATACAGAGTAACGTATATATACCGTCGCGAGCGGAGTAACCGTGCCGAAATATCGAAGAGGTACTCCGATCAACGACCAGGAAATATTCACCACATCCAGCAGTCAGCGTAATAAAATTCATCAAAAATTGTCTTTATCATATATTCTTTATTGGGGCAGAAATAGTATTATAAATAAGGTCAATAAAACGGATTGTGACAACAGCGAAACATGACCCTCCGAAATCTCCTCTGAGCGGAAGCATTTCTATCGCAAGCCGTAGACACCTCACGCCCAGATCTACTCCGCAGGGAACAAGAAGGATTCTAGTAGTAAATATTCTAGCCACCTCGTTTAGTGCTTGCCATATGAAAGTATCGTGGAATGTGCCTTTCTAATGTCTTTGCAGATACTTCTTTCCTCTATTTTACAAGGCTTGGTACGGGGGGACATTATGGGCCATATACTGATACGGTATGGTACTATACCCTGTCTCGGAGATACTTTGATCCGCCAAATCCAAAATCGGCGATCAGTTCTCGACTCGGAAATATGAAATCTCCGATCCTTGTGCTGTTCAGATCACTGATTTGGATGCAGTAAAATACTCGCTTGCCAGACAACTGAATTATTTCGAGCAACATCGTCTCTTGATGTCTGGGTGACATGTCTAACTTTCTTTCCCGCCTTACGTGACTCAACCAATAAACATGTTCGAAGATAAAACGGATGTACCCGCTCGGGCTAACCCCCTTGAAACAAGCCCCAGCGTCAACAAAAAGTTGAGGGCTTGACCCCCAATCAACCTGGATAGAATTGGACTGCCTCGTGAGGGATTTTCACGGGGCCACGTCATCTGCCAAATAGAAAAGTGATATGTCACAGTACTTCTGCGAACCTGTACATTGATACGAGTTATGACCACGTAGTAACGGTACACGTCTCCTAACATCAGAACCGTGCCAATAGGAGCTTCCCCTCCGCCCCGGGGCCGCCTTCTCTCTTTTGCCTTTCACTCGCCCTTGCACGTTGACTCCGGCATTGATTTTTTTGGACATTGTTGAAAAAAGACAATTGAAGCAAACAACAGCGAAAATGGAGATGATCCGAGAGAAACTCCAACTTTTACCAGAGACTGGAAACTGCACTTTGTCTCTCACTATTTCATGGGACCCGTGTGGTTTCACAGCGAAGCAAGAGTACGAATGCTCGGCAGAACAAGCGATTGAGGGAGCTATAACTACAACGGGAACTGTACATCATGCGCAGGCGCTGACCGTCCGCCAATATCTGGAGCAGACATGGAATGCTTCTTCGATACCATGGAAATGATTAAGACCATGATCCGCACCCCTAATGCCCGGCATCAGAGTATGATACCTCTCCATTGTTGCTTATTCCGCTTCCTTAAGACTGACTTATCATCTTCATGATCCCAGGGAGCTGTTCCGGCAACCCCGACAGCCAACTCCATGGAGAATTGAAGAGCGGGCAATGCCTGCTGCAGATAGTGGGACACAAAGAGTTTATTATACATACCGCCCAGCAATTTGCTTGGCTTGGTGCCGGGCTTCGGTCTTCCACTGGGGACCAGGCGCTCTCGACTTGTGAGACTATTTTCAAAAATGTTTCCAGCTGCGAACCGGGGAAGTTTTTGTCTAGTATTACTTATAAACTGACAGAAGTGAAGCCGAGCGACCGGCCGCCGTGGTTTGATATGTTTCGATCTGCAGTGGTGGTGGGTGATTTTCCCGTCTGTCAGCGCCAGGTGTCCGGCCTTGAACTTCCGTTGAATGTCGCAGCGACATTGGTTGGTACAAGATCTGTACAACCATTCCGGGGAAAGCTATTTGCCAAAGGATTCTCTGCAGGTTTGATGGCTGAGGAGGCTGTCGACGAAGGTTCCAAAATTATTGTGTGGCAATATTGTTTTAGAGAGGATGGAGAGCGTCTCTCGTACGATGACTTTCAGTATAAGTCTGGATTGGGGGGAAATCCGAACGAGATACCAGACGTTCACGACGTGGAATCTTATCGACATATCATCCGTTCCAGTTGTGCCGTCTAGAACCCTACCGAATGAAGTGGACGTCTATGGGATTGAACTATCTGAATTCAACATTTCTGTTTCCAGCCTCTACACTGTTCATAAATCTCCAAGAGTGTCCACATTATGGCTGCGCCTCGATAATTTCTCAGTTCGTGATTCACACTGCAGACAAGTCCAGAGCGCTCAAAACCGCCTCGTCCATGGCATGGATATTCCCTGGAGAGAATGACCTAATTCCCTTTCTCAGCGTTGCCGTGATATTATGATCCTGTCTCTTATTGTTATTCATACCGAATGCTATGTCAAGGCCGGTTCGCTATTTTGTCCTACTGCTTTTGTAAACCCTACCTAGGCTGCGGCAAAACCATAGGTAACCGCGGATAACCAAAACCGCACTGCGGGCGGCTGTGGTTTTCACTTTAAAAAACCGCGGTTTTTGCGGTTATCTATGGATATTTAAACATTGTGGTTTTTCTGACTGTATAGATTGTGAACCTTTCGTAGTATTTTGGCGTATCCAGTATGTAAAGGATTATCTGTTTCTCTTCATATGAAATCTCTAGAATAAATATTTAGACCAAATTTCGATTTCTTTTTTAAGTTTCTAATATCACAGCTTATCAATCTCAAATCCCTCCGGTAACTTAGGTTTCTTCCGAACCCTTCCTGGCCTAGCCTGCGTCTTCTCCTCAATTGGCATCACCGGAAGTGGGAGACCATTATCAGCATCATCTAGAGCCTCAGAGGTCTTACTTCGACGCCGCTTCCGCTGTATCTGCCTAGTTTGAGCTACGGACTGCGTGGCAGATAACTCTTCTTCGGCCTTATTATCAGATTCATCTGTGTCATCCTCAAATGTACTTTCTGCTTCGCAACCCTCGTCTTCGTTGTCACTGATCGGTTCGACTTCATTGAGCGGCGGAACAGACTTCCTTGTCAGATCAAGCATTGCAACCTCTCCGACCGACAAATAACCTTTGATCATCTCTAGTTCGGTTTGTTCAAGATCAAACTTGGACGAGAAGAGATGAAGCATTAGGCCTTTTATTGTGTCTGGCTTCAACTGTCCCCGACGATAGTGACAGACATCCCGAGCACAATTAAAGAGTCGCTCGACACCAGCACCGCTCGCAGGAACTGAGAGGATATCTCGTGCAATCTTTGCAAGGATCGGATACTCGCGCTCATGTTCCTTCCAGAAGAGCCGAGGGTTACCCTTTGTGAGCCCTGTAGCATCAATTAGCTTTCGCACGGTATAAGTAATGGGAGAATATTTGCCTTTGGCCAAATAACGTGTCAACTCATCTTCCCGCTGATCCACTTCAGCTCGGAGCACAGTATCTGGTTCACATAATAGCTCAAGCTCATTTTGAGCGGCATCCACGGTTTCTTGGCTATCAGCCGGTACTGTTTGCTGGCTAAATTGCTGCTGATATCGCTTGAACTCCTTCTGTAGAACCTCCCGGTAATGCTTCGTAAAATCGACTTCCTCCCCTTTCCCATTGTTCCCCCTCCAATCCGCGTTATCAAAGTATCGAAGCTTTTTTGACGGACAGAGAATAGTTGCAATCGCATAGACTATGCCATATGGCTCATTTTCCGTTGCAGTGTAGTATTTTAAGAGCTTTCTCTTGGCCGATCGAAGCGACTGAAGCATTCTCCTTTTCCATGGGGCAGCTTTACGTTTCAGTTTCTTCTTAGCGTCATCAAGATGGGTAAACAGCCGATTGTAGATACTGAAGACATGGTGAACAGTAACGTCTCTGGTCTTTGATAATACACTAGTAAAATCATAGAAAGGCTTAGTGACCAGAAGCAAATATTCGACTTGGCGCTATTCCTCTTGATCAAGCTTGAACTGAACGTGTTGATATGCTATACAGTACCGATAGGAGACGGATTGTAATTCCCTGGCACGATTGAGCATGAGGAAGGTGGAGTTCCAGCGTGTGCGACCATCTTGGATCGGAACAAGCTTAGGCTCAGTAGTCTGAAGAGTAAGAAAAGCTTCTCTGCGCTGCGGACTAGCATTGATAAAGATAGCGAGCTCTCGAATCTAACGATAATCTGTTAGTATCATTATAAAGAGAGTGCGGCGATATATTCACCTTCTTTAAGGTTATCACAATATCTCTTGTTGGCCGCCGGGAGTTAGTCTGTAGTGACTGCATACGTGCATCAGGCCACTCAGACTCCGCCTCCTTATTGGTTGGATTCGCTTTTATCTTTCCAAGTAGATCTTTTAGGCTCAGCTGGATAACATGCGCAATACATGGAATCCGGAAGACAGACGTCTCACTGAGAACATGCGATTGAACCATCTCTTGGACACCTAACATCATGGTGTTGTTATTCGATGTATTATCCGTGGTAAGTGATAATACCCGATCATTGATATTATGCTCCTGGAGTATTTGAATCACCTTCTGACTTAGATGAGCACCGGTATGCGATCCTTGGAGATGCTCAAACCCAAGAAGAACCTCGTAGTAATTCCATTCTTGATCAAGAAAATATCTAGTTATTGCCATGAATGCCTGGGAAAAGGGAGATGTCTAGCAGTCAAGTGCAATTGAGAGATGGCTTCCTTTTGGAAGTTTACTAATCACCTTTTTTTGCTGTTCCCGGACAGTGTCGTCTAAAAGCCGTCTGATGGTCCGCGTAGAAGGAATATCAAGCCGGGATTCAGAGAGCTGGGCAGCTTCAAGGAGGTCTTTGAACTCAGGGTATTCAATAATCCGAAATGGGAGACGGGCGGTGGTAATAAAATTGAGAATTTTTCGCTGGAGAAAATCATTGGTGAAGACTTTTGTTGGTACCCGCGGCTAGATCATAATAATATTAGCGATTTCTCTCTATCTCTTCATGAAGCTATGAAACACCTACTAAATTACGGAATAATTGGTCGATTCCTCGCTTCCTTTCCTCTAAGCGACAGGTACCCCCTTTCGGATGTGCTTTAAGCGCAGAGGTCCCTGTACGCTTATGACCTGGATGAGTAAGGGTTGTATAACACCGCTTATATATAACCCTAGCCCAGTCGTCCATCCAAGACCCCTTATGGGGTGTGCCCATGAACATGATTGCCTTCGTGCAATTGGAAACACTCTGAAGATGGGATTCAGGATTTTTTCGAGAAACCAGGATCGCCTTTTTGCAAACAAGACCTCCAAAGCTATGGGCGATGAAAATCAGAGGCCTCGAAGAAGCATTGCAAGACGATATATCAGCTGTCAAGTCGTGTAGAAGATTGGTAGCGTGGTCAAGGACTCGATCAGATGACACGACGGTTTTCCGTACAGAGTAGGCATCGTATCCATAGGTCAAGATTCGAGCCCCGCTGATGCTCGAAGGAAGCAACTTTTGTGGCCAGGGTTCTGACTGTTAATCAGATGTCCAGGTGGTTCGGCGATCTCCGGTCAGACCATGAATAAAGCAAATATCAAACACTGCGTCAAGGCATTCATGCAAGACCTCAAGCCCATCCGGAAAGATCGAGGGCGTTGATTCATTTTGTGTATTGCTTGAGCTGGCCTCCTGATAATATAGTGATATAGTGGAGGTTAGACCTTGCCAACTCCATCATTTGGTCCCATGGGACCATATGGGAGTCCCATCTACTCCCATGGGAGTGCCAAGAGATGGGAGGGAGGTGCCAGTCCGCTCCCATGGGACTTTGATGGGACTCCCATGGGACTGTACATAAACACTGCAAACACGTAGAAAAACGTGGCCTGCATAAGATATGCAGAAATGCCCTGTATTAATGGGTATTTAGCTTACAGTGGGAGGTAGCATTGAATGATTCTGGATTAATTCCTGTCAAAAAGTAGTGTTATTATATTATACTGTGATTAAACTACCTAGTATACTCGTATAGATCTTCATCCCTACGCCGCTTACGATCTCTTTGGGGGCGTGCCTGACTTGTAGTATCGATAATAGGCAATGGATGTAGTGCCGAATCATCATCTGAGTCCTCAGCGGCCTCCTGATCGGTAACAATCTCTCCTGCTTCATCTGAGATATCACCGTCCTCACCCTCGCTAATTGCCTCTGGTGTACACTCAGGAAGTCCCGCCTCCCTTGCCTCATCACCCTCAGTCCTTTCGTCCTGATTCAAGGTAGCCTCAGGTTGGAAATCCTCCCCAGTTTCCTCACTTTCAATATCAAATTTGGATAAACAACGAAGCATCATCAAATCCTGTATTGTTATTTCGTTCAATGAGCCTCGTCGATAATGGCAGATATCGCGAGCAGTACTAAAGAGGCGCTCAACACCGGCGCCAGTAGCTGGGATAGAAAAGACATCCCGTGCAACCGCTGCGAGTGTCGGAAATCTATACTCATTCTCTTTCCAGAAATGGCATGGGTTTACGACTCTCCGTTCTATATATAATTAGCTTAGTTAAGTTATAATGATGATCATCTGAACATACCAGTATTAAGATATCCCTTAAGTTCTTATTTCCGGCCTCAGAGCCTTAAGCATGGCCTTTTTCCAAGGCACTTTCTTTCGCCGAAGTCGGGCCTGGGCCAGCTCAAAATGAGTAAACAGTCGGTTGTAGACCCGGAACACATCATGGATCGTTGTCGCCTTGATCTTTGATAGGCCAACCGTCCATTTGTAGAAAGGCTTTGTGATATGGAGCAAGTATTCGATCTGCCGCCATTCGCTTTTACCAAGCCGGAATTCTGGGTGCTGATGCTCTGCGCAATATCTTTGGTAGCTATCTGAAAGGCGATTGGCGCGCTGGAGCATAAGATATGTTGAATTCCACCGAGTGCGTACATCCTGGATCGGGGCAAGCCTCGGTTCTTCGCTTTGAAGATTCAGAAATGCCTCCCGTCGCTGTGGGCTGGCATCAATGAAAACTGCGAAGGCCCGCACCTAGTAGTGTAGCAGTTAGTATTAGATAAAATTGTTAAAGGCATCAGTTACTTTACCTTAGCTAGCGTATAAATGATTCCCTTCTGTCTCTTTGCCTGCTGAAGAACACTCCCATTTTCTTCCGACCATGTTGTTGCCGTCTTATCGTTTTTTGGATCAGCCTCCATTAGGCCAAGGAGATATTTCAGACTCAATTGAATCACATGAGCAAGACACGGAATCCGTACAATTTCAGTGAAATTAGGAAGCTCCAACCGTTCGATTGAATCACATAGACTATCGACCAAGGTCTTATTATTTGACGCATTGTCTGTAGTAATCGCAATCACTCGATTAGGAATCTGCTGTTGCTGAAAAACCTCAAGGAGAACGTCTGCGAGATGGGAGCCTGTATGCTGGCCGTGAACTGGTATGAAACCTAGGAGTATCTCATGATAATCCCAATTTATATCCACAAAATAGCCTGTGATTGCCATGAATGCCTGTTAGAAGGGTGAGGTCCAACAATCAAGGGCAATTGATAGCTTCGCTCCGGCTGGGAGAAGAGAAAGGAGCTTTTGCTGCTCTGTATGGACGCTTGAGTGGAGCCGACGCCGCGCGGTCTTTGGTGATAGAAGGGTGAGCTTTTGTTGAGAAAGTTGAGCCTCTATAATTAGATCTTCAAAGTCTTTATGCCGGAGGATCTGAAATGGAAGGCGTGAGTTCGCTATAGATTTGACTTGGGCTCTTTCAAATCGCTGCTGGTCAAAGACCTTTCGGGTAGGCGTACGAGTAGACTAAATGTAATATAGATATTAGTAAAAACAAATGGCAAGATTGTGGGTTGCTCAGATCCCGAACTCTATGCTCGCACATCATGAATCCGGAGTCTTCAATTCGATCAAGATTATTGATACAAGAGATGCTATCCAAGCACGGGAGGAGGAAAATGAAGATGTTTGGCAGAATTTGCGGCCCTTTTGAGGAGACTGATAGCATATTCAAGGAGCGTGGGGAAGTTTGAAATTGTTCGGGAAATTGGTGGCGACGAGCTTGAGTTGCGAAAGCAGGGAGGTAGTATCACTGGTGTATTACCGGCTGGTTTAATAGAGAAATGAGGTGGCAGCTAGACCACTTGAGGATGTGATTTCAATGAGAGATCTAGTACAGCAATATGCGTGCTCCCTTACTTCGTTAAACAAGGCATCCAATAATGATAGTAACAAATCAAGAGAAAGCCCAGTCGCTCATGATCAGATCCTAAAGCCTATTTCTCTAAGTACCCGTACCAAGCGCCCAACCACCCAGCACCACAGGAGTCTCCCCGCCCCCACTTATGTGCAAAAGCAAAAGTAATAATACATGATCATTGTGGCTTGGAATCGTGTTCGGTGGGGAAGTGATTCCTAATGTGTTGCATGAGGTGGTCTTTGCACATGAATACGTCATGGTCGCAGCCAACCCACTTGCATTTAGAACTAGAGCAATATCAGAAAATAAGACAAGATCGAAAGAATTAGCAGCAGAAATTTATCTGACAACACGTACTCGGGCTGACAGGTGCAAGAATGAGGATGCGGGGGATCTTCTTCATTCGAGCTCTCGTCTTCTTCATTCGAGCTCTCGTCTTCTTCATTCGAGCTCTCGGCTTCTTCATTCGGGCTCTCGCTCACATCAATGTTCAGTTCACTGTTTGGGTGGCTGTAGTAGGGCGGTTCGGTGTTCATTTCGTTTCAACAAGATATGTAGATGGTTGAAGAAATACAAGAGAGCAAACGGGGTCTGTGAAGATGAAAAACGGAATATTTGATAGGGAAAATAGTTTGAGGCTTTAGGTATGGGTTTTATACCTGTTGAAAATATAATTACACCTGATACGTGTTTTAGTATGTAACGTACTGAGCCCGGGTGGCACTTTGAACCCGGGTGGCATTTGAACCCGGGTGGCACTTGAGCCTGGGTGATTTCCTGAGCTGCTGTTGGAGCGATGGCACCCTGCTCCCAATTGTCATTGTTGCCTCGTCTGGAAGCACTGCCATATTCGAGTCACTCGACACTTTCTCCGCTAGCTGTGCTGCCCCCGACGCTATACCTGGATCCGTCATTTTTTGTACATACTCTTTCTACGTGGTAATACGTATCGCGGAACGCATTAGATTCCCTCACCATCCCCTTATGCGCGTCGCGGAACTAATTAGTTTTCCACCTTCCGCCCTCTTATTAGCTCAACGCGCGTAAAGACCCACTGTTCTAGTGCGCGTCGCGTACCCCATTAGTCGTTCTCCTGATCGGCCCACGCGCCTTCCCCACAGATTATTTGACATCGATAATCTCCTATACGCCGTGTGCCTTTGCCCCTGGCCGTGTCTAGTGGAGATGCATTGCACTTCAGTCCCCAATTCTAATCGTTGGCGATGGCAAGTCCTAAGTCTATCGACGACGTGTTTGAAGCGTGTGGCCTCATCTGGGAGCAGTCACAGAATCTCATCCTTTGCCAGCGATGCCGCTGTGCAATACGTCCACGAGGTTCGCAGGTAACCTAGCACCTTCACAGTAAGCACCGCGTGCCGTTGCCTCTCCGCAAAGGCCTCACCACCCGTCTGCGAGACCACCAAGTTCGTTTCTAGGAACCGGCAGGTGCTTCTCCTAGACCGGACGGCTCCCCGGCCGATACTCGTTTGCAGCTCCTCGCTGGGTATGCATGCCATCGGTGCCCTTACCGCACGGTTAGCTGGGACCTCATCCGCCGCCACTTGTCCCAGGAGCATCTCCAGCAGCAGCGCGCCTCCTCCCGTCAGGCCAATGGCCTCTATGACGATGTCTACCTACAGACCTGGTCGAAGAGCTCGTCCCGACAGTATTGGACGGTGATTCACCAGGGTCAGTCCGTCCGACCTATGGCTCAGAGCCCGGCCGTAGATGCCCACATAGCATCCGTCCACCAGCGGGAGCGGGCGCGGCTCCAGGCCGAGGAGGCCACAGCCGATTCTACCACGACGCGCCTTCAGAGCGTGGAGGCCACCCGGCCGTGGATGGAACGCACCCGCTGGCCCCAGATACCTTCATCTCAAACGAACATGAATTCATCAAATGAAAATATTGCCGTAGAAAAATATTTCGTGGATTATCCTCCGCTTCTCCATTTAAATAACACCTATCCCATGGGGGAGGGGGAGTCACCGTGACTCGGATTAGGGCTTTTCATTTTTATATGGGAGAAGAAAAGTGGGTCCACGGCCACTCGCTTTAATTTTCAGACCACCACTCGTTTTTGTAGTTGGCGTCGGATCATGCTCAGACTATCAGGGGTTATATTCCTCGTAGTGAATTTTGTATAGTTCCAATTAATAGTTAATTCGACCAGTATTAGTGGAGGTTTATGCGATTAGAAATCCGGAGTTTTTTTTGGTGAGGGCGCAGATGTGGATATGCGACCACAGTCAAACCACCCATAACATCAACATTGGGGTTAACAAGTTGATCAGTCCAAAGTTCAATTAGATGAATACGGGGTTAACAAGAAATTCAGGGGTATTTAGAAGTCCCAGTTATCGTCCAGTTGAATTTTGGAACAACTTGACCACTTCATCCACCCCAGTTTGTTATACAATTTGGGTATTTGTTGCATACATATGTATATATATATCCACACACAACATGGAAAACCAAATTTTTTCCAAACTCGGTGGGCAGCTATCGACCTCCTACCCCATCCCCCAAAACTTTAGAGATGGACACCTCGGTAATTTCTCTATTTAACTAAAGAAGCTTCCTATTGGGTTAGCTGACCGGGTTCAGGAAATTCTTCGCACCATTGCGCACCTCAACACACGTTGTGTTCGGGCGGAAAAGATCATCGCAAAATATGAGCATGAGCTTGCTTTAGAACGGCAGTCACACCGTGAGACCAACAAAGAATTGCACGAGACTTCGAAAGTGGCCGAACTTGTATATACCGTCAATCGAAGCTTTGGAGCTGCGGTGGACTACATCCTGAAAGGGCAAGGGATGTCGTCGGACGAATGGGAACCAAAATCTGTCGAAGCATTGATCAATTCGCTGGTGAAGCAAGCTAAAGCAGGAGAGCGGCCAACGTCAGAGGGAGAGGACGAACCGTTTGCTGGAAGCGTTGATTCTCGTCCAGTAGAGTTGAGCAGTGCAAACTTGCGTCAATGAAGGTTCGCAGTTTCTGATCGTATAGATGTGGAGGAAAGTTGATGGTACACTATGTAACGGCAGGAATGAAGTTGAATTTGCATTTCTTGACTGGCTATGTAAGGTCCTTGAGCCTATCCAAATAAACCGAAATCTGTCTGAGCGTAAAGAGGTGAATATGCACGATTTTAGACATCTGACCAATTGATCATTGCCAATTGGTTTGCGACGCCATTACTTGAAGATTAATAAAAGCTTGTCGTCCTCCATTGCAGCGACCACAAGCCTGATTCTCTGTCAAAACCCAAGCCATCGTCAAGGAAATCCGATATGACAAGCTCCAGAAGTATCCGTCGAGTCCAGAATTACACACAGAAGCTGCACCTGGCTTTGACGAAAGCCCAGTCTCGCTCGTCCGAACGTGGAGACAACATTACCTCCCACATCGCCTTACTTCTTTCCGCCATGGAAGAAGAGAATCTTCATACGGACCACACCAGGAGATCGCGAGCGCTCTCACCTGAACGGGTCTCCTCTCAAGAGCTGTACTTTCCGCAACACAATAACTTCCATGTTAGTTTTCCCTACCAATTCTTTCTACGCCACGGCCTAACAATCTATCAAAGGAAAGCAATCAAAAGCCGCAACGAGCCGAGGGGAAGATTTCCAAGCTACTTGAAAATGCAAAAAGCACCGTTTTCAATCTGTGTTGCTTTCATGAATAAGAAGATTTGTTGACAGCGGTAGCTTGCTTTGGGGGGGGGCGGGTGTAGTACGGCGAACTGGTAGAGTGTATCATAACCCTCAGATATTGATCAGAAATCTTCAGCCCCGTGCCGAGAGATTGTTAAAAACCATCCATTGAGTATAGTCTATGTGACCTTGAGTTTTAACCGCTATTGTCCGCATACCGGGATATGAGGGCTCTCATCATTCAGTTTTATTCCTCCTCTCGCCCGTTCCAGCTCGCACTCGAGATGTTCAATTGAGGATTTGCATATCTGCAGCTCTTGTTGGAGACTGCAGGTTTTTTCCCGCCACTCTATGTCTTTGCACAGCAGCTCTGCCAAGCGAGCTTCAGTAGTTTCAAGATCTACTGCGAGGACGTGTTTTTCATGTTCCAGCTGCCGGATTCTCTCCGTGAAGGATGCAGAAGAATGAAACTATTATCGTAGAGAAATATGTCATGGATTATCATCTGCCTCTCCAATTGGATACTATCTACTTTCATATCAATAATACAGAATACACACCGAGGGACTAGAAGTATTTCTCGCTCCAGCGTCACAGGGGCCGGGAATGTCAAATTTCTTAATTACTTATAATCTCAGGTCGATATTACCGGACTACGTCACTAAGGTACTTCTTAAAACGCAAGTATAACGAAAATGAGCAACGCATGAGAGACAGAATTCAGATCCTGTTACGTCGAATGAACCTATTCTGCCATTAAAATCGTAGGTGCGCTGCCGCATGTCATCATAGCTTTCAGAAAGAAATTTCATATTCTTGATAACTTACGCGACAGCGACAACGGAAACGTCTTGGTTTGCTACTCCGTCATGTCCGAGCTGAAAAAATCTCCACAATCCCCAGTGTTCTCACGACCAACATACTGATATTTTCCAACAAGCCCTTCCTCAATCCTACTAATCCCGACGATCGGAAGCCGGGTTTTACCTAGCGGAGGTATACTCGCTCCAAGGACGCTCTCACGTGGAGGATCATCGACATACGCGTGCCAGAATATACCATCTGCACCGGGGGCAAAAGATGATGCTACTGTGTCCAGAGCGGGTGAGTCCGCAAATAGTTGCGCAGTCATTAGCCTCCCAATGCCTCTGACGGGACACGTCGATTGCGTTTGCCCACATTGCCAACACAAAACTACCGTGGTAAACATCACGCGCTTCAGCGAATGACTTTCGTCGACGACGCGCTTCCAGCTGCCTTCGCCAATGGTGACAACAACCCTTTCACACGATGCACAAATAAGGACAGTTGCGATTTGCATCATGTTTGCTGAACAGGTGTCTATAACGAGGGAGAAATGGGATGCCTCTTTTTCGTCTGCTTCTTGCCGCATTTAGTTTCGTCACCTAAAGTATCATATTGAATCGTGACACTCACAGCTTCTCTTGTGAGATACAGAAACAGGCTATAAGGTGAAACAGTGGAGAGACCATGGAAGAATGTAACCTAGATATAGTGTCAGCACAGACAGGTCCGTGAGCAGGGTGTTGAAGGTGACAAGTGTAATAGATTCTAACTTTGTACGGGATTAGAAGTTCTTGAAAAAGAGTTTCCTGGTGACCAAGTTTTCGAAAGAGATGATCGCGGACTGTAGGGCAAAAAAAGAAAGAGTAAGAGAGAAAGAAAAGGAGCGAGGATACGGTCATGCTGATAAGGTAGGATTTTCGGTCTTTTTTTTCCGAATTGTTCCAGCTGCTGCAGAAGCAAGCACTTTCGCAAGAAATACAAAAAAATCAGTCTGTAGATATCCCGTGCGTCGGTCATAATTATCTTTTCGAAATGCGAAGCAGATGCTTCTCGGTGGGCGTGCCGTCCTGTTCTTAAAGCCTGCATCAGCAACGAGTAACTGGAAAGTATGGCAACACTTACTTGACCTGGTCTCACAGTAAAACCTAGATGGGGATGAAGCTCAGAAGGTATTGTGTATGAGATTACATATAACGATAGTTCCTTGTTGCTGTCATTCCAGGTGAGATGGCCGGAATGTAAATTTCACCAAGACTGCAATTTTGTTAGAGTGATTGTTCAGTGACTGGTTCGCCCCGATCTCTCCCGTCCACTGCTGGAATGTGGTTCTCTGCTCGCTGATTAGTGGAAAGTTGTGTCGCTATGACCCCGGCAACAGCGATCTACCTGAGGCAGCAGTGGAAGTTGGCTAGTCTCGCCAAAATTCCAAACCGTAGCTTCCAACAAGTCTTTCGTGTGAAAAACAATATTGTAACCTTCCTCAAAGATGCGTACTTCCTGTGTGAGGTATTGAGCGCCTAAGCGTAATTCATAAATTAACTCGCCTGCTTTTGTCCGTATACCGAATCGACATGGCCTGCTTCGGTTGTCCAAGTCTCGGTCCACGATGACAATATATGTATCCAGAAATATCAAAGCACTGCAGAAGAATTCGTCGCATTCAAATCGGGCTTCAATCTTTCCATTCTTCGTAATTTTGATATGGGACAACAATCCAACCAGAGAAATCCTCTCTTTAGTGAGAATGACGAGAGTACCATCAGAAAACTCCCCGACAACGTTCCCCCCTTCAAAGTGTGAGCGATAGAGTTGTTTGCCAGTATACGTCATTGCGAGGGTACCATATAGTGTTGAATGAGATAAGATACCATTCAGGCCGATTTCGTGAGTCAGGGTGAAGCTGCGTAGAGAGCTGATGGATTCACTACTTCGACAAATTTCGGGGAAGCGGTAGGATCGGAGCTCCATGTATGGGGGCTTTGTGGTGGGTTAATAGGTCTGGGTTAAGGATTTCGACCCAGAACTGGGTCTGGGGCCCCAGTGAATAGTTATCCCGGTCACTGAGATAGTCACCAGGGCGCACGTGCATACATACATATTTACCTGGCTACCAGCCTCTAACACACAACACAACAACACACAATCAACTCTCATCAATAATATGTTTTAACATACATTTTACGTTCGATGGTTCCAGCGAGAGCCTGAGATTGATGAAAAATGAAACTTGCAATCATGATATACGGGAGCAATTTCGGTCTATCCGTAATGTATTGTCCACTACGGTTGAGCTACGAGTATCCTTGGAGACAATGCATTATCTGGATAAAAAGCACCAGATTCGTTCGACAAGTGGCCTTTCCACTTACTCGACGGTACCGTTGCAGATCTTGTCAAAGTGCTGCGCTTTTCCGACGATGGTGCATACGGAAATCCTGTCGCGGTCGTCGACAATGAATACCAAAAATCATCTGAACTGCAAGCATACTTTTCCAAATTGCGATCATCTTTTCCGCTCCTGCAGATAGTTACCGGAAAATTTCACATTTGCGCCATTATTGGTGGCAAGAATGTTCATTGTGACTACTTGGGGTATGCTCTTTACCACGAGGCATCTATGGTCTATTTTAGGGAAGAAGACTGTTGGAAGTTCAGAAACGTTTGCCTGCCAATGCCAGGTTCTTCAGATTGCCTGTTTAAGGGCGAGGATTCACTACCCGATTGGCTGAATATAAAGGTTGGCCTGTTTTTGTTCTAGATTATTTTGGGATTCAGATATGGTTTTATCCGATTCGCCATCCACACGCACTCGAATTCTGATCTTCTTCATTTCCCGTGCTATTTTGAAACGCTCGACCTGTGATTTGCGCATGCGTAGTCAATTGCATTACCAGTTGTGAATACGGTTGTACATCCGGGACGGAGTCATTCCCATTCGTACTTTAAACCCAGTCTTTCCTCAAAATGAGATTTCGGTAGACTATTGTATCAATAGCTTCCTCCCCCCGCAGCCGTTTCTCGCCCTCAACGCTGGAAGTGAAGATACTTCGAAAAACACGCTAGAAAAGGCACATATATAGCGTTGAATCATTGCGATAATAAATCAATAATAATATTATTATCTTCATATCAAAGAATTTCCATTTCCACCCAAATGACATGGGTCTTGATGTGCATTTCATAGTGGAAAAGTTCCCCACGTAATCTTGCTCGGAAAATCACTGGCTAGACTCTTTGTTTAGGGCAACTAGGGTGCTGCTAGGTCGTTATACTCTGTCATGGAATTGCGGAACTATTAATCTTAAAATATACGTTTCTCCGGAGCACCACATGTGCCCCGGTCTAAGCGGACCGGTAAAATCGATCTCGAAATATGGTTGTGCTATATTTTCGCTAAAGCTAAACAGTGCGTGACAGAAGTGTCCGTCTGCACTCTCCCCCTCTTAGCACCAACGACGTTAACACACCATCAAAAAAATTTATCGAATCCATGACCGAGGTTTCCTCGCAGGGCTGCCGATTGCGCCGAATGGAGGTTTCGAGCCCTAGAAAAATATCGTCTATAAATCCAAGTCTAGGAAATATAGGGGACAGGTAGAATAGCGTGATACCAGCTACTGAACACACTAATCTGTCTAATTATATATATATCTGTCTAACGTATTCTGTAAGCGAGCTGGACATGTAAGCCAGCTGGACACTCTAAAACACCATACTAAATGCGATAGGTTGTAACTTGATATCTTACAACCACATTTTTATATTATTTCTTTGCTTGTCGATAGCGATTGATAAGGCTTTTCAGCATTATATAGTAATTTCAAGGAAATATAAGGGCTGCTGCATCACGGTATCGGAAATTACGTGGCTGAGAGCGTGAATATATATATTAATTATTGAATTAGGAAAATTATCTAAGATATTGATAGTGTAGATCACAACTCACAAGTCGAGCACATCGCACTCACCAGGTATGTAAAACTTGAGTAATGTGTGGTATTATCACTTGGTGATAGGTCATTCCAACCCTAGTTACCTCATGCTCGACCCTGGAGCGAGGCTTTCCAAGCATTAAATAGATACATTTTTGGTTTAGTCACCGCACGAAGGGAGCTCAGGATCGGTTACAAGGCATTGCACAGGATGAAATTGTCACTGGGTTCGGGAGCATGAACGGGATATATATTCTGCTCATAGCCGGTCCCGCAATGTATGAAATACGCTTCATGCTTTTTGTTGAGAATCCAGGTTAATTGTCAGTAATTAACATGGAGCTTTCAACGCTAACCCTAATTCGGCATGCTCTCTACATTACGAATCACTATGCAACCCCCATGCCAAGAGCTTCGAGGTCCTACGGAATCGAGATTAGCGCGTTGATGCAGCTTGCCGTCTACACCACTAATTACTGTATACAACCGCCAGTTTGTTGTATCACAGGGTGTCATTTCAATTCGGGCTACATTCAGTGCTATCACCGCTCTTCTTTCTGTTTCCTTTACAAATTGATAGATTCCAGGGGGAGAAGAAGAAGCCTATAAATATGGGCTTCTTTCTATGTATGAAGAGATTAGACAGTTTTACAATTCCATTTCTGGCACTATATTCATAGTTCCATTTATCTTTGCGAAAGATACTCCTTCTACATGCTGTATAGTCCCTCAGTGTACTATTTCAACACTTTTGGCTCTCACGACCGTATTGATTAGACCTCTCTCCTCACTATTATGTACGGAGGCATCCGTGAAATCAGAATTCTATTAAACGGTATTTTTTCGGTTGAGTTGAACTGGAATGTTCCCCGTGAGAATTGTGGACGGATTGCTCCGTGTAGACAATCTTATTCGCACACGACATAACTGTTGCAAATCGATTCCGGCTCAGCTGTCTACAAGTTGCCGTCTTGAAGGGTGCTGACTCAGTCATAGGCATGGCACAAAGAAGCGAATGTCCCGAGCGATCCGTCAGTATCCTAGAGACAGTCCAAGACATATAGTCAAAGACTGATGCCGATGCCGTATCTGTGAAATACTGAGAATACCCCTTTCGCTCTTGCAGCGTAGATCGGCGGTCAGTTGTTAAAGGCATAGTCTGTGAGAAGCATCTCCATTCAGTTCGAGGGTCGAGTCCTATGTTCTTGCTTGGCAAGTATACTATGTCGAAGAGTGTGAATTTGCCCTGCTCTGGACTTGCGCGAATGGACAGCTCGGCAAACTCCGGCCGGTCTTGTCCGCAGTCGACCTCATTCAGGTGCAGAGTCTCTGAGCGCACGTGGTTATCATCAATGAAAATGCGAACCCCATGATAAAAAATCGTATTACGCTCGCGTGCGTCAAAGATCCGACGGATGTAGTAGAAATTTTGACCATGGACAAAACAGCATGATGTGCGGCCCATGTCACCGATAGTGAAGGTCCCGAGAGACTGGGAAAAGTGTGGGATTGCGGGATCGCTCAAAGAAAAGACCCGAACAGATGCCTCCTGAGCCCCAGGAAGCAAACAGAAAAGATAGTCATTTGTGTTACGAACGACAGGTGATCCATGAAGAGCGGACATTCTGGCCGGCCACCAGGAGTTTCCCAAGCTGCTGAACTGTCCACAAAGTGTATTCCCTGCTACGCTCGTCAACCTGGAGAACCGTGAGGATAGAATCACTGTAATGCAGCAATTCAAGACATAAGTTTGTAAGATCCAGGCCTCCTGGAGGTTTGAACATGCGACACTCTTCGTCATGGGTCGAAAGAACATGTATGGTTGCATCCTTGACAAAACATAAGTGGCCTTGTGAATGTGAATAGAGGAAGCTGGGATTGCCGTGACCAAAGACCTGACTTCTAAATTGAACAATTTTGATTCTCTCTGAGATCCTCAATTGCCGTTTGAATACCTCCGCGGGCTCATGGTTCTTCCTTTCATCCTGGAGCAAATAGGAGAATCGACTCTGTGGTCAGTTAGTCCAGGGTAGCATCTCGTTTCTGGGGCTAAAAAGTTACATAGCAGTAGAATCCCAAACCGCGCATTAACCGGCAAGTGTCAAAAAGTGCAATTAATTCATGCCATTGGTCAGCTGCGACAAGTTTCATGCAGACCAAGTACCACAGATCCTGTGGGAGGGAAGACATGGTCAGGCTCGTTACTACCCCTACCCTCTACAGTAGAAGAACGCCGGTAGGTTGTGAACAGCGTAAGGTTGACAAAATACTGTGCAAAAAGGGGGTACAGTACGCGTCGGATATGTTTGTACAGGACCAAAGCTATTTTCCTATTTATTGATAGTCTCGCCCAAGGACTTTGTAGAGACTGTAGGTCTTCATAGTTCAGATTTTCAGGCTATGGAGCTACTATTTAGACCTATAAAAGCTGGGGATCAGAAGGACATCCCCGATGTTCTAAGTTTGTAACAGATGTTGCATTTTTGGACGTAAATCGAGTGTTCTTTCCAGGATTCGGTGGGAAACTCTCGGGAGAAGGGGATAGATAGTTAACGAAAAAGAGGCTCTGGAGGTTTTACCTTGCTTTGTACCTCCGCAAAAGTATCAAACGGTCGGTGTTTTGTAGTATAAATGCACGAGAGGCGTGAAAGTTATCGCTATCTTCATTTATTACTTTACACTGGCCTCAACATATAACGTCCTCTGGTTCTTTAAACATAGAACTTGCTAGAAGGCCTAAAGTTGACAGTGCTTCACGGACCGGTATAAAAATAGGGATGACGAGACTAAATAAAATTTGAACATAAAAATTATAAACGGCCCAATGAAGATAATTTCGGTTATTACTGGCATTGCCGATTTATCATGTTCTCAGTAACCAAATGAATGGGCATGCTATTTACGCAATTCCACTAACTAATAAAAGAAAAAAAAATATTTTTTAAATTTAGATTGTAAAAAATATCTCAGACAACTGACGCTGAATATAGAACTTCAAATCGGGAAGGGTCAGTGTTGAATACAAATACCCTGGTTTGCATGACCTCAAGGAAATCTATACCTCTCTCACATATTCATGATGAGCCTAGCTCCACTATCTCCAGCCGACCAAGACGTTGAGAACTTATCTCCAGTCGACCAAGACTTTGAGAACTTATTCTACATAGGACAACCTACCGAAGAAGACCTAAATGCCATCTTGAAGCATTTCGACGATACGCCTGATATCAAAATCCCACCAAAGCCATACAACACCGCTTTGGAGGCTGCTTCCCACATAGGTAATTTAGTATTGGTGAAACGTTTGCTCGAAAAGTACCCTAATAGAAATACTACAACAAGCGAGCCTGATCGTTACGGGAACGCTCTCTTGTTGGCATGTTTGGGAGAGTGTTGCGAGACAGTGAAATTACTTCTAGACCATGGTGCGGATCTGCAGTTCAGAAAAAAGTGCGATAGAGAGTATAGGTCCCCTCTCGACGTTGCATGGAAAGAAGGCTCCAAGGAGGTAGCGACAGAGTTATTAAAGCGTCTTGAAGACCCCCAATATAGGGGAACAGAGGTCCACAGGGCACTCTGCATTGCTTCTGAGGTTGGAAACAAAGCCCAAGTCGAGGCGCTACTTCAGAAGGTAACAGACGTGAATTACCAAGACGATGCATACGGCCCTGCCTTGGTACATGCTGTTCTTGGCGGTAATACTGAAGTTGTCAAAACTTTACTAAACAACGGTGCTAGGGTGAATATGCAGCCTTACCACTTCGGAAGCCCTCTGACAGCCGCTATTGAAGAGAGGGATCCTGAAATGGTGGAACTCTTGCTTAGAAGCAACGCAATCGTGGATCCCTCAGAAACTAAAAATCCTCTACTGTGTGCCGCGACCATGGGAAATCTTAAGATCGTAAAATTACTTGTTGATCGAGGTGCCCAAGTAAACATTGAAGGGTATAAATACGGCACTCCTCTTTTCGCTGCAGCACTATATAATCAAAAAGATGTGGCTTTATACTTACTTGAAAAAGGAGCGAAAGTCGATATCGCTATCAAAGCTGCCCGACGCGGGCACTGGTTTTTACCAGTTCGGAAGATCGGTAAGCTACTAGAGGAGTACGAGTCGAACATCAAGCAAATCAAAAGTCCAAGTAGGGGGGATGTCTGTCTGTATATGTGGAAGGTTATGTCCACATGGTCAATCTCAGTACTGCGGAAAAATGCCACTGCAATATATATGGGATTCATTTCCTTGCTACTGCTATGGACACATTTTTTTATACGGGCTTAGGGTTTCCCCGAGTGGGCATAGTACAGTTAGTTTCAGGGTGGCGTTACAGTTACATTGCAATCGGTTTTTTTTCCATTCAAATTTTTACGAGTTCCGATTAAATAGTCAATTGTTCATTATCCCAAAGGGTTACATTTATAGTCCATTGTATTTTTGTCCCCAAAACTGAGCCCACTTGAGATCATAAGCAAGATTTATATTATAGGTCAGCTCCATCCGCCAATCGGTTCTATCCCAAGGGGGAGGGGGATCTGACGGTGAGATCCATTAGGGTTTCGCATTTTGATATGGGAGAAAAGAAGTGAGGACACGGCCAGATCCATTAATTTTGACACGGCCGGTGCATTTAGCAGTTGGCGTCGGATCATAGTTAGAGTTTCAGGAGTTGTATTCCCAGTAATGAATTTTGTAAATTTCCGATTTATAGTAGATTCAATAAGTATTTGAACACCACCTGTGTGCAGAAGCATGCGGCATACTTGGTTGAGGCGCGGTGGAAGGTTGCTGCATTCCGAGATCTTTTAAGATAGGACATTACACCCAGTGAAACCCACTGGAGCAAAGCATTCTGAAGTAGGGGAGGAGGAGCTGTGAGTTGAGCTGTGACATATTCTGTCAAGGCAAGCCCTTAGAACGTAGCAACGGAGAAGAGTGACATGATGAGCGACTACATCTTGTTCCCAACAGTGAATAAAGATCATGAAAATTCATTTAGAGACATGATGTTAGCTATATAGATAATATACCATTGATTATCCTTTTCAATTCGAAGGGGTGTTATTTGAAGTGGCAACTTCATGGTCGCTATTTCAGCACAGGTAAATGTCAGTGGCGCTGTGGGACCACAGAACTTCACTATCTGGTAGGAACTCCGCGCATGCCGGTAATTAAATCATGCTCAATAGTCACCTGACTTTTCCAACTACGTACGTCCATCTGCCAGGAAAAGCTTAATGTCGCCTAGCCCCATTACACAGCTTTGCACAGTATTAGCCTTGACTGTCAGTAATAGACCTCGGCAGAGCCCGCCCATGGGCGAGGGTATAGAGCCCACAGCCCATTCATGGGCCCTACGTAGGGCCCATAGCCCAAAGCCCAAAGCCCATGGGCGGTAAGGGTCAGCCCATGGGCCGCCCATGAAGAGCCCATCAATGCATAAGTATCCCAAATAGGACGGATAAAGTGCTGATTCAGCCAACAAAAATACTCGTAATTTACACTTGTTCTGGTTACAACAGAGCCCACCACCCCTAATCAACCCACATGCCTGTGAAATCTAAAGAAATTTTCAAGTATTCTGACATTTCAGACAGGTGATTTGTATTTTATTTCCTTGGTATAAGGCTCTGAGTGTATTGGCGATGACGTTATGAGCGGAGATCGTAAAGTCATGAAACCCCATCAGAGATATATTTTTCTGGGCTGTGTAGAGTAGGACAGTCTAGTTTCCATAAATGAGCAAAGATTTACTTGATCCTAATTTTTGTTGATTATTCCTAGTGAGATCTTATAGGATTCACTATTTTCCTGTTCATTCACAATTCTAAATCCCTACCATATTGGTTGTGTTCACTAATTGCCTACCTCTTGTGTCTAAAGCTGAATTCTTGTTTGGCTTTAGGATCGGGTACATCTGTCCGACCACTAATTTAGTGAAATGAAATGGTGTGGGCCCTTTGCTGACACCAGCCAATCAATGAAACTAGCAACTATAGGCCAACGGCTATTTCACACTTTTTAAGATTATTTGCTCCTAAAGCTGAATGCCATTCGAAGCCCCTGATTTTGAATTGGCTACGGAAGAAAGGTGAGTTTCTCTATTCTCTATCTTTCCTCTACCTTGAATGTATCTCACCATGTCTCAATTCTCTGACGCTGGCCCCTCATCCCGATATGAGAGTGATGCAGATAATCTCTCCTTTCCTCGGTCTGACGATGCCTATCTCTTTACCCCTGAGTCGCCGAGCAGTCAGCAAACAACTGTTTCTGTCCAAGATTCATCCTTCCTTCGACCACCACCACCACCTTCGATTCCTCAGTCCCTTGGGCGCGTTGGCCCAAATCGAACGAAGAACTTCATTCTTTATTCAGTCATGAATAAAGCGGATTTTATGGATTGGTGCTTCAGACAATGGCGGCAGCTGAGAGAGACGAGGCACCAAAAGGCGATCCTAGACGCAAGTTTGAGTGGGATGGAACCAGAAAGCATTCGACAAGCTGGGAAAATTTGGACCAGGTGGCACATATTAACACTGGTGTACCAAGCGTCATGTGTAAAAGATGTGGAAATATCCTTGATCACCCGAACTGGAAATCGAATGGAACAAAGTCTGTTAATCGACATCGGACGACTAGCAGGTGTAAATTGGCCTCTAGTCAAAAAGCCCAGCAAGCAAAACTACGTCAACTTTTTAAGAAATCGGTATTTGCTGCCCTCTAATAGCTTACTTCAATACTAATTGTTTTAGGACTCTTATACTCGCAATGATATTGAGGACTTCACCAAAGACCAGTGGGAGCAACAGATTGTCCGAACAATCACTGCACTCCAGCTTCCGTTCCAAGTCGTCGAACATCCAGAACTACAAATGCTTTGTCGTCTAGCTCGGGCAGCCCCATCAATGCCAGAGTTTCCTTCAGCTAGAACCGTTCAGCGTCGACTACAGGAATCCGTAGATGACGCGAACCAAAAGATTCTTGAAAAGCTTCCTTCAACTGCAAAGCTCTCTATTGCATTGGACTGCTGGACTTCGCCATTTCAACAGGCATTTATGGCTATCACTGGCTACTTCATCGATCAAGATTGGAACTATCGTGAAATCCTTCTTGGATTTGAGCCACTCCATGGCACCCACTCAGGAGTGAATCTTAGCAATGTTCTTCTTGAAAGGCTTCAACATTGCAAGATTGAGGGTCGAGTATTGGCCATCACAACAGACAACGCATCAAACAACAAGACCTTGATGAAGAAAATCCAAGAGTCTTTGTCAGCCTTCGAGTCCCATGATCAGTTCCCTATCATCCGGATTCCATGCCTGGCTCATGTTATCCAACTGAGCCTGAAGAAGCTCCTTGGCGAAATGAAAGCCAATCCAAACAATGAGAGTCATGAACGAGAATGGTCTGAAGCGAAATCCAAAGCCCTTCGTGCTAATCGACGACGGAAAGAGATTTCCGATACCCTGGATAGGGTAAGACCTCTATTCTATCTCTATTTATCTTCATTCACCTAAAAACATATATTTATTAATTATTTCGCTAGGTCCGTGACCTCGCCATTTACATAAATGGAAGCCCTCAACGCCGAGAAGTATTTCTTAGTCTTCAGACTAAACCGCCAAAGCTGGTTCCTATTCAAGATGTTAGAACTCGCTGGAACTCGACCTACCTGATGCTCCGACGTATTAAGAAATTGCAGCCAGTGATTGATAAATACTGCACAGAGTATAATCTCAGAGACTACGAGTTAGACCGAGAAGAGTGGCGACAAATTGAATACCTTCTTTACATCACACTGCCTTTCTACGAGTTTACAACTGCACTTTGCCAGACTAAGGATGCCACTGTCCATGGTGTCTTTGCTATCTACAACCGGCTTTTTGATCACCTTGACACTTCAATCAGTCAGCTCCAGCGAAAAGAGATTGGCTGGAAACGATCGATGTTGGCTGGCCTGCAAGCGGCAAAAGAAAAGCTAAAAGATTATTATGGCAAGACGACTGGGGATCATGGCAACCTTTACGCGATGGGTACGATCCTTGCGCCACAATACAAGTTACAGTTCTTCACACAGCAGAAAGGGTCAGATAATGACTACAAATGGCGGGACAAATATCATCAATACCTCAAAGATTACCTCGAACCCTACAAGCAACGGTTTTCTGATCATCAATCCCCAATATCGCAGCCACAAGCAGCACGAGTCTCGCGGCTTCACCGAATCCTTACGCAACCACGATCCGAGAAATCAACCTCGATACCAAGCTATCAGGATGAGCTTGAGCGGTTTTTACAGAGGCGTAAGAGGTACTCTATATTCTTTCAATTACATTCACAACCTAATCCTATTATGACCTAGAACCTATTAATGTTGAGCCTCTCCTATTTTGGAAAGATAATCAACATGAGTTTCCAGTACTAGCAAGTGCTGCGCGAGATATTCTTTCTATTCCTGCTACTGGTGCTGGCGTCGAGCGACTTTTCAACTCTGCTAGGGACATCTGCCACTATCGTCGAGGCTCACTCAAAGCAACGACCATCCAGGATCTTATGATGCACATGTGCACTAGCAGGTTCGATATCGAGGAGGGGCAGCTTAGGCTTGCTAGGGAGTTCTTGAGTACTGAAGAGATCGACCTAATAGAGGAAGAAAAAGATATTCCACAGGATGATCCTATTGCTCTTATCAGTGACGATGAGGAAGGTGATTCAGGATCTACCCAGAAGCAGGTCACTCTTGAGAAAGTAAGCCAGCTCTCCCTTGGCAAGAGACGGCGAAGTACTGTGTCTAGTGCTTCGGATTCTGAGGAAGAAAACATGGACGCTCAAGGACGAATTAGTGACGGAGAAGACGGCGATGACAATGATTTTCCATTGCCGCCTATCGCTCATGGAGAAGGCAATACTCAGAGGCGTACATCAGGGAGGATGTCGAAGCGTTCAAGACGGGACGAAGAGCTTTTTGAATATTATGATCCTAGATAATCAGTCAAAATTCAATACAATCCCTTTTAGTCGGATTGTGTACTGTATATACCGTGCTCCCTACTTGAAGCCGAGTTCGTAAGCCAAATACTAAAAAATACAGCCGAAAAAATGCATAACTTATGAAAGTCACGGTTTGTCCTTCTCTGGCCCACATTTGGGCTGTTGGGCCGCCCATCGTGGGCTCTGGGCGCGCCCATGACCCTCAGGGCCCGCCCATGGGCCCCAGACTAGAGCCCAAAGCACCCCCATCAACAGCCCATGGGCCGCCCACATAGGGCGGCCCATGGGCTGTGCCGAGGTCTACCTCTGAACAACAACAGTTTACAACCATGTACACAGGGCCAGCGTGCATGTGGAATATGCAGGTTGCCAGGGCATAGAAGAGAGACGTGTCCAGAACTCCAGATAGAGAAATTAGTTAGTTAAATTAATTTAATGGCGTTATGGTTGAGATAAATGCATTTAAATTTAATAGGTTGGGTTGGGTGGCCCACTCGCATGTGAATTACGTTAATCGGGTCGTCGAACGCGGCCACCAGGCGGTGTCCGGGTTCCCGGGCGCAATGATAACCCGGGCGCAATGATAACTTTTCCAACCTGTCCATCTAATTCATTGAATTTAAATAACATCCCCAGTAGTATCAACATAATAAAGATTATCTATCCATTCTGGGGCCATTTCTGTATCGGGATCCTCCTGAATTTCACCTGTATCCTCAATGTCGCCGTCCTCAATTACTTTTAAAATAGCGGCGTCCCGCCATGCTTTCTTCGACCGGTTGAACATTTGTAGTCTTTCTCGGTCGGCACGGTCGGAAATATGCTTTTTACAGTCCTTAACTAGGCGAGGGCCTAGTTCCGGAAGCCTGCGCTTTGTTCTAGCAGTATTCGACTGCCTTTTCCGCCGTAGAATCCGCACATTGTCCTCCGCGAATTGAGCACCAACCTCGGCAAGAGCGAGCCCACCCGCCAAAATCCGAGAAAGACTATCTCGCACCTTCGGAGAAATTGTAGTATCATTTTGGATATGTTTTATGACCTTAGTGCTCGCTTTTCTTAGCTTTTGCACGGTCGCCGGCGGTGAATTTGGTAGTGAACTTGAAGGTGGTGGTGGTGTAGTTCCGGAAGCAATATCATGAATGATAAAACCAGGCATATTAGGAAGACCATCGTCAACTAAGCCTAATTTCTCAAGGCCTTTGTCCGAATTAATTGGCCAAATACCAGTTTCTCGGAAGCCATGTCGAATAGTGCGCTTCGTTAATGATTTTGTCCGTATATCGTGGATCCCGGCGAAGAATTCAGCCTTATGCTTCGGATCACCACCCCAGAAGACAGCATTATTATTCGACTGTTTATAATAATGCTTTAAGACTTGAAAGGGCGTATCATCAAGAGGTTGGCAACCGTGTGTCGTATGTGGAATAAAACAATAAGGAATGATTCGTTTTTGCCAGCAAAATTCAATGAAGTCATAGGTCAAATGTGAACTATGATTATCCATTAAAAGAAGACGATATTCCCCTTTTTTAACACGGAACGACGTAAATTCATCGAAGATCTGAAGCCATGCGAAACTAACGATCTCGTCAGTCCAACCATTTGGGGTTGAACGATCGTATAATTATCTGGTAGATTGGTTTCGATAAACCAGCTTTCCATATGATATTGGCCCTTCACTAAGAACCATGGCGGCATAACCCAACCATCCGCAGAGACACATTCAATACCGGTAAGCGATTCGGCTTGCCCACCGGTAGAATTCGATGAATTGCCCCGGGCTGAGACAACCTTTTCAGTCTTTCCTTCGCCAATTCTAAACCCAGTTTCATCGAAATTGTATAGGTATTTCTCGGTGATTCCATAGGTTTTAATCGTAATTTGTAGGCGATCGTACCATGTGACAAGAAAGCCTGGTATAACAGCTTCATATCTTGCCCTTTCCATAGGTTTTTGCTTAATATTTTGAAAGCGCGGTGGTAAACGAGCGATGAAATCGTAAGCCCAGTTTTTTCCTAGGGTTCGGGAAGGATCATGACGCTGGATAATTTGCAAGGCAGCACCCTGAATTCGCGCTGCTGATGGCGGAGAAAAGGCCTGATCTAAGGTATCAATCCATAGAATTAAGGCCTTTTCTTGCTCAGGTTCTAGAGCTTTATTGCCTGGGGTTTGGGCCGCTCGAGATTTCCGACCCTGAACTCGCCCTCTGAAGGTTTGGTATGGAATGCTAAATTCCCGCGCGATCGACGCGATTTTGGGCTTCTTAGCAGCATGGTATGCTTCTAAAGCCTTGATAATGCGGTCTTCTAATTCTTGAGACATAATATGAAGATCTGGGGTAATGGTGAATTAATGAAGATGGCTAGGTTGAAAAAAGTATCATTGCGCCCGGGTTATCATTGCGCCCGGGAACCCGGACACCGCCTGGTGGCCGCGTTCGACGACCCGATTAAGTGAATTTGTCTAAAGTGTATAAAACATGAGGAAAACAATGGCGACTGGTTGACAGCCTGAGGGAAATTATCTACGACCGAACCACCGTCATTGAATCGACCAAAGCGGACCTGATGGAAGTCAAACGTGACCAGCAGAGCTCAAAACCACATTTTTGTTCGAGTAGCTTAAGCAATATTAGAAGTTAATGAGAAATCCAGAGATGCGGTCGAAGTACGTTAATTTATGTGTTTTAGAGATTATTCTGAAGCACCCCGAACCATGGCAAGCTTCCTAATACTACTCTTGAGCGAAAATTGTTAGAGCTGAACAGAAAATGTAGCCTCCACCCCAGCCCCAATGTCCCCAATGTCACCACCTCTAGTGTCAATGTTAACCCCACCACCATCCCATTTGCCAATATTGTTACCCCCATGGGAAACCTTACGCCCGCCCCTAGGCCCGCCCCACTTTTCTTGAGCATTTTCTCCAGTGAGCGCAGTGACAAAAGCACAGCACGAAAGATTAAGTCAAAGAAAACCAGAGTATTGCGGCTTCCAAGACACCAAGCAATAAAAAGCTTGGCTATTCACCCTGCGGAAATGGCAAAATGTCCTCTTTAGCAGCTACACGTTTCTGCAACGGTCGAAATGGGAACGATTCCGAAAACGATATATGGCGCCATGTTTACGCTTAAGTCTTCCGAAGATTGGTATCAAAGGCCAAGAGAAAAATCCGAGAACGAAAAGCGTCCCAAAAAGAGTATTTCAGCAGGATTAGACAAACTCCCGGTAAAATCTGTCTGTGGAATTGGATTGTTCCGACGAAGTCTGCGCTGAGTGTGCGCTAAGCGCATTAAGTGACCTGAGAATGAATAGACGGAGTGGGAACAGCTTCCGAAGAGCCAAGATAATAGACATTTGAGTGAATGTTTGTTCGGATTTTGATACTAAGTCATCGCTCATTGATGTCCTCGTCATCAAAATTTCTCGGTGGGGGTGTGTCAAAGTTGCCCAGTGAGAAGAGAGGAGGTCCACCTGATACCATGCTTCGAGAGAGGTATTTCCATTACTGTGTTCCAAAGTCTTCGTCGCGTTTCGGTCGCGAACGTTGTGCTTTTCGGCAGGTATATCGGGTCTCGATTTAGGCCCATGTCTTATGATGCCTGCCAACTCTCAGTGAAAAATTGGATTCCCCGTCCAAATGACCCTATGACGGATTAAAATGTGCATTAAGTAATATTTACTTACTGGTTGGCAAATGGGTAAGGATGTCACCATTGCGGGTATTCAATACATACCATCTATTCTAGAAGCGAAGATACAGTGTGGATGGATGGATGGGTGATTGCCCCGAAAAGTCAGTGCATCTGCTGTTGACTCGTGACGATTTAATCTTTTTTCAATCTTTCTAGTGGGCCTGGAGCAGATAGAACATGACGGGAACGTCGAAATCTAGAGCCCGCGGGTAATGCCAATATGACGTAGTAATATTATATCACCATGAGGTAATAGATTTGAGTGGTCCTTTTATCCACCAAAATTGCAAGATTCCTTATATCAGCATCCAGCCTAATCGAATGTCGATTTATAATTCAACACGGTACGAAATCCCAAGTTCGCATACACTATATGATCGACTCGATTACCTGCGACCAACGGAGTTGAGCAGGTCAACATCATTTCACTATTCCATAGAGGATCTTCTCGGATATCGAGCACTATCCTGCCTCTCAAAGGTAACTAAGCTTTGAAGCTCACAGCTCTGTTGTATTACTACCTACCTAGTTAAGCCTTGCAACTAACTTTAGCCCTAGATCTTGAATACCCCGAGTTTTACCTTTTTCCGGCCCCGTGCCATAGTGGGCTGTTCCAAGCATGTCGGGTGCAGAGATCCTTGCAGCCATCGTCATAGTTGGAGAGGCAGCAGATACTGTCAGCAAAGTTGTCAATGCTATGCAAACCACCAAAGATTTTGTCGAAAGCTTCCAGGGGAAGAAGAACCATTCTCAAGATGTGCAGAACTATGTCGATGGTGCCAAGGAGAGTATTATAGCAGAAATCAACGCCGTTGAATTTCAAGGCTATATGAACTTAGTGAACAGGGCGGCTTCGTGGTGGTATGAATGCCAATCGAATATCCAGTTGTGTAAGCTCACATTCACTTTCCCAAGTTGCAAGATCTCGCACTTATAGATTCAACTAGTTGGAATCGATAAACATACGGTTACGGATACAGACGGCGAATTGAAGCAGTTCGCAGACGATATCCACAACGAGATAGGTCCACTCGATGGACTCAAAGTTTGGATTGAAGGCGATCGTCCAAGACCACAAAAAGACAAAATGCTAGGTTTTTACCTGCTCTTTTACGCAATAAGGCATTCGATGCGCTTCACATACGAAACGTTCTTCCTCGTTAGGACTGGAAACTATTCAGCCACCTTTGAGGAGACAGCCCAAACTTTAGAAGATGCCAAGAAAGCCCTTCAGAAAAGGTTTGATGAATATAAAATATTTCGTGCTAGTCAGTTGATTAACATTGTACCAATAACGGAGGGAGTGCCAGGAGCTCAAACTTTTGAGTATTTGATCAGAACTGACATCGGGGGAGATGATTTGATTCCTAATCTTACAAATGCCTTGTGGATCAGTCTCACTCCTGATGCCTCTACGGAAAAGGTCAGAAAAGATGCCATTAAGCACTATTGGCGGGTGTCCGACTTAGGAAAAAGGTCTATTGATGACCTTTTCAAGTCTTGGACACAAGCACATACAGCAGCTTTGCTTCTTCGGCATGTTTCCGTGGATGAAGGAAGAGAGTACTATAATCTGCCCCTAGGGGGTTATACGTAAACTTAATTTTAAGATTGGTCGATGATCTGGCGGGGAGACTGTTAAAGGTTAGATTCCTGAATAGGAACTAATGTACGCTAAACCGAAAACTATAATGTCGACATCACTTACATTCACCTGACGGTGAGGACAATATAATCACGATTCTTTTCCCGATTAATCAAAAGCCGGTTCGGGAACTACCCGCAATATGATACTAATAGACATTGGATGCGGCGTTGGATATTGTTACATGTATTGCCACCATGTACGAAATCTTGACCACGACTTCCGACAATCAAAACTATATAGACCTGAAAGCTGCACTGTACTCATGCTTTAATACCCTATCCCACGGGGGTGGGTGAACTCTATCCCACGGGGGGTGGCCCAGTCAGGCTGACTGGGAATTAGGGCTTTCAGTTTACTATGGGAGAAAAAAAGTGGGACCCCCCCTATCCCACGGAGGTGGGTGAACTCTGCCAGAGTTCAGGTTAGGGCTCTGTCTTAACTATGGGACAAAAAAAGTGGGCCCCGCCTGAGTTCAGGTTAAAACATCTCTAATTTTTAATCGCTATTTCCTCGATAACTAGTAGACTGTGCATGCTCCGAAGAAAATGGGAGATATTTCACATAGTCTATTATAACTCATAAAAATTTCAGGTCGATCGGAGTTCATTTATCCTCTGAACCCTGGCGAGGAAATTAACCTGAACTCAGGCGGGGCCCACTTTTTATGTCCATAGTTAAAGACAAAGCCCTAACCTCAACTCTGGCAGAGTTCACCCACCCCCGTGGGATAGGGCTTATCGTAGTAGCTGTCCCTGTCTGGTTCAACAATATTGGCCAATTAGTTTACGCCTTCAATATAATTATTGACATCCCAGCTATCGGAGCCTATTTTCAGCTTTGAGGTTCGTGTTAACAATGTGCAGACCAAGTAGTACGCTAAACGATTTACCAATCTAATGGAACCGAATACAAACATCCATGTTGCGCCTAGACAGGATCCTCATAGTTGCATGACACCTTTTCCCTATCTATTGCCATCCGGCATATAAAGCATATATAGACTATGACAAGCAGAGAAAGTAGATTAGGAGCTAAATAATATTCACGCATTAATCCCCGGTAACACAGGCTCAGCAAGCACAACACCCTCTCCACCAATAAGCTTACCACTTTTCTCAGTGTAAAGGCGGTTAAAACCCACAGAAACAACGGCGCCTCCCCCCACAGCTTCAATACCGGGGAATCCAATGCCACTTTGGTTCCAAGATTGGATCCAAATATTCTCCAAATTCAAGCGCGCCCCTGCCCCCGAAACACGAATGGAATTGGCTCCTGTTAGTTTAATTCTCACATTAGTTGCTTGGACTATGGCACCAGGAGCTTGAATGTGTATCCCTGTCTCCGATTTCTCGGATCCTTGGAAATTGTAATTAACGATATGGCCGGTTGTCAGTGGTCCATCAACTTTGATTCCCTTGTGCCCTGAGTCATTATCTGCATTCACAATCTGAAACTTGCTAGTGATCTGGCCCTCAGGTGCATTCTCTCTTTTGCTGAATAGGAAACCAGTGTTGTATCCGATCGTGAATATGTTGGAGAACAGAGGATTATCATTGCGGTAGCTTTCAATGGCGCACGCTTTTTCGAATGTGTATTCTCTAACGGCCTCTGATTCAGTCCAGAAAGGCCAGAAGTGAATATTATCGATTTTCACGGTGTCTCTTGCATTGTCGATAGAGATGCCGGTTTGAAGTGGTTGGCCAAATAGACGGTTGATGCTCAAACGCCCTGCATTTTCTGATACTATTCCAACAGTCGGGTTTCGCAAATATAAATTTTCCAGGCGTACATCGTGCGCAGCAACCAAAATAGCCGCTGGATATGGGTCAGGTGTCCAGGGCTGACCAACCACAGGCTCTGGTTGTTGGTGATAAATCGCCATGTCACGGATAACTGTGCCCCACCCCGTGATAACAATTGGGATGATGTCATGGTTGGTAATCAAAAGCTTTGATCCATTCGTGGCAAGTGGGTTGCTCGATGGGTTGTCGTTGAATTGTGGCTTTCCAGTGCCTGCCCCAGCTAGGATAACAGAGGCCTCAATGATGAAGCCCCTTGTGGCATCCAATCCTGTATCCGCGCACTTGTCGATGAAATACAGACCTGGTGGGAACCAAACCACACCTCCCCCTTGAGCGGCTGCTGCATTGATGGCACTTTGGATTGCGGGTGACTCATTGACCTTTCCAAGTCCAGTTGCACCATGATCTTGGACATTAAAATATCCACGGATGATACCGGATGACATGTTTGGTAGAAGATTGAATTAAAGGTGTTGAGGGATAAAGTTGCAATTGTGATCTAGAGATTGGTGAGGCTCCCCTTTCTTAAACAATCAAGAGGATGAATAACAATCCTTCTAGGCTGCCCTCTATTGCCGAAAACGAAAGCCTAGAAGAGCCCAATGACGTTATTAATATGCGAATTATTGGAAGCAAATGGATACATGGCGTCTAAGTTCGTAATGACGGCATGGTGTAGTCTAGAAATAAAACGGTACCGTGATGAAGCCATGCTATCCAGCGTTGGTTTCACGGCAGTAACACATGGGAAAGGACAATTAGAATATAGACCGGGCGAGACACTCTAGGTCAAGTCTTAACTCCCAAAGTACTTGCAAGCTGCCAAGATTAGGTCACACGATAGGTACGAAAATGACGAATATTTGGCTACTACCATCATGTGGCCGTTAGAAGTCACGTCAGGATTGTTGTATTCGGTTAAGCTTACTGTATAACCCCTGTCTAGGCGGTAAGTTACCGCTCCATGTCTCGACAATAGTTCCAACCTCGCAAATTCGCACGCACTTGGACGGACGTGTCGAAGGCTACTTTCGATGCGTGCTACATGGATTGATGGGGTCAAAATTACTGCGTAATAAATTGTAATGTTCCAAAAACAAGACCCAATGGATTTAAAAACCGAGATATATTGCTTCTGAGAAGTAAAAAGGATTACAGGAAAATTTCGATCTCATAATATGTCTTGGTTGTTGAGATATGAAGTTGTTAATTATCTCGTTTACTGTGGTGTTCTGGAGTAACCGTTCGCCCGTGTTGACCGCTCGCCCGTTGATTTTAGTGGCGATACCTAATGGTGACATCAGTCCGCCGAAAAGGATGAAATCCTTAGCTGAGTGGAGTAGCATTTAAGACGACTCTAAGTTACTCCGACGTCAAAGCTTACTTGTTATTTCATCGGGAACTTGGAAACATTCAGATCAATTGATGGTCCCCCACAGCCGTTCCCTCAACAGCCATGAGTGTTCCCTACGACAATGAGCCTAAGCAGGTACATGAAGCCGCTGCCATACGCGCTCAGCAGCGTGCAGCGTTCAGCAAAGATTTCTCCCACTACCCACTCGGGTGCGCTTCTGATGTTGACTTCCATGCTTCACTCGAGTCCGCTAGACTCTTTGCAGAAGGAACCGGGCCCTTTTCTGCCATCCAGGAATGGATCAAAGCCTCTCCAGAAGTCGAAGCAATGATTGCTGTAGGTACTGCGTTCGGGCCTTGGTTCACTGCCGCCGGTTTTCTTTATGGCCTTTACAGTGATTGGCAGCGGAAGAAGCAAGACAAAGAGACGGCGGAGAAGATCATTCGGGAGGTAGTTGCTGCAGGTGGGTTCAGCTGTTGACTTCTTTAGGTAGCAAACTGACGCTCGAGAAGTGGATGCAATGATCAATCGGGCCGTAGAGAGCGTCGAGAAGTTCATCAAAGACGAGCAGATGAAAGAAAAGCTCGACTCTCTCAAAGGCCTTCAGAGAACTCTTGCCGACCTCATGACTCTTTCTGCGGACACTGATTTCGCCAATATTGATACCGTGCTCGTCGGTTCGCTTGTGAAAGACTGCAACCAGCTGCTATCCTTTTTTGAGCGGATCTTCAATGAGAGCATCGAAGCGTCAGATTCGGCTCAAGCAGCTGTGATGTATGGACATATCGTCGACGGCATCCTGCTGAAGAACCAAACTCTGGCGTGGCAAGACAAAACCTTGCCCCACGGCACAAGCAGTCTTGCAATGCAGGGCGTGCTCGAGTTGCAGAAGCTCCACGAGGTTCTCCTCCCTGCCGTGCGCAAGACCACGGACAAGCAATTTTCGGGAATGGAGTCTCATCGCGTAGAACTAGACTCTGATGGTCACGTTATTCGGCCTCATTCAGGGCCGAAACTTGAAGATGTTGAAAGAATTGATCTTTTCTTCTATTTCTTCCGGGGTGAGGTTCAGGGCGGCCAGACTTTTCTGGGTACAGCGGGGTCACCGTTTGTTGGGATTCCGGAGGCAGATGAGCTCGGAAAGGAGATGGAAAAGCGTAAAGAGGAAGAATATTCAAAGGTGGTGGAAAGCTTGCGAGCAATGGGTGAAGAGCACAAAGCGGCACTGAATGGTCTGGGCGTTCTCATCAAGGAGGAGAGCAATTCGGGCTAGATAAGGGTTAGTGGGCATGATTGGTTCGAATGGAGATCCTCATATGAAAACCTACTTTTGGGGCAACTGCGGCACCGAGGTCTCGTGTTGATGATGGTCACATGGCCACCAGTAGCAGAAAACGGAAGTCGACCAACAACCACATAGCCCTTCTTTAACTCAATGAAGACTCAATACGGAGCAGTGGGCTTAGTCCACTTTATTTCTTTAATCAGAATTCTTTTAACTTATACGGTCACGGAGTTACAACCCATCGAAGTTGGCCATTTTTGGAGCTTTGAAGGAAAACGGTTACATAATCGTGCTTCATGTTTTTGTCCTCAAAACTAAACCCTTTTTGATTTATTCCTCAAAACTAAGCCTATTTGGGACTATAAGCAATATTTATATGAGGGATCATAAACCGCCTCGATAGATCAGAACCGCCCTCCATGCTTATGTCATTGACCCCTTATTTTGGGGCTCGACTCTAGTAAGCTCGATATCTGCTTACCATCGCTCTTACTCTAGTTCTTCTTTAGTATTATGGCGCCCGACTCCCCTCGAGCCCCTACGCGTAAACGAGGGCGGCCTCGGAAGTATGCATCCGCCGAGCAAAGACAAGAGGCTAAGATCATAGCACAGCGAAACCAGCGACAATCTGGTCGTGCTGTGGAGCGTGCGATAGAATTCGACCGGTATTATCCCACTACAATACTAGCATCCGTTTATGTCGATGAAGCTTTGCCAACCTACTTTCCCCCCGGCGAACTGACGATTCCTACGGACATTGAGCAGCTCCTACCGCCCCTCAGCCTAGGACTTAGACCACTAGACTTATCTACAGATGACAACCCGCCTACAAGCGATGAGTGGCCGTTAGCTCCGCCCACTGACCTGACTGATGAGCCATTTCGGGCGATATCTCCGGAAACCCAACCAACATGGCCTGATCAGCGTAGCCCCAGGTTAGAAACCACAGAGACTTCGTTGCAGGTGGATCCGCCTCTACAACGTTTGGCATCTGCACAACCGGAAACACTAGAACCTAACGTGGCCAATGTCATGTGCGACTTCGCCCGACTACTTACTGATCAGCTCCAGCAACACCATAATTGCTGCTACCAGTGCCATACGCAGCAGGAGAGTGAGCACGAACTCAAGCACGCCGAGCATATCAGCTTAGGAGAATATATGGACCAGGTTCAGGTCGATGGGGGCTTTCCGGATGTTCTCAGCGATACGACCATTGCCAGACGCGAGGACAACCTAGCAGGACAGACTAGTGCAGAACGAAAGCGTGAGATTTATACCGGGATTAGTTCAGTCACGCCTGACGCTCCTCCCGCCCATATTTGCCTCGCTTTGGATCATCAAAGAGAACGCCCGACCGGGGTCACCTTTGACATTGATAGTATCGTGGGGTTTGCGGAGAGCCTCGCGGTAGCGAAACTTGGCGTGCGGTGGAACCCAACTCAGATGCCCGTCTCTGATCTTCACTCGAGTCTCCACCTTGATCCCCTTCGTGTACACTATACTGGAAGCAATGGCCGCACCCACCACGTCCAACAACCAGTACATAACATCCCGCATTATACCTTCGGGCGGTTGATTGGATTTGAAGATATTTCTCTCTACTTTCTGTTTCCGCGACTATACCGGGAGGAGCAGCAGTCCAGCCGGCTCCGGGATGATGACTTTCGGGTCTGGATGGATCAAGTCCTCCTGCCTGCGGTCTACCAGCACTGCGAGGGATCTCTATTCCAGCACTATCCTTCTAGCTTTGATCACAGCCGGTTCAATGCCACGGCCCGGGGAGTCGAGATGCGCTCCCGGCGAGTGGATCCGGTAGCTGGAGAGCAGCGTCTATTTTATTTCCTACCACCAGATGCACTCCCGCTTATATGGGCGAATATCTTAGAGACTGTTCAGCGTGCTGGGTTCCAGCACTTCCTAGACGTGACTATCCTGGTCCAGGGTAAAAACCTAAAGACATTGACCAAAGCAAATACGTGGAACGGTATGATGCAGGAGTTTGTCCAGCATTGGGGTAACACGATCGACGAGTCTTATCTCTCCGATCAATTCTACATCGACATTGGGAAAGAGACCTGTCCTACTGGACCCTATCTCACGGGGGGTGCTGTAGTCTACTAGACTACAGGTTAGGGTTTCCCCTTCACTATGGGACATAAAAAGTGGGTCCCGCAAGACTACAGGTTCTTTTCCTCGTTAGACTACTGAGGTCTAATAAACTCCGATCGGTCTAAGATTTTTATGAGTTATAATAGACTATATGAAATATCTCCCATTTGCTTCGGAGCATGCGAAGCCTAGTAGTTATTGTGAAAATGGCGATTAAAAATTAGAGATGTTTTGTTGGGGTGTACCATTACGGTGTACGATTAGCACCTAAGACGCTACCACAGCACTCTAGACAAATAGAACCACCTCGATAATGCTAGTCTATAATGAACAGGAGGGGTAGCAATTAATTCAGGGGTTTTGCAACTCCCTAGCTACTATCTCACTTTCTTTTACACCATTTGTCGCTAAAGTCAGCATTTAACATTCGTCAAATTTCATGCAATTCATTATTATACGATATATATCATAATGATCTAAGCACACAATGAATCACAGTTCTAAGATAACAACGATTAATATATTAAGATCTTCTCATGCTCTAGACTGCGGTGGAGTAACAAATAACGATGCTCCCTTTCCGCAAACGGCGATTTTGCGTATTAAAACATGGATGACGGCAGCCAAGACGAGTACGCCATTACTGATGCCCTAGTGTTGAAGAGAAAAGCCCCGCCGACTGTCTTTAAATTTGATATCACGATTGGAGATGATTCTCTGTTAAAGGCCCAGCGCAAGGTCAAGGGCACTGCGGCCCAAGACTTATGCATGCAAATGATCCAGGCCCTGGATGAACACGAAGTCTTGGGACATTCTCGGCGCATTCTCCGGCCTCGCAGAAAGCTCAGCCGACCAGGTCAGTCGACTGCGAATACCACCGACAATGAGATGACATCAGATGAAGAATCTATCCCCAACCGACACGAGATTGCCTAATGGCAAAGGTCCTTGACCTTGAACCCAAAATGCGGGAAGCAGTTACCGCGGAACGAGAACAGTATCAATGGCCCCTTCTCCATAGCATTCATCTGAGGCATCTTGAGCCTCGACTTCTTCGAATAAAGAGTGCTAAAAGCCAGACTGATGACTCACCTTGAATTAAGCTGCTTGGACAGAATACCGTAAGGCTGGCAATTTTGGTACGTGGTATTCGGACTCTATCCCATGGGGGTGGGACAAGTTACCGTAACTTGAATTAGGGCTTTGAAGTTTACTATGGGAGAAAAAAAGTGGGTCAACGCCCACATGAGTTAACTTTCAGACGCCCACTGGTTTTTGCTATAGGCCTCGGATGATACTAAGATTTTCAGGAGTTCTATTCCTAGTAGTGAATTTTCTGAGGTTTCAATTTCGAGCCAAAATATGTTATGTTGATCGAGGTGTGCGCGATTAAAATCTGGGGATTATTTTGGTGATGGCTTAGGACTTGGCCTGCGACCGCAGCTTCGCAGCTCCAACTTCAATATTGGGGTTAGCAATTTAATAAATATCACTTATAATATTACTTGTGGTAAGTTAAAATTTATATGAGGAGTAAGTAGAAGATATAGCTATCTAGTGGTGTAATTTTGGTAAGATCGAACCACTTTACGTATAAGAACTAATATAATAACTTAGTAGATATACTGTATTCGAATATATATATCTGCCATTATCTCCGACTTTTTCTACTCATATCAGAAAGTTTTACATTACAAGTCAGGTCTATAAGTAGAGCAAAGATCTAGAGTAAGAGAGTACTCCATTCAAAATACTAAAGATCGCGAAGAAAGAGAAGCAAGATCTGGCGAGCTTTAGAGAAAGCTAATCAAACCAAGATCAATGCAAAAAAAAAATGCAAACCCCGACCGGCAAAGAAAGCAAACTAATCAAAGACACATGATCGATATGCAATATGGTATCAGATCATAATAGTGCATGTTTCAAGGACCATCAGAACGGCATAGCACAAATGACTACTTCCCGCCGTATCCCATTCCCCCAGAATTTCATTCCCAGAATTATCAACGTCCTTCGGTAGGAATCATAGAAGTAGGGAACCGTCCGATGATAGTAGCAACATCGTTATGGTGGGGCACGCTAACGCCATCCCTAGCAATACTTGTCACACTCGACCGAAAAGCCCTGACTGCGCCGTACCAGAGGTGGACACGGTCTTCCGTACCAGTCGATTTGTGATAGGATAATGATATGGCTGCAAACCTTTCTGGGCTTCCATCTGCCTCAATCCCTTGGGGAATCGGCATACGGCTGAGGAGCCAGTTGCGGTAGGATACGCGACGGGTGTTCTAGTGATAATGTGAAGAGATTAGCAAAGTCAATAAGAAGATAGAATGGAAAACTCACTGGGCAGCGAGGGTGTAATCCGTGAGTGTCAATATGGTTCCACACAAGGAGGGTAAACGCGCGGCAGAGATCAGCGATGCACAACGCAAGCTGGGTATAGGACCTTCCGGGGAGGAACCATTTCTCAATAAGGCCTTCATAATTGCGTTCGGTGGTGTTATAGGTGCCCCAGAATAAGGCGACCCACGAGATCAATGCCAGCAATTCGAATCTGTGCCCTTCCATTCCAGCAGGGAGCTATAAAGAGAGCATATAGTTACTAAGATTGTAAATAATTCGTAGGTCGAACATTACCATCTCGCAATCTCGTCCTGATACATGACAACCTTGGCAGTCATTTGCATTGACCGTATCTTGGACACAGGTGATTTCAAAGTGCAGCCAGAAACCAGGTTCGGGAGCTCGAAGTAGCCAATCCTCAAGGCTTCGCTGAATGCATGGGAGGCAAAAGAGGAGCCGTGGTACAGGGTTCGACAGACGATCACGAGCAGGACGACGCGGGAAGATGGTTCCGTGGCGAATAATCTGATTTCCTGCCATGACGGGTAATGGTGATAAGGCTTCGAAGAGGATAAAGGAGAATGTCAGCATTTGATGTGAGAAGTGTACTCGAAGGGAAAAGTGCAAAACCAAGCTGAAGATATAAATATGGGGAGAAGTTGTGTAGGGGTAACTCACTATGATAGTAGTCGCAGATGATGGTGGTCGATGGTGGTCGCAGTCGATGGTGGTCGCAGATGATAGTGGATGATGGTGGTCGCAGATGATAGTGGATTATGATGGTCGCAGATGATAGTGGATGATGGTGGTCGTAGATGATGGTGGTCAGATCTCGATAACTGGCATAGAGGTGTCACGTAGAAGACTGAGGTGACAAGACAGGACTGAGGTGACAGGACAGGACTGAGGTGACAGGACAGGACTGAGGTGACAGGACAGGACTGAGGTGACAGGACAGGACTGAGGTGACAGGACAGGACTGAGGTGACAGGACAGGACTGAGGTGACAGGACAGGACTGAGGTGACAGGACAGGACTGAGGTGACAGGACAGGACTGAGGTGACAGGACAGGACTGAGGTGACAGGACAGGACTGAGGTGACAGGACAGGACTGAGGTGACAGGACAGGACTGAGGTGACAGGACAGGACTGAGGTGACAGGACTGAGGAGACAGGACTGAGGAGAGGAGACAGGACAGAGGAGACAGGACAGAGGAGACAGGACTGAGGAGACAGGACTGAGGAGATAGGACTGAGGAGACAGGACTGAGATGAGATGAAAGGACTGAGGTCTCGAGCTCCACAGATCAGATGAAAGAACTGAGGTCTCGAGAACGCTGGAATCCAAACGTTAATCAGAATCAAGCTAGGTCTTCAATATGCTTTAAAAACATTAAAACCAAATCTCTTTATGCCCTTTCTATATTTACAGCTACCCGTCTACGCTCCTATCGATAAAGGTCTCATTCATGAACTTGACGTTTTAGGCCATTTTTCTTTGCCAAACCGCATTACATCGAAAGGAATGAATCAACATTCTTTATCAAATAACCATGGAATAGAACCCTATAGTCGTATTATTGATAGTACCCCTAGGTGGATACTACAGACGTATAGCGGAAAAGTCAGGAGGAGCTATATACCCAAGGGCACCACCACGGCACATATCTGCGAATATCCTTTCGACATCTTCATGCTCTCTGACATCGACATCTGCCGATTTGTCATCTTCTATATCTTCGTCGCCAGCAGAAGGGCCACTTGCTTCGGTATCAGGAGGTCCCGGAGCATTAGTGGTACGCTGGAACCCAGCATAGTAGACACCATCACGGATAAACGCCGGAGTAGTAGACAGGTTTAATTCCCTCCGGTAGAAGTAGGAATCATCACCAAAGGCCTCCTTCTCAGCAGCCACGAGGTTGGTAAACGCAGTGTAGTATAGGCGCTGGGCGTTTCGTCTCTAGGCCTGTATATAATTCCATGATATATTCTCGTTATCACCAAATAAAATATCCAGCTCCCTCCGCACGTCTGCTGTATCCCATCGCGTCTGGCCAATAAGCGCATCTGAAATCGCACCCAAGTGTCCTAGCCGAACGGTCGCAGGAAATATATTATCCACTCGACCACCGTACGTGCTATTCGGCAGACCGGATGGTGTCTTAGTGCCCGACTGGAAATCACGATGGCAGCGCGAGAGGTCATCCCAGGTGCCAGACTCTGCGGTGTCTAGTGTCTGGTGATCATCACCCATGGCAACGAACCAAGGTAGGATGTTAATACGCTGAGAACTCGCGGGACCGGTAGACCCATGGGGTAGGCCAGGTAGACTCAGCCGTACACCCCCAAACTGGCAGATCTGTTTAGTCCGGCCATAGCCAAAGTGGGCCCCGTCCTCTTTAGTCCACATATCGGCGTCGATACGCTGCACATACCCATCCTTGGCGTACCCTCGGTCGATCAGCCGCTTATGCCACGTGCCGATGTCGCGATACATACCTAGGAGTAATTCGGTGCAGTTGCGGCTATCCTCATCGGAGAGAGCGAGGCTCCCTTGTAGCGCATTCTCACCCCGACCACTACGCACAAAGTCGGTGATATTCACATCAATGTGGCGAAAGAAGGTGCGTTCTCCAGGATACGTTCGCTTGGCATAATATGGAAATGACACCAGCTTCCACGCATGATCAGGACGGCATAGCGCATAGAAAGCATAGTATGCGGGGTCCTGTCGAACCATCTGCTGCACTAAGCTGAACCACATATTCCTAGCCCAACCAATGCGAGGTTTAGACGGGCGGGCCAGGTAATGCCAGTCGTTTTAAAAATTAAATTCCTCCATGATCAAATCCCGTAGGGCACGTGGATGATTCCCATCGAAATCCTATTTCCCGGGGAGGGGGCCGACTGAGGGCTGGGTCGGATTAGTGTTTTATGTTTTTGTATGGGAGAATAAAAGCGGGTCCACCCCCACACTCGAGTTAATTTTCACACCCCCAGTCGATTTAGCAATTGGCGTCGGATCGTGCTTAGATTTTCAGGAGTTATCTTCCCAGTATTAGATTTCGAACACAGTGGAACGGAGTGCAAGAGTATGAACGTTGGGAAGTGCCCACCACCGTCCACGATTTCATTCCCGGATTGCCAGTTCACAGCGATGGTTTATTATCCGCGCGTGCATCCAAATGCGGGTATGTGGTCCGTAGCGTCGGTATGAGGCGGCACTGGCGTGAGAAGCACAGGTGGAAGCCCAGTAGCAGCAAAGGACGTCCCCGGGCCGCAGCCAGTGATACGGCACAGCAGTTCAGCCGTATAGTGACATACCAGCAGGCGTTTAACCAGGGCACTGTCCGGCATTACATCCACGCGCAGGGCCGCAGTACGGACCAGAATACACCAGTTGAACCCCAGGCGGACGAAATGATGAAGAATTTACGCGAACACCGCATGGCTGGCACGTGGGAGGGTGAGAGTGCGATGGATGGGAGCTTCGCCCTCAGGAACCCACACGTGATCTAGAGCTTTAGGTTTTCCTCTTGGACAAGAAACCGATTCCACGCTGCAGCTACCTTGAATGCTCAGGTCCTGGGAGACAGCTGAAAGAACTGACAAAACAAACACAAAGAATGACCCCGAGTTGCTCATGCCATAACGCTGGCATTAATCAGGCTCGCTAGCTCTTGATGGCGCTGTAACAGGCCCCGCATGTCGGGTTGTTCTAGAGAATCATTCTGATCAATGATTGTGGATAGAAAAATCTCACATGACTTCAACTGAGTGCTGATGGCCATTGCTTTGTTGATATCACTCATCGAGGTGCCGCTCAAGTATTTGCGAACTAGAACAATGTATCTCTCCATAATGCAGGCCATATTAACACGCAGGCTTTCCCCGAGATTCTCCGCCCTCCCAAGTGTGTCAGATGTCTGACCAGCCAAGAGTCTTGCTTCGTCGGTAAGCTTTTGCATGTCACATAGAAGGGGGCGCCCCGAAATTTGAAGTTCCGACAAGTCGTCTTCTAGCGGGCGTTGGAGGGAAGCCCGTTGAGGCCTTGACGGAAACCAGTCCTTTTGATCATTACCTCGTAGTAGCAGCCATGACATTGTCTGCTCGTAGAGAGGGTCGGCCCGGAAGTGCTGTTTCCAGAGAAATAAAACAACTTTCGCGATTCCAAGACATCCAAAATTGTTCGAGTTCCCGAAAAGCTCATTCAGTGATTTGTACATAGCACTAAATCCCTTGATCTGTGCACTGCAGTGTTCAAATGGGGTTTCGTCCGATATTTCAACGAATCGTGCCTTGCATGGACCGTCGTAAGGCCTTTCCAATTCCTGAGATATACGAAGTGCCGCTTGCCATGATTTGTAGCTGGGTATATCGTGGTCTCTTCGCTCGCCCTTTTTGAGGCAAAGCTTTCTGATTTTCTCCGCAGTATCCGGAAGACGGAACTCAACCCGCAGCTCCGAAAAGGCGGCCACGAAGTGGTACATCAATAATGCTCGGTATTCCGGTCTGCAGTCGGCATTGTTCACAGCACAAGAGGGATGGAACGATTGCAAGACGACTGCCGTATGGTCCTCGGTAATTTTGACATCCTTCCGCTCCAGTTGGTACTCCCGTCCGGGTAGCTCGATGCGCTTGAGCCACTCGTCCCAATACTCTTCACGGTGGCATCTCAAAATTACCTTGGGTTTCTTTGCTTTCAAGATCCGAGTAAGCGCTTCGTGGCCTATTCGTTCTCGCTCCATTGCAGATTTGTCGGGCTGAAAAGGGAACGCATTCAGCACGGTGACATTATGTATGCTTCGAGCGCCATTACTAGCGAAACGAATGAGTTCATCGACGGCTAATAGCGTCGGGGATTCTTCCACAAAATTTGGGAAGATGACATCGAACTTGTGTTTCGACCTATGAAGCGGACGTTCCAGAATTATGGCGATGTCCGACAATCCGCTCGTCAAATTTTGCGCTTGAACAATTTCGTCTCTGGGCTTGCCCAGGTATTTACCAAGACCCTCAGTTATTTCAACGGCTGCCACATCTCCAGGGGTGGGAAGACAGGCCGGTGGTGCTCTGATCAGCCCTCTCAATGACTCAGGAGTCGGGATACCAAGACAATTTTGAGGGTTTTGCTGGGCCATATCGCCCGAGGTCTAGCAAATTAAAGGAAAAAGCGCCCCGATGAGAATTAAAAGTGGCTCGATTCCGGTCTTAACTGAAGCAGAGGAAAATTTGTATTCAGATGGCGAACTCATCATGATAAACGAGAGTAGCGGAATGGTTGACGTCATGCTATCCCCCGGATCATGCTCACTTCCGGTATACTGAGAAGTCGCCGGGTCGCTTCCGTACAGATAGAAACAAACGGGCTTTGTGACAGTTGTCAATTTGGAACCCGGCCCCTGCGTAGTTCCGTCGAACATCTCACCTCTTCGCACTTCGTGCAAGGGCGTAGGTTTTACTGGGGGTCGAGATCAGTACAGTTTCCAAGACTCCCAGAGCATAATTATGAGTAGCAGTATAACAAAATCCATCGTCTACTCATTTCTCCGACTCAATGCCCTATTCCATGGGGGTGGGCGCAGTCTAGTAGACTGGAATTAAGACTTTCGCTTTACTATGAGAGAAGAAAGTGGGGCCATGAGTAGGCTGGAATTACTTTTCGTACGATCATCGACCTCAAAATTTGTAAAGTTGAAACTTACGCCTCGGAGATTATGGTCCTCAAATTTTGGAGTTCTAAAATCAGCCGTAAAGGTGTGGTGGCCGATCAAAAATTAGAATTATTTTTGATGGCGATTTCAAAGCAAGAGATTATGATGTGAATGAGGAAACTGCGGGAGAAGCAAGCCCGCCGAAAAAGCTGTTCGAGAAAAACCATGCATACCGAATGGGTGTTCCCATCAAACCAAGCGAAAAGAGCGCATATCTTGCTTTCTCCAAGAAAAGCTCATTCAACTATCTACGATCTTGATTAATCTCGAGGAAGTTATATGCATGCCTCATCTTGTTCAGTTAGCCCTAACCTTGGGTGAACAGAGGGGCCTAGAGCTCTCTGTATTCCAGGAAATGGCGAGTGTTAAGTCACTATGTGGTCAAGTGGGCGCATTAATTTGTTAATAAAGGGATAGAATACTATATCTTTTTGCCCTCAAATTAAGTTAAGATTTAGCGTCCGAGGCGGATGACGCCGCAATTTCGGGTACGCCACAAGACGTATGTCGATCATCCGAGCACGTAACCTGGTGCTAAATTCGTCCGTGGTTTCGCTATCCGCGGTTCCTTATCTCTGTCAAAGTCACACTCCGCTTGTATATAGCCAATCGGTATCAACTAGGTAAGTGCTAAAAGTGAATCTATACTGACGTGCTCCACATTTGGTAGATAAGTATGGCCTCAAAGGGCTCAACACGCAACCCAACACCTGCAATAGTTTGGCTACGCAATCTTGGCATTTTGCGGCAGATACCTAGAGATATCCGAAGAACTGATGATGTCCTATAGAAAGAAGTGGCATATGCATATCAGTAGAGCCAAGCTAATTTTGAATCACCAAAGTTAGACTAAGACCTAGATTGCTCTTATTCTCTTTTCTCCAGTAGCTTAAGGTTAGACTTCTATGATGTCACTTCGATGCGACAAACCTTCACGACAGATGATGTTGTCGTATTCTGTTATGTGCGAAGTCTACACAGACAATAACTACAATGAAATCATAAATTCCAGCGCCGGATCGCACACTGATTCCCCCCGCTGTTATATTAAAGTGATCTCCTCGGTTGCAATACATCGTGCTTGAAGGCGTGCAGGAATATCAACAAATATATGTCAATTGCAATCCGCACCTTTGTCATTTCGGTCCCCCGTCATGAAGTATATGCCAATCTCCCTCACTACCGCCATCAGCTTAGCATGTGCTGCATCCTCTCACCTGGCAAAGTCCGCTAGCACAGTTCAAGGATTTGATATCTCGCACCATCAGAATTATAGCGTCGACTTCGAGGCAGCATATACCAGCGGTGCCCGCTTTGTCGTCATTAAGGTCAGTGTTCCTTGACCAAGTTCGCCAATATTTCAACCTTGCATCAGTTATGAACTGACAACCCCTTTCAGGCCACTGAAGGCAATACCTGGGTCGACGATAAATTCAACGAGCACACTTCCCGTGCCGCCGATGCGGGATTTATCCATGGGGCCTATCATTTTGCGAATCCCGCTTCCACTAATGGTAGCAGCCAAGCCTTGTTCTTCCTTGCAAAAGGCGGAAAATGGAAAGCAGACGGGATGACCCTCCCCGGATGGTTGGATCTTGAGGCGCCCAGAGCGGGCGAACAGTGTTACGGGCTCTCTCAGTCCGACATGATTGCTTGGATCACAGGCTTCGTTGACACCTACTCTGGTGTAACGGGAAGGTTTCCAATGATCTATACTACGAATAACTGGTGGACCACTTGCACCGGAAACTACAAGAAGTTTAGCAGCTACTGTCCCCTAGTGCTGGCAAGATACAACACTTCTCCTGGCACAGTTCCGGGAGGTTGGACGTCGTATACCATCTGGCAAAATTCGGAACATTATTTCTATGGCGGTGACTCTGATATCTTTAACGGGGATGAGTCAGCTCTTCTCAACCTAGCCTCTGGAACCACTACAGAGACAACTTTCCCTGCGACTGTGGCGGAATCGGCGGCACAAAGAGTACTTAGGAACTCGCAGCATGTGCTAAGCGGTACTTCGAACGTCATTAACATCGCTTCAACGCTCGACTCTTTGGAAGAAATGCCCACGACAGCTGACGATCCCTGGAACGAGGAGAAATCTCTAACCTTCAGAGACGGTAGTGTATCGCTTTTGTGTTTTTGTGGTGGTGGTTCGGTCAACCTCGTTACCCTACCTTGGCGTCTAGGAAACATCCTGTCCGTGACCAATGCATATAAGAAGCATGGCACGAGGCCTGATCCTGAGACAGGACGAACAGTGGATTTTTATGCTGGAGTTGGTTCAGGTGGAGTGCACATGGTAGGCGACTCTGACGACGGCCATACCGACATAACATGCCCGCCTGATTGTTTAGCATGGTGGTCCTATGGAAAACTGGTGACTGGCCGAGACAGCAGCTTGCAAGTGCAGATACCGCCACCAGGAAACTTATATAAGATTATTGAAGGGCCTGATAAAGGACTACGGGCAGGTGCAGTGAGCGCGAAGTGCATAGGCACACCTCCACAGGCAGATTATACATGCTCTGCTGGTGGTCGAAACTGCATATATGCCGGCGGACTCTGCATAGTACTTTTTGCAGCCTTTCCAGGCCAGCCAGGGTACTCTCTCACTGCAGCGTGCGCGAATGCACTTATCATAGATGGCACATCTGGGGAGGCGGTATTTTGTCCACCTGGTAGGCTAAGCGTTTCAGATCTGGGACAAATCGTCGAGTATAGCCAGATATATACTTAAGTCACCCAGTTTTGTGCTTGGAAAACGACTGCCTTTAAATGAATTGCTGGTATCATGGAAACGCTCGAGAATTTCTTATCAACCTGAAGGGTGGTAATTTACCACTAAAAGTCATGCAGTTCAGCGGATAGCCGCCGCTCCACCTGTTCTGTATAGTAAATCAGGTCTCAATGGGACAGACGAGCTCTAGTGTTACAATACTAGCACCTCATTGCAAAGCGACCCTTCAACAGCGGTCCTCTTCTCAAAATCATCATCAATCAAGTTACTCATTTTGATCATCTCACCATTACTAGCCCGTACGCCCTTCGCTATTTCCGACAATTGCGCATACTGTATGTATAGTGCAGGAAAACATCCTAGGAACTAAAACCATATTCACAACCCCTTAGGTTGCTGCCAATAGACGTGCCAGAGGATGATGCTGCTGTATAAATATAATCTTCTGTGGTCTTCGGTCATCAATACTATATCTGAGAACAGAAACAGCAATAACTGCTCTTTCACATAGTGAGTTTGCCTATGTTAACTTGTTGAGATATTGATTTAACAAGTTCGCTGCCTACAGTTACCCAAACGCATGATGCCCGACCTGACAAGTACTGGTACAACTACAGCCCAAGTTGCAAAAGCTGCACAACGCGTCGTGGTTGCTCTATTCGAGGATAATCAAGCTAGTGAGCGCACTGGCGAACTCTTGAATGAAGTTGGCCTTCAATTACTTTCTGTCAAGAAGCAATTGGAGAGTATTACATGAGAGGTAGAGGGTACATATTCTTGCGATACCAAACTCAGTTGCAAAGTCCACAATCATCTTCGGGCGGCAATTTCGAACGCTCAAGATACACGTGAAAAGGTTATTGGGTACTTTCAAGGAGTGGACCTCTTATCTTTTCCAAAGAGAATGAAAGATTTTCAGCAGCGATTGACATGAATCAGAAACAACATACGCTACACACACACACACAATTCATTACGCCCGGAGGTATCAAGCCTAGAGGGCACCTATACGCTATTCTATCTTCCCATTGCATACATGTTGTCATAGTCTCATTTTCGAAAGGAAAAGCTGTACCAGCTGCAAAAACCCTTCTAGCCCATACAGTATTTCTCAAGCAGTTTCTCTTGTCGCTGTTGTTGTTGTCGTCATATCATATCATCCCCTCCAAAAGCAATAACCCATCCCTCGGTGACACCGGACCCCCCACGTGTCCATTCTCGATGTAGTTTCGTGGACCTCTTCCCTGAGTAGCGATTTACCGAGAGTACTTCTCATATTAACGCCCGAAGTAGCTGACTGCCTCGCTGGCGGCAACACCAGATAGCAGACGAAGGACTGACGAATCGACATGCGATCGAACCGGTAGGGCAGGTGAGTTATTGTGAACAAAACCCGGTGAGGATAGGTTGGAAATTCGTAGGCAGGTCGGTTGTTCGAAGGCTCGTCGACATCGCGACGTTGTTGACGTGCGAAGTTGTCCACGTGCGAAGTTGTCGACGTGTCCTTTTGAAGGCTTCCCGCCGCGTCGTCACAACCAATAAAGGGGTTTCCACCGGAGTTTCGATTTGGAAAGTTCTCAGCTTCGGTCAGACCTTGCAGTCCAACTTACTGACATCCCTCACCACAAGAAGGTGACTTTCCACGAGGGACAACATACGCTACAGTCATTAGCGAAATCTGCTTCCGCCCTGAGTCAAAATTGTTTTTTTTTTTTTGAGTGTCCCACTGCCAAGACACTAGCGAGTGGTTTTTACTTCATGGACCTTGAAACGCTGACGTGGTGAATCAACCAAGCCTCGATTTATTTTGTTTCCAAAGCTATTTATGGAGGTTGCACCGATCCTGCTCCGCTTTCTAACCTTGAACCCTATAGCTCATCAGCTCATTAGACTTCTTCTCTCCACTCATCTGGGTCCTCGAGGAAGGCATATATCCCAATTTACAGCCATCATTACGGTAATTTATTATGACTCATCTGAGGTAGATTGGTAGAAATCAAGTGAATCATTCAATGGCCTAATTAGGTATAGCGGGGATTTGGTGGAGCGCTGTGAAAGAAAGTGAGAGTTTGGCGGTAAAGCTGATTTCGAATATCACTGTACACTAGCTTCACTCCGGCCTCAGAGCACATATTTTCTGTCTGGTTGGAATGATAGAAAGATGCGTTGTCCATGACTAGCACAGATTTTGGCTCGGGCCACCTTCTATAGTGCTGAAGAAGCTGCTTAATAATAAAATCCTCAAAGACAGATACATCAGGCGAGCCCCGGAAAACCCGAGAAAGGACAATACTATCTTAAGTATATCTAGGTAAAATCTGATATCGCTAATTATGATGGAATTTGGCCACTTAGACTGGCGCGGTACCTAGCGGAGACTAGCCCGTTCGCCAAAGCCTATCCGTTTATCATAACCTAATTTATCCACGTAGACAAGTTAGTATAACTGGAAATCGGAGATGAAATGAAAGTATTCGTCTCATAAGTCTTAATTGCGTTCTCGAGCCTTGACTTAGATAGTCTTTTTTGACCAGCCTTTAAAGGCAAGAGTGTGACTAATACTTGATGTTGTTACTTGAATAGCGAACTTATCCTGGAGAAAAACCGCCATCTCATTAAGATAAAGGTTAGGTTTATCGATCAGGTGATCGCATAGAGCTTCTATCATAACTGGAGTGACGCTTCGTGGTCGACCACCCTTATTAGGCGGGGCTTTGACGCTGCCAAAGATTCGTATGTTAGAGGAGATTCTCAGAATAGTTCTCCTGTAGCAACCAGTAACCCCTGCCATCTGTGATACAGACAGCTCTCCACTATGGATCATATCAGAAATAAGCTTATGCTTTGAGGGGGCAAGGTTTGGTGCTATCACAACGTGGCCATTCACAATGATTGTTTAACCCTTTGTGTTCCGGGAGATCATCTTTTAGGGTGGGGTATGAAGGTGTCCGATGTATTAAAGTACAAGCGAATACTCCCCCACCATAGCGGTAGGTACTTTGTGTAAGAAACAATACAGGCGCCATTTCCAAGCATACGCGGAAAATTTCCCAATATAGACTAGTGTAGCTTAGTAATTAAGATTGGAAAAACAAGTAAAAGTGGTGGCACCGGTTTCGGGACACGCTGTAGTTATTATTGGTGTCATTCTCATCCACAAAGTATTATTTTCCGGTTCAGCTCTCTGCCAAGGGCGGTGAATGATTGCAGGTCTGTCTTCAGTACTTGATTACTGATGTAACCTTGTGTAATTTTGTACATTTTAGCTGCTTACAGAGACTGCATCCATGGTTTTCATTGGCTGATGTAGGTGAGCCACGTGACGTACAGGCCGACCTCCCGGTCGCGACGCGAATCCCAGCCTCCTCTTTGCCCCCTACCCTGGCCCGTTTTCCCCTATCACATCCTTCCCTATCACATCCTTCATCATCACGCGGAGAAAGAGTATCGCTTAATACCGTCCTTGTTGCCGGTCCTGCCATTCCTGTGGTTACACAGGACTCTCTGTTTTCATCGTCGCTTGATCTCGGATTGGGCACGTACTTGGGACTTGGCCGTAGAAGGCTTTACTTCTCTTCTCCCGTCTCATCTCTCTTCTTCATCCTCCTTTCATCACCTGGAGAAAGAGTATCGCTCAATACCGTCCTTGTTGCCGGTCCTGCCATTCCTGTGGTTACACAGGACTCTCTGTTTTCATCGTCGCTTGATCTCGGATTGGGCACGTACTTGGGACTTGGCCGTAGGAGGCTTTACTTCTTTACTCCCATCTCATCTCTCTTCTTCTTCAACCTCCCCTATACCAGTCTAGGCTGCTCTCAATGTATGAGGGGCCGTTGCTATTAATTAAACCCATATTCGCCCAAAATGGCCACCAAATCACCAAACTCTACCCTGCAGATGAAGAAGGAAGCGCGTGTTGATACACCCACCTCCGAGGCTTCTTGTGCTGCTACGCTTCGCATTGGTTGTGACAAAATTGCGCACACTGGATTCATCTCACTTTGGTTTGAAGGGACACTAGCTAACTCACCCGATAAACCACAGAACCTGGTCCTGAATATCATCCCAACTATAATTTTGACTTGTGAATTTGCGGCTGCCACCGAGATTAGAGACACCTCAACACTGTCTTTGACACTCTCCAAGCCTGGCGCGGTTTTCGGTCCCACCGGAACAGACTCTCTCAGGCCTTTTGATCCGGACGATTCGAAGTTCCACTCATTTGCTGCCATCTGTAAATCCACAATCATTTCTCTCAATTTCTCTCGCCACCATTTCGACAAAGCAGAAATTACAAAGATATCATCTATATCGCGCTTTCTACAACAAAAATCTGTCCAGCCCAGGTGTTTCGAACATCAACGACATAACTTGGCTCCAAAATACCAGAAAGATTTCGAACCGCCGGCCAAACTACCGCCATATCGTGAAAAGGATGTGTCCCAACAAATCAGAGAGGTGCAACCTCCCGCCTATCGCGAGCAGCCCGTTGACGAGCAGGTGGTTGGCGAGCAGGTGGTTGGCAAGCGGCGCAGAGGTATGTCCTTTAACCCAGCTATACTCCACAGTATCATCCAATAGCTTACACATACTTTCCAGACACATTGTCAACCCCGCCTGACCATGAAAGACGGAGACGGTTACTCCTTCCATCGCCCCAATTAAGAGACCATGCCGAGGAACCCAACACACCGGGTGTTCTTACCGAACCCAATACACCTAGTACTCATCTCTCCATATCATCATTCCGCCCAACATGCTTCGCACACACATCCCCGGACCACATCGAGGACAGGAACTTCCCACACCTTGGGCAGGCGCCCCACAATGTTTCGGATGACCTCATTTACGACACCACGCCGAGCTCTGAGATCTCTCCATCACAATCTATCCGCCCCACGTGTTTCACGCATGCTCCCTCCCTCAAGCATAGAAAGCTTCTGCGTCTCAGCCAGGGCCCCAGTCATGTTCCTAACGAGCCAATTTATTCTACCGCACGGAGCTCTCGTCGGTCACGGTCTCTTCGTCCAACCAGTTTCATACATTCTTCGTCCCCCGATTCCGCCGAGCGCAGGAAGCTCGAAAATCTGAAGCAGGGAATCCGTAATGCTCCCGACGAGCTGCTTGTTCAAATTCTCAAAGAGACGAATCGTGGGTATCTCCTCGCTTTGCCAACAGACAAGGCCAGCACACCGACGCCCAAGTTCGAGTTCAGATCCACCAAGGCCGCAACGCTCGACGAACGGATAGATCGATTAATCGATCAAAGGTTTGATAAAAAGTTTGAAGAAAGAATGGACCACTATCTCGAATTTGGCGATTCACGGTTTATCGAAAAATTAACTGAATGTGCCACAAGTGAGTGTCGTGAGCAGATCTCCGATGAATTCAAGACTCGCGGGGTTGAGCTTGAGGAAGAGCTCGAAAGTTCTATATTGGAGGTTCGCCAGGCAGTTGGGGACGGGCTAGAGGACCTCAGAAAGCAACATGCACAGTGTGAACATGATATCAAGGATCTGGAGGCCGAGGTAGTTGCGGCTGCGGAAACGGCCGCGAAGAAAGCTGTGTCGAACATTTTGACACGCTCGCACAATACTTCTAGGCAGTCCTTACATGGTAGCAACTTCTGCCCGCTCCATGGGCTCGGCGCCAATACAAGGCGAAGCTCTACCTAGACCGGGTACTAGGCTTACATCTTGGATCATTGTCGTCTTCGTATTTTCTCGCGTAGAATTCCCTAGTTTGCTTTTATACTTGTATGCAGGTGGCTGGCCTGCGAGGACTTCGCCCTATCCCATGGGGGTGGGACAAGTTACCGTAACTTGAATTAGGGCTTTGAAGTTAACTATGGGAGAAAAAAAGTGGGTCAACGCCCACATGAGTTAACTTTCAGACGCCCACTCGTTTTTGCAATAGGCGTCGGATGATACTAAGATTTTCAGGAGTTCTATTCCTAGTGCTGAATTTTACTAGGTTTGAATTCTGAGCTAAAAGATGCTGTATTGATAGAGGTATGCGCGATTGAAATCTGGGAATTATTTTGGTGATGCCTTAGGACTCGGCCTGCGACCGAAGCTTCCCAGCCCCAACTTCAATATTGGGGTTAGCAATTTAACGAATACCACTTATAATATTGCTTATAGTAAGGTAAGCTTTATATAAGGAGTAAGTAGAAGTTATAGCTATCCAGTGGTATAATTTTAGAAAGATCGAACCACTTTATGTAGAAGAAATAATTTGAGAACTTGGAAGAAATATTGCATATATATATATATCTCTCTCTCTCCTTAAGCCACCTTAATATAACGAAGACACCTGACTTTGTAAGTTCTGAAAAATTTGGATAATATAATAGGCTAGGTCTATAAGTCGAGTAAGAATATAGAGTAAGAGCGTACCCTATTTGAATTCTAAGGCAACAAATGAAGAGAAAGCAAACTAACCAATCGACTAATTAAGAATAGATCTAGCATATGACATTACATTGTCTAAATGTTCTAGCAGTTGCGCCAATATGCTTTATAAGACAATATCCATAATCCTTTGGTTCCCCTTGCGGTGGAATTACCCAAATCGGACTTTTTCTTTAGTGATAGGGTGTTGACATTGCTTCAGTTGGTAACATTCTTATTCATATTAACATCGGGAGATCGGGTGTAGGAGGTACCATTGAAGAAAAAAGTGAGATTTCTCATCTTCGGCTGTCTCAGCCATGTCATATATCGAGACAGATATAGAGGAGGACGGCTCTAAGAGGAAAATAAGACGGGCGACGGAAATATATACCCTAGAGGAGGACGGCTCTAAGGGGCTTGTTCGGTAGATCGTACGCCAGTCATTCGCTGGATCTTCCCAGTCCTTTCCTTCAAAAAACTGAAGCTTATGTTGCGGTGAGAGGATAGTGCCAATCGCATAGAGATTATTATCGATCTCATCAGTCTGGCTATAATAATACGAAAGCTTTTTCTATCCCATGGGGGAGGGGGGACTGACGGTGAGTCGGATTAGGGTTTTGCATTTTTGTATGGAAGAAAAAAAGTGGGCCCACGGCCAGTCGAGTTAATTTTCACACGGCCAGTCGATTTAGCAGCTGGCGTCGGATTATGCTTAGATTTTTAGGAGTTGTATTCCCAGTAAAGAATTTTGTATATTTCCGATTTATAGTAGATTCGACAAGTATTGGTGGAGGAATTTTCGATTGAAAATTGAGGTTTTTTTTGGTGAGGGCCCAGATGTGGAGATGCGACCATAGTAAACCACCCAAAACATCAACATTGGGGTTAACAAGTTGATCAGTCCAAAGTTCAATTAGATGAATACGGGGTTAAGAAGAAATTCAGGGGTATTTAGAAGTCCCAGCTATCGTCCAGTTCAATTTTAGAAAAACTTGACCACTTCATCCACCCCAGTTTGTTGTACAATTTAGATATTTGTCGTACACATTTATACATATATATCCATATAGCAATATGGAGAACCAGATTTTTATCAAACCGCAGGAATTTCCCATCATTATTTGCAAACAGTGCAAGATCGGAGTCCGACCAAGTGAAGTCAGTCGTCACATCCAGGGAGCCCAACACCGACTGGGATTACCCACCGGAAGGCAGTTACAGCACGCCATCCAGCAGTGGAACAGAGTGCAGGAGTGTGAACGTTGGGAAGTGCCCACCGCCGTCCACGATCCCATCCCCGGATTGCCAGTCCACAAGGATGGATTATTGTGCACCCGTACATCCGAATGCGGGTATGTGGTCCGGAGCGTTGATGTTATAAAGCGCCATTGGCGTGAGAAGCACAGCTGGAAGCCCAGTAGCAGCAAAGGTCGTCCCCGGGCCGCCGCCCGTGATAACACCCAGCAGCAGGTACAGCAGTTCAGCCGTACGGTCACATACCAGCAGGCATTCGACCATAGCACGGGTAGGCATTACATTCACGTGCAGGGCCATAGTACGGACCAGAATCCACCAGTTGAGCCCCCCGTTCAGCAGGCGTCCCAGATCCACGCGGAGCTAGACAAGATGGAAGAGTTATACCAGCAACACATCCACCAACCCATCCACATCGAAGTCGGCCAGCAGGACGAAGCGAACCCGTGGTTACGTCGCACGCAGTGGGCCGTGTATTTAGCCGGTTTAAACCCCGATGATTTAGTCCAGTGCGTCCAACAACCGGAACCCGAGGACCGCAGCGAGGCAGCATTAACCGCGGCCGCGATTTGGGATTCCATGGCCGCCGTGGCCCGTATAAGCCAAAAAGTCAGCGCGCGCGTGGGCCACACCATCCAGATCGAAGCCGTACGGGTCGAGCGCGATAAGACGCCCACCAAGCCGCTGCAGGCGTACATGGTGGAAGAGGCCATCGTCAAACACAGCATGCCGTGGCAGCAGGTGTTGATGTTTTTCGCGCGCACACAGGCTCCGCACGAGTGGAGCAGTCCGAAGTATTCGTTCACCCGGCGACAGCAGCGTGCGTGGGAGAAGTTGTGGGACGAAGCGCAGGCGGTTGCCCAGTCCAGCCGACCCAGTTCACCAGTTCGCAATTCCCCAGAACCGAATCCCGGCGGCAGTTCGCGAGGCGCCAGTCCCGTTCCGAGTCAGGCGAGCGAGGACGAATTTTACCAGTTCGGTAATACCCACCGCGACACCCCCAACAACCGGGCACAATTCGAATTATCCACCATCGATGCAGCATGTTTGGATTTTTGTATGGAATTGTTAAACCAGCGTACACGGGTAGAGGATTACGAGTGTGCGTTGATATGCGCACTGGCCGTGCAAGGCCGAGGTGAAGCCGGTTGGCGCGACGCCGACAGTTACCCACCCATTTTGTCCCGGATTATCAAAGTCGCCCGATTTATGATGGTACACAAAGCCATGCGATTAGATCCGCAGGCGGGCGAAATGATAAAGATTTTACGTGAACATCGTATGGCTGGCACGTGGGAGGGTGAAAGTGCGATAGATGAGCCAGGATATATATCCGCGGGTTATAGTTCCCCCCACCATCCAGCCAAACCACATTGATCCAATTCAGCCAGAATGGTCAGGCACGATCATTCCGCGATTGGGTCGTTTTGATGGTCGATAAATTCATGGTCCGCGGCACAGACAGCCCAATGCAGTGGATTTTAGATTTACGCACATACGGGTTAAAGATCCATTACAACAGCACGACGCCGGGTCACGTTGGATGGATGGGTCAGGATCGGTTATGTTACAAGGAGCTGACATTTACGATGGGTCAGTTTAAAGGGTTTATACACCAGTTAGTTAGTGACACGCGGCAGTTGTTGCTGGACGAGTTGATGTTTATGGACACCACCGATGTACCCCAGATCCCGTGGAAGACATTGTACGACGATCCCACGCAGAGTGGCCACGGTTGGAGTTTTTTACAAGAAACCCGTACGCCGTGGCCCGTGGACGGAGCCAAGTGGATGCAGCAGCGGTTGCGACGGGAGCCCCAGCTGGCGAAGCAGTTTTTCGAGCACGGCGCACCCCGGATGGCCAAGATCGATTCGTTTATGCGACGAGTGGTGGCATTCCGTCGCAAGTTAAGCATTGCCATCCATATTTGTGGCGGACAGCCCGCCCGTGCGCCAGAACTGTTAAGTATTCGACACAAGAACACCGACAGCGGTGGCCACCGGAACGTTTTTATCGAGGACGGCATGGTTACGATGGTCACGTCGTACCACAAGGGGTTTTACGCATCGAATGATGTGAAAGTCATTCACCGGTATTTACCGCGGGACATTGGGGAGCTGGTGGTGTGGTATTTATGGTTGGTGTTGCCGTTTGTCGAGCGTATGGAGCTGTACCAGGACCACCGACGCGACAAAGAGCGGAATGACCAGTAAGTGTAGTGGTCAGGGTTTTAGGGTTTTAGGGCTTCACAAAACTGACAACCCAGGCACCAACGAGCGGCATATATGTGGCCCCCCGACCCCGACACGCAGCGGGTGTGGAGTTCGGAGCGGTTACGGGACGATTTGAAGAGCGAGACCGGCCGGGCGTTAGACGGAGCGATCAATTTAACGGCGTACCGAGATATTGCGATTGGCATCAGTCGACGGTATATGCGGCATTCCAACCAGTTCCCGAACAACGTACATACGGACGATCGCACACCGGAGGACCAGGACAATGCCGACGACGAGGGCGGCATGGGAGCAGAGGAGTGGACCGGCCACGTCGCAGATTTACAGGCCGCGCATTCGTCGCACGTGGCTGGCATGATTTACGGGCGTGAGATCACCGAGCAGCCCGGCACGACGGCACACCGACGGCAGTTATTCCGATTATCGAGCACGGATTGGCACCGGTTTTTAGGTTTCGTATGCGGCGATAGTGAGACCGTGGATCCCCGTGGAGCCAGCCAGCCGTCGCCGTGGGAGATGGAAGCCGAGCGTAGTCGCCAGGACCGTCGTTGGAAGTTACAGGAGACACCAATGCAGCCCGAGTTACAGAAAATGATGGGTGACGAGCTGGTCCGGTTCCGCGGTGTCCAAGGACCCGCGATTGAGGCGATCCAGCACGGAGAGAGTCCGATTATCACGGTGATGCCCACCGGCGGCGGTAAGAGTGTGTTGTTTATGTTGCCCGCGTGGGTAGCCGGTGGCACGACGGTGGTGGTTGTCCCGTTGATCGCATTACGCAGCGATATTCAGCGA